GCGAGATGGTTCAACATTTGAGCTTCTAAAGCGAAGTGAAATGGATGGAATAAATAGTTATGGGGCGTTTACAGAAGATTCTGGAATGGAACCTTAGAATCACATTGACTTCCTGGTCACGAACTCTCAGCCTGGGAGCAAATCAGATTTTTACTATTCTATATATGTGTCTTTGTCAGAATTCCCGGGGGTAAGCAGTTTTGCTGTAAATGAAGAGAGAATTAGTTTGACTTAATGGTTGCTTTTATTGCTCTCTGATCCTCAAGAGATTGTTTCCATCTTTAGCGTACGTATGTTTTATCGAATTGTGCAACTAAAGAACATTTCTCAAAAAGTTTAGAGACAATTTCCACTAAATCATAAACCCAAATGCATTTCTACAAAATTTCTTTCAGACTACAAAGTAGATGAGTTTTCTATGCTTTGTCGATATTAACTTACTGAATTGTTGTAAAAATCTGATCAGGAAACAAAACCGACCGTTATGGAATGCCAAATAAACATATGTTCATAAAATGACCACGAGTATAGAATACCAGAGAATAGGAATAGACCAATCCCAATCATGTACTTATTATCGTGCTATAAACAGTTACAGTTAACTTGAGTTAATTTAATTGAATCGCTACTTTTTTTCGCATTCACATGCAAAGCATAGCCCTTTCCAGATTCACAAATTGTATAAACTCTGTAGTTTAAAAGGTTAGAAAATAAGACTTTAGTAATCTGCTATTGCTTTGATACTCAGAGAATTGAACAGTTGAAAAGATTTCGACTTTTTCATCTAGTGAAAAGCATTAATTCTGCTTACATAGGTTTAAAATTTCCGTAGATATAAGCATCGTGGAATTAATAACGCGATATTGCGAACATTGCTCTCAAGATATGAAAATATCATTAGCTTGAAAGACAGAGTTAGTATGGAACTAAAAGTTGTCATGGGTGAAGAAAGCATGTTGATCCGATGGGAACTAAGTGACGTAATTGTTTGAGTAGTCAATTAATGAAATTTAAAAAAAAGTTCCTGATTAATTGAAACTTAATGTTTTGTTGCAAGGCGTCGTTATATTGGATTTGTCTGCCGTAGTCTTTTATTCTATCCATCACGGAATTTCAAACAAAGATTGCATGTCGGGTAATCGATACTTCTACTGGTGGTAGTGCTCCATAGACTTAAGCCTCGAGGTCAGTTTTTAATCTGAGCCTATCCCGCATTATCAAGAGCTTTGAAGTATTTGTTAAAACCATAAAAATTCTTTTTAAATATACGGTCCTTTATAATAGAGATTTTTTTTTCGTCGCTTCCAAATGGTGCAATGCTATATTAAAAGAATTTCGATTATTTCAATGAAGTGTATAGCCCCGATACATATACGCCGTCAGATATTGTATATTTATCAAAAAGAAGAGTGTTGATGGAAGAAATTCGGGGCAATATGGTTTCATCCAAAGGATCCTTCTCCACATCCCACTGTAAGATTTGAAACCCACCATTTAAAACTTTATTGCAGAAGCTCAAAAACTTGTAAAAAACATCACCTGTGTTACACAAAAACAGAATGCATTCATGAATCTGACCTTTTGACCTCATAATCAATATGGGTCTATTTAGGCCCAGGAGAGTTACTTTATAAAATTTCACTGCAAAAGCTCAGTCTTCTTGAAATATTTTAAAGTGTTGCACACAAACAGACTGTATGAATTCGTGACCTTGTCCTTTGATCTATTGACCTTAAAGTCCAATGGAGTTGTGATATTAAACTTCACTGCAAAAGCTCAGGGACATTGAAAGATATTGCCAGTGTTGCAATCTCCTTAACCTTTGAATCTCGAAATCAATAGGGGTCTTACTAAGACCATTGGAGTTATGATATAAAAAAGCTCAAACGCTTCTTGAGATATAGCCTGGAACCAAGTGTGATACTCAGAGAGAATGTATTAACTTTTACCTTGACCTTTGACTATTTTACCTAAAAATTGACTTCTTTAGCCTATATGGAGTTGTAATATAAAATTTCATTGTAATAGCTCATATGCTTCCAGAAATATTGTCTGTCAAAGAAAGGAGTAGTTACACACAGACAAATATAGGCAGATGGATGGATGGACAAACAGACCCAAATAAATATCCCCTACTTTCACTGTCCTTTTGTGTTCAATAAATCAGAAGTGATAAAAGAACTAGATAGATTACATGATCAGTACGTACTGGTCCATGCCGACAAAGCAGGTAACAACATTGTCTTCGTTTGTAAGGCTCATTATATAAATTGTATTCCAGAAGAACTTGGATTTAATTCTACAACTGGTAATCCTACTTATACTCATACTTCCCTTTCTACATCGTCTCAAGCCACGGTCCGGAGTCCGCATATAGCTTTCTCCTACCCGTAGCCTGGTTCCCTGTCCCTGTTTTGCTTCGTATACTCCGCGTCACTAGCCTTGGCAAAGGATGAGTCAGGGGACCAGGCTATCCTACCTGTGGCTGCTTGATCACAAAAAGTGTCGTAATCTTGAATATTTACGCCTCTCTATTGTGACGTCATATTCAGTCAGTGGCAAGTTTTGTATCGAACAACAACTGACGTCAACAGTATACAAATATAAGAAATAAGAAATATTTCCTTTACTGCGATTGGATATTGAAAGGTCGCGATATAAGTCCATCTTCCGACTAATGCTCTCCTCGTTCAACCACGGCCAGAATGGGAGATGATCGTACATTTTGGCCGTGGTTTGCGACGATGCTCTTTCTAAGGAAGAAATTCTTCAAAATCATCGTATTTTTATACCCCCCGCTTGAGAAGCGGGATTTCCGTCCGTCTGTACGTCCGTCCGTTTGTTACGTTTTATCTCTTATCCGCAACTCCTCTTATACTACTGAGTGAAATTAAATGAAACTTACATAGAATCTTTATTACATATTGCCATTGTGCACCTCCTATTTTACTTTTTCATTCTACACGTATTTTAGGTTTCCATTATATGTTTACCTATGACGTCACATACATGTATAGAAGCTTCTGGAAAACATTTGATAGAAGAGTTATTCCTCTTTACACATTACCGTAACACAATTTATTATACCTCTGTTAAAATGTTTCCGATATAAAGTTCAGAAGGTAAAATACCTATCTTTTATAGTTCACGCATAGCAAAGCTATACCCCGGGGTATAGTTTTTGCTATCCACCTTCGAAAAATTTTCATGCAATTTTTGCCTCCATATTTTGATTTCCAACGATTCACTGATGATGTCATAATGACTTCAGTATCATTGTGACGTCAACACACAGATTATTCTTGCCGTATTATCTTACTCCGAAAAAATTCAAACCTCAGAAATTATATTATACATTAATATAATAAAACGCTTATCCACTGTTTGTGAGTGGGATAACTCTTTTATCAAACCCTTAACTTTCAGAAGCCCTCGGCCTAGTTCTTTTTTGATAATTCCCACTCACACCCAGTGGATAAGTGTATAATATAGCAACACATGGACATTATGGGAGGCGGGGGGGGGGGGGGTATTTAAATGTGTTCATGCTCACACAGTTAATATTCCACAGAGCCAAAATGAATTTGAACTACCTTATATATATTGGATTCCGAAACGTCATAAGAATCCTTACAAACAAAGATACCTTGCGGGTTCCAGTAAATGTTCAACCAAGCCTCTTTCGTTACTCCTCACTAAGATACTGACAGTAGTGAAGGAAAGGAACTTCAAGAGTACTGTGCAACTATATATTCAAGAAGTGGTGGGAATCAGATGTGGATACTAAAAAATTCCAAAGAACTTTTGGATAATTTGAAATCACAAGATTTTACCAAAATCAACAGCTTAAAAATTACGACTTTTCAACTTTATACACAACCATTCCCCAGCTTTTTGATATCATTGACAGCTGCTTCTTTAATAAAAATGGAACTTGTAAATTTACTTACCTGGTCATTGGTCATTTGCAAAATTATTTTGTTAAAACAGATTCTGATTGCACACACAAGTTGACATCAAGAAGATGCTTGAGTTTCTGATTGACAATATCTATGTGTTTTTTGGAGACCAGGTCTTCCAACAATCTATTGGAATTCCCATGGGTATCAATTGTGCTCCGTTATTAGCAGACCTATTTCTAAATTCATATGAAGCAGAATTTATGCAAAATCTTATGTGTGATAAGGAGAAAACACTTGCTCTGGCCTTCAGATATATCGATGACGTATTGTCAATTAACAATGGTAATTACGATATATCCAGGAGAGCTTGAGATAAAAGATACCACAGAGTCTGACACATCTGCTTTATACTTGGATATTTTACTTGAAAAAGACGTTAATGGTAACCTAACAACCAAGTTATATGATAAACATTACAACTTTAACTTTTCTATCGTCAACTTCCCTTACTTATGCAGCAATATACCTTCTTCACCTGCATACGGAGTGTATATATCTCAGTTGATTTGATACGCAAGAGCATGCGCTATGTATGAACAATTTCTAAAACGATCGAGGTAAATTACTGACAAGCAAGTTGATTAAACAAGTATATCTGGAGTCTCGTTTAAAGTCATAATTTTTTAAAGTTCTATGGTCGATACAATGACCTTGTCAGCAGATACAATTTATCATTGAGTCAAATGCTGACTGACGTTTTTCATACGAATTGTTAGTCCATTATTTATACACTGAATTGACGACGGATTTTTCCATTATTTCACGATCATAACAATGAGCACACGGCGAGTGTGACCAGTCAGCAGGGGATGCTCACTCCTCCATGGCACCTGATCCCACCTCTGATGTTTCAGAGGTCCCTGTTTGCTCTGCTTTTATTTTGCATTGTTTTATGGACTTTGAGATTGAATACTGTTTGTTATCTCCATATCCTTCTTCAATGAAAGCTAGGCACAACAAAATTTCCCAGAGTTAACCTCTGACATCCTCAGCACTACTACAAGTGTGATTTTCCTCAGCAAAGAATTCAAAGCTGTATTTTGGTAACATACATACTTTATGAAGTCAGTCATGACATGCAAGGGAATTTTTACAAATTATTACATTAATTTAACAAAAACATTCATCACTGTATCACAATTTCTTCCACAAGACTAGGAAAATATTCCATGTGATCCATGAGAATTATAGGGAACACTTGTGATATGGTATTTGACAAAGAAATACAAATATTTTAAATATACTATAAGCTTATCATTTCTAAACGTATCTTGCATCAATGAAAGTTCTTGAATATCTTAAATATATCTTCTCTTAAATCAAAATGATCATTAGGACAGAAGAGAGTTTACTGAACAAGACAAAAGGTGTACTGGCTAACCTAATATAAATATAGCTTTCAAAGACATGTAACAGGAATGTATAAATCCTTAAATTAAATTCTCAGTGTGTTATTAAAGCCAATTTACACAAGTCTTGGTTTTAAACCTATGTATAGGATATAGGCTACATTTGTTATAACATAATCACTGATTATCAAGAATCTTCTTTAAAACACACATATTTATAAGACATTTACATCATAAATAATTTGATAATAAATATTCTATATGAGACATTTCAGCAAACCTTACTTTCAGACACTTGCCTATATTTTATGAAGTTCAAATAAACAAGTACATAAAATGAAGTTTAAAATGTGTTTATGTCACACATAGATCATAATCTTGATTCTTACTTATAGTTTTCACACACTGAAAAAGTTAATGAGCAAATAATGTATATCTAAGAGAACAGAAAAATATTAATGCAAATTTCTGGAATCAAACCACAATACCGCATTATTTTACAGCAAGATTTACTAAAACTAATTAAAAAAGCACCAGAATGACTTAATGTTAAGCACGTTGCAATCACCCACACTTACAGAATGCAGAGTTACAGCCAAACTTCATTATCTCGAGGTCCATGGGATTTGGGGAAAAACTTTTCAAGATACCAAAGGACAGCTGCATGACATTCATCATTGTCTTAATATATAATTATCATTCATAGATCCAGTAAAATATATCAGTACCATCTACACAAAGCAATGCACATTACAATTACATGTACATGTACAATTATTATAAAATACACCCATTTCGTACATTTCTATCTAAAATCAAATAACAACATTTAATGACAATCATTCAACAAATCGTAAAATTTTTACAAGAAAGAAAGAAAAATTATGTGTCAGTGAGCCAAATAATTCTTTTTTGTAAATGGTTAAATTTGACTCTGCAGTGTACTGTAAATCACTTTTTATTCGCGAGAACTTTATTTTCGCGTAATTACGCGAGACGGTATACTCGCGAAAATTTCATTGTCCATATAATAAAATTCCTTAAGATTATATAGAGCAACAAACACAATTCGTGAAAATTTTGTCTTGCTGATAAAGAGTCAATGACTATCTCGCGAAAATAAGGTGTCGCGAAAATTAAGTGATCTACAGTATATTTATACAAGTTTCAGAAACTTAATATTCACTGGTATTACCTTTCCTAATGCCTACCCAAATACAATGATCAATGGCATACCCAACAACTTACCCTTAAATTATACACAGCCTCTGATAAGAGTTAATAATAAAAATATCTTAGTCCAATCACAGCCTAATGTTTATGACCTATAGATAAAATCACAGGCAGCACTGCTCCTACAATGATGGCCACCAGATCTTTACTCCTGAATCCTTTATGTTCGTGGATGACAACACTGCCATCAGGATTACTGTGTTGAGTTTTTGATGAAGACACCTCTGGAAGGACATGAACTGTGGCCACATACAGAAAAGTCCCGGCACTAAATAACATGGCTATCCCCGTTGTTTTTGTATCATTCAGTGATTCTATACTTCTCTGCAATTTGAAATAAAGCTTACTATTTAGTGTGCAATTCACAATTTCATGATGAATTATATTTCTTTTCAAGGAGATACAGCCTAAATATACTCATCAGTATTTTAAAATTCAAATTAATCCAAATAATTAAATGCTTTTACTTTCAAGTACAGGAGAGCAGCCAGATTATTAAAACAGAAATATTCATATTGTTTCGAAAATGAATATTTCCCTTTATTATATGATTGAATATTTTCCATCTCTCTGATTGGCTGAGATCCAACTATGTTAGAGAAATACTACGTTGTATTGACCTGCAAGTGACGTTCCAGGTCAATACAAGGATTTATTTCCTCTACATTGATCTAAAAATAGATCGGGAAATTCCAAATTGATACAAATTGTTTTGGAAATCTATTTAAACGACTATGACTTTTTTTTCCAAGTGAACAAATCATAAGCGAATACATATTTTTGGGTGATGGTGGTAAGAGGGGATGCAGGGACACCCCTTCAACACTTTTACTGAACAACAATTTTTACTGTTTTCCTTGATAACAATTTTTACTGTTTTCCCTGATAATATTCCTTCCTTTGAAAATCTATACTATAGAAAAAATGACATTATATTTTTTATTCATGGCAACTAAAATTGATAAAAAACTTCAAATTGATACGATTGGTAAGGCTTATTTACATTTTAATTCTGCTTCTCTTTTGTATTTGGCTAGGACTTAATTAAATGCAAACAAGTAATGGGCTTTATCATTTTATCAGTGAATCATATAATAAAACAATTATTGCTGTTTTTGAGGTCAATACAATGATTTAGCCATCTTCGAAGTACAATATTCACCTCGCCCTCCGGGCTCGGTGAATATTGTACTCCTCAGATGGCTAAATCATTGTATTGACCTCAAAAACAGCAATAATTGTATATTATAGTGTGTATCCTCTGTGAGTGCTGTATTGTTTAATATAATAATTTGAAATCTCACCTGACTTAAAATGATATAAGTAACAATGGCTAGAAAAGGAGCTGCCACAGCAAAAACAAACAGGTGCTTCCTGATCCGATTTCTGTCGAAGCCTTCATGAAGTAGAAATGAGACAAGTCCAAAGGCTGCTGGCATCTGAAATTAACACATAAGTCATGCTGTACTAACTTATTCTTTCTTGTCTTAATTTCTCTATTGGCTATTGTAAATTTAATTCATATAAAGCAAAGCAACATATTGTTTAAATTCAGCGAGAGCTATTCACAATCATTATCAAGATATTTTTTAGTCCTGGTCAAGTTGCAATCCTTTTAATCCATATTGAATATCATGGCTTATGCATCAAGGAGAGGGTGTACATAGGCCTTGCCTGTTGCCCAATCCTTATTGAATTATTCAATAAAATATGTTGAGAGTAAAGTATAGTGTTGCCATGTTTGTTATATCCTTCCATCTTCCATCTGACCAAGAATCACCATTTACATTAGCTTTTGAAAAGGAAGCTCCTGCAGTATTATGTGTTTATATCATTTTTGAAGTTTGACATTTTATATTAAAATTTCAGACAGTGGCACACAGGGTGGCAGCAATTCATCTGTGAGATTTTTTTCTGACTTTGACTTCAAATGCAGTATGCTTTGTTTTGTACATGTATTTATTAATTCGTACCCTGACTGATGTAAAAAAAAACTCAATTGTATCGGTGTTATAATTTTCCGACCTCAACTTTCCCTATCATTGAACTCTTTCCAAATTTTGCTCTCATTTCAGAAAATTCTCAATCTGGTACATTTACTTAATTAAATGATGTTTATTAAAGATATATAGTGTAACGCATAGACTGTTCTCATATTTAAATTCTAAATTTTTATATTACCTCTTAATAGATGGAAAAGACTTTATGTACTACATATTTCAAAAAGAAAATTCAATTTAAAGTTAGTACTGTACCTATGTTGGAGTATTAATAGCCTACCTTATGCAGCATAATGGCTATGAAGACGATCATTGTAAGATGAGTGTGAGCCAGAACTGTGGCTGCTCCTAAAGCTATGCCGTCAGCTGAAACAAACATGTCATAATTAGTCTCCGGTCTTAATGAAAAATCTTAATGAGGATATACCATCTACCTAACATGAAATCTATGCCAATGATCTAATTTAGTTAAATATCTATGACCAAAAAGCTGTGAAATACGAACAGATGAAAACAATATAACTACCATCCTTGTACAAAGACGGATAAAAATTGAATACATCAAAAGATCTACAGTCAAGGTATTAATATTATATTATATCTGCATGATCTGTTAATCAAATGAAACTATTTAAAGTAACAAATTTCCAGTTTGCTTGCAACATTATTGAGTAATCAAAGTGTAGCTGTGTTTCTTCTCTGTGATGTCTGTAATCTTTATCTATAGCAGGAACAACTAGGGTGTCTGTAATCTTAACCTATAGTATGAACAACTTGGGTGTCTGTAAGCTTTACATATAGAATGAACAGCTAGGGTGTCTGTAATCTTTACCTATAGAATGAAAAACTAGGGTGTCTGTAATCTTTATCTATTGCATGAACAACTGGGATGTCTGTAATCTTTACCTATAGCATGAACAACTAGGGTGTCTGTAATCTTTATCAATAGCATGAACAACTAGGATGTCTGTAATTTTTATCAATAACATGAACAACTAGGGTGACTGTAATCTTTACCTATAGCATCAACAACTATTGTAGGGTGTCTGTAATCTTTACCTATAGCAGGAACAACTATCATAAGAGTATCTGTGACTGTTACTTTTATCTGCATCATGACCAATTAATCCCAGGTGTTATTCTTACCTGCAGCATGAACAACCAATCCTAGAGTAGCTGTGATTCTGTTTCTGTTTTGTTGAAGAGTAGTTTGTCCTGCTTCTGCATCTGCTTAAAAAAAACATATACAAGTTTAACAGAACTATTTACTTAATTTTATTTTCTATCTTTTACAATAAACGAATGCATTAAATTTTGATATTCCATGAATTATCCCTCCAAGGTGATACAAAGTGATTTAATTGTAAAATCGACAACAATGAACTATGTTGTGTGTTATTATACATGTACCCCCCGCTTTCAAAGGTTTCTGTCTGTCAGTCTGTAACCTGTCCATTAGGCTTTGGGGTACCCATCTCTTATCCACATCTCCTCTAATACACTGTACCATCGAATGAAACGTTCATAGAATCTTTATTACAAAGTGAAATTGTGCATCTTCTTTATTTTTCACTTTTTGATCTAACACATATTTTGGGTTTCCCATAGCAAAACATGGACACTGCCACTCTTTCTATGATACTGAAGGATATCCATCTCTTATCTGCAATTCCTCTTATACCACTGAATAAAATTAAATGAAACTTTCAAAGTTTCTTTTAAACATAGTGCCACAGTGCACCTCCTATTTTACTTTTTGATCTGACACTCATTTTGGGTCTCCCAAAGCAAAACATGGACTTTGCCATTATAATCATATGAAGAGTGGGGTATCATTTTGTGAGCTCTGTGCTAACAGTGGTAGACAAACTTGTAGAATTTTAGTCTTACAACAGCACATTAAAGTTTCCTAATTTTTCATAAATACTGTATACAGGGAAATTTTCGCCCCCTTTTTATTTTTGCCCCTTTCGCCCTTCCCTCTTTAGGGCAAATTTAAAACGGTGTGAATTCACATAATACAGTAATATGTCTTAAACAAAACTCTGAAAGGGTGAATTTAAAACTGGGCAAAATTGTTTGCAAGTGTGGAAGGGCAAAAATAACACGGGGCGAAAATAACCCTGTATACAGTAGTCATAAAAATCCCAATTTCTAAGACTGCTGCCCCATTCCCAATATGTTATGGAAAATCCCTGTGTCAGTAACATTCCTTGGCATGCAGTATTACAGAGTATTATCAGTACCTGCCGGTGCATGAGCATGAGCTCCTCCTATCTGATCCACAATCAGCATAAATATAAATCCTGCAACCAGAGTGATTCCAATAAGAGAGTGCACATCGGCTGTGCTGTGATGATGTTCATGGTGACCATGCTCTGTAGCACTATGTTTCTCTGTTTCCTTTGAACTGGATTCATGGTGATGAGCATGACCATGGTCTAGAAAACAATTAATAAAATCATTTTTCAAGTGAAAAAAGAAGTAAACTTAGATAAGTGCAAAAAATTAATTGAAAAGCACTTTTAATTCAATTTTCATTTTCACATACCCCCTGAAGTGTACATGGCATTGATTCCCTCTGGAATTATAACAGCTAATGCTGTTCCAACAAGTAGTCCAGCACCAAATATTGTCACTGACTTCAGTTTGTCCTAAAATATTCATTAAATGATACTGGATGTTGTTTTTCTGCAAATGAATTATAAAGTAATCATATTTTCCCAATTTTTTTGTCGTTTTCGTCATCACTGTGACTGTATTAAGGACTTTGGTGCTAACCATATTGCTCACTTTGTGCATTTGGCCAAAAAATGCATATAAAGCAAAAGGTTGTTAAAACAGCTATCTAGGTTTAAATACCTAGGTAGCTATAAGTAGCTACGTAGCTAGAAAACTTTGGACTAGACCTGGTAGGTACTTCAAACTAACAGGTCCAGATCAATACCCTGATAAAGTTATGTAGCTTGATAAAGCTATATAGCTTTATCAAAGTATATATGGTCGAAGGTCCTATAGTCGTGCGTACCCAGTAGTCGTGCACCATTTTGTTTGTTGTCAAAAGTTGGTCACGTGCTATGATATTACGTCACAAACAACTGATTTTCAAAGAAGAGAGTAGGTAGTGCCTACTCTCAAAACAAAAAGTTAAATATGCAGTGGAAACATTTATTAATTAATCAAATAAACATGTCTAATTGAGCATCAATAAAAACCACCATTTTGCTGATACTCTTTTTAAAGTTTCTAAATATATACTCTACCTGCACGGAAGCGCCACCTATGGACATGGCGAGCACATGGCTAATTAGCATAATCATATGTGTCAGATGGTCACTGGGTATTTTATTTTTTTTTTCTTTTGTCAAGAATTTTAAAAGATGACTTCATAAAATTGCTATAGTCCTTATACTGAAATACGTAATTATTACGTAGAAATACGTGTAAATAAAGAGTGATGAAAAACTTATGACTTATTTTAGAAAAACAATCGTAAACCTAATTAAATCAAATAAATTCTTAAAATTATTGAATTGATCCTTGAAGAATCTGTTTTTATTTTGTTTTCATTTTTCTTGGACCTATATTTGCTGCTACATTCAAGCGCACGACTACTGGACCAAAACAAATATGGCGGACGTAAAACTCACTTGTTTTGTGCCCCGATGTTAAAATAAATAAAGCGCTTAGAAATATTTTAATAACAAGATAATTAGAAAGAAGAAGGTACAGTTTCAATACAAATTAAGCCCGATATTTTTCTAAAATATGAAAGTGATATAAGAAATCAGAATTCATTCTTTCTGAATCATAGATATCCCCTATAATAAGAATATACAAATCGTTTCTCTCATATAACCTCCTTAATGCTAATTGTGACGTCATTAACTTGTGCATTTTCCTGTATTCTCTTAAAAAGTTGCAGAAGACATCAATTTTCAGTGGAATTGTCTTGAAAACATACTCTGCCACAGTCGCCCAGAAAGATTTTGAGATATGTGATTTTTCATAGCAGTTTACATAAATATCCAAAAATTTAAAGTGGGCGACAGTGGCAGACACTATTTTCTAAAGAAAAATTAGCACAAAAATGAGTCATTTTGAGGCTTTTCTGCATTAAACTTAGAAATGGACCAAATTAATGACGTCATATTTCCAGAAAGGTCCTCCTTCATGCCATATTCTTCCATGATTTATCTTCATCAACTCAACTTTTGTTAAAGCCAATTTCATAACCTTTGACGAACATTAAATTTTTAGGGCACAATAAAGCTCAAACTGTACCTTCTTCTTACACGGTAAGTTAAAATATCAGATGAAGTAACCATAATTTTTATTTAAATTGTACTAAGCACTGATACTCTCGTAAGAGCACGACTACTGGTAGATAGAATGTTCTATCGTTAAAATGATATTGTCCTACGGACCCGGTTTAACGATAGAATTCGTTCCGTGTATTCGTAATGTAGCAGAAAGAAACACGGGTGATAACTCGCATAGTGCATTTACTAGGAACAATCTAGAGAGTTCCGAATGTAAACATGGCAGGTAATTTTGAAGCGAGAGAAAAACGTGGAGAAAATTAATTGGATTTTCGTATTTATATGGATTATTTTTTGGGATAAAAGGCATAAGCAATCTCAAGAAGGTTTGTTTTGAGTATTTTGGTAGTTATTCCCAGTGCAAATCATTTTATATCCTTCAAAATCGTTTTGGAGCGGATCCGCTCCGATTTGCTACATTGCAAGTATATGGGACGTATTCTAACTGTGGTGAGGGCCTGTACCGAGACACAGTTAGATTATTCTAACTAGACTACTGGGCACTCGAGGGTACCTTAATTATCAGGGTATTGTGCTGGACCTGACTAGGTAGCTCAATGTATATTATTGTATTAAATTTATACAAGAGTGTTTACATTGTGTCTTCTCTTTGCCCATTAATTTGACAAATAAACTGATTGAATTGTACTGATTTTACTAGACTTGGATGTATTACACACTATAAGTGTAAATGGACAATACCTCTGACAAAGTTATGGAGAGTGGAATCATTCCCGCTACATAACAGCCAATTAACATTGCTAGTGATAGCAATATAAGGGTCCACAGATCGTCCATGATGCCAATCAATTCTGATCCAAGAAAACCTTGGTAGAAAGCAGGCAATAACAGCTGTAAAATTTTACATGTCGACGACTACATGGATCAATGTTTGTAATATACTATAAAACCAGCTATGTTTTCTTCGTATCGTAAAACGCATAAATGATTAATTTTCGAAAAAGGGAAGAGTTGTACATACTTTAGTCGGAAATTTCAACATTCATTTCAGACAAACGTTATGATTGTTAGGAACATATGGTGAGCTTAATAAGATTTTTTTTTAATCACTAACACGCTCTATAGGCATGTTACATAAATTTCAGGCTAGCTCTTTAAGCCTTTCTACGATTTACGTGATGTACGATGTACGAATAATTTTAAGTGTGAGTTACTATTTTAAATTATTTTTTAAAAGTTATTTAATATTAATTTCAATTTAATCATCTTTTCAAAACTTTCAACATCTTTCATTTTTCCAATTTTATTTTTTTATTCCATTTATGTAAATATTTGGTTTATCTTCGTAGCTTCTCGAGGCTTTTCATACAAAATCGTTTCTCGAATATGAAAATGTCCGAGTATGTACAATCGTAACGAAACTGGTCCCCTTTACTTCCAGGACTAGTTTAGCTGCGTGTGGTTGCATCTCATCTTGAAAATCTAAAGATCTAGAAGTCACAATGGTAATACATCTTTACTATGAAAGCAAATATGCCTTGAAATAAGTGTTGTAATAATGTAAAATATCACAATATCCTGTTTATTCTTGAAATACCGGTTGCATTTTTCAACAACAACAAAATTCTCATGCCTCTTCTTGCTGAAGCTAAATGTGGTTCTTACGTTTACAGGTCTAGTACAATTAGCACATTTAACTGTGTAGCTTGAGCTACTTCATAGCTTTATTTAGTTACCAAAAGTATCTTATTTAGCTTTTAATCACGCTTACTTCTTGATGCATAAATAGCACATTGACAGGTAAGGTTTGGATCAATTTCCATTGTTAGAATGATCTAACTGTCTCGGTACAAGCCCTCACCACAGTTAGAATACATCCCTTATACTTGCAATGTAGCAAATTGGAGCGGATCTGCTCCAAAACGATTTTGAAGAATATAAAAAGATTTGCACTGGAAATAACTACCAAATTAATCAAAACAAACCTTTTTGAGATTGCTTATGCCTTTTATCCCAGAAAATAATCCATCTAAAGACGAAAATCCAATTAATTTTCTCAACGTTTTTCTCTCGCTTCAAATTTACCTGCCATGTTTACATTCGGAACTCTCTAGATTGTTCCTAGGAAATGCACTGAGTTATAGTGAGTACGAGTTATCGCCCATGATTGTTTTGCTACATTACAAATACACGGAACGAATTCTATCGTTAAACAGGGTCCGTAGGACAATATCATTTTAACGATAGAACATTCTATCTACAATTTCCTTAACAGGATAGAATATCCCAAAACAAGCTATAGAATGACTCAAATGGACTATAGTAAAAAGCCCGTACATGCTATAGACCATTTGTTTTTATATGTCAATAGAAAAACTTGTTTCTGTAAGATGCCAGGTCGCAGGCACTTGTTTCGGATACAGGGCATCCCTATTTATTTTTTTACTACAAGGTAGTGGTACCCAACTCAATTTCAGCCACCCCCACTTCAAGCCAGTAATTTAACAATTTATTAGTCTTAATCTACTTCAAAAATATATGGTTCGCTTCTAGAGATTTTTTTTTTCTTTTCAAATATAGCATTGCAGACATCTTTGATCAAGTCTCTTTATTGTAAACCACTCATTTATACCTCAAAAATTACATTACAACATTTTAAGACATTAGATTGGATATACAAACTTCCGGTTATTGGTATAGTGTTGGATAAAATCAGCATGGGAATTGAGTTAGGTCTTAATTGAGTCTATATCTCGTTGAACTGATAAATTAAGATGGATGACCTGAGAGCTACATTGCCACCCTTGAAAAAAAAAAGTGTATTTATTGTGCTCGCTTCTGGATTTATTTTTTCAAATTCTTCAAATTCACAAAAGCTCAATTTCCAAAAAAAAAAGAAAAAACTCCTTGGACCTCTATTTGCACAAAGTGCATTAGACCGAATTATCTTTCCACCCAAAACTGCAGTGTGAATAGGCGAACTTTTGTTGGTCTTAGTATCAGGCCCAGGAGAATGATTAAACAACAGTAATGAAGAAAGTTTTGTTGTGTGAAATAGTTACCGTATATGTTAAGAATTTTGAGATGGTATTTTGAAAAACATGGAGTTAAAAATTAAGAAACAGTGCTTTTTTTTTTTTTTTTTTTTTTTTTTGCATTTAATGTAAGAACAATAAGAAAATCATTCTGATATAACAAAAGGTGGTCAGAGATATCTGAAAATCTCAAGAGATTTTGCCAACTTTAGACCAATTATATCTTTAAACTGCTAAGTTTGCTTCTTATAATCAAATTATAATTTAGAATTGTTACCAAGGAACCATACACCCATATATAATGAAATTAATTGAACCTAATGATGAGTAATATACAACAGCATTACAAATTTTAGGTACCAGTGATACATGGAAGTGAATAGTGGAGTTTCAAATCTTTATATATTTATATCTCCTGTTGCAAATAAAGCCCTAGACAGAAAAAATCCATGCATTCTTTATCATGTTTTATTTTATATAATATACTTGAAGGCTCTGATTACACAAGATGTCCAAGGCCATTTTAAACCTCTCATCTATTCAAGATTGATTTTACCAGATTGGAATCAATTACCCAAATGGGATAAATAAGTATCCCATTTAACTTGGGTATAACAAACCCAAGGAAAGCTAAGAAAAATTGAACAAAATGTTGACTAAAATTTTATAAATTATAAATCTTAATGCTACACCAGTAGCAGCTTTAGATTATTAATATTTTTTTGTATAGGTATCCTATGATTTGTAAATTGATCCTGCAATAGACTGGGATTATAGAAAACTTGGCTCACTTGTAAGATTCCCAAATATTATGTTTAACAGTCTTTAGAATCTATATAATTTCATTATTATGTAGACAAAGTGTTACCTTTATGTATATTTTACTCTTTACAGTCTCACACAATTCTACTAGTGCAGCCAAATCCTCGACCTGATACAAGGACATACTCCGACTACGAGTCCCTCAACGAGTGCTTAGAAGGTTTGGACTCTCTCCAGTTTTAAGATATATACAAGAATTATTGAATGGTTTTACCCATAAAGAGGTTAAGGTTAAATTTACCATTTACTGTAAACCAACTTTTATTCCTGACAACTTTATTTCGCAATTTACCGGGGGTAAACTAGGTTGCGACAATTAATTTTTGCGATCAAGCCTTATTGAATATGTTTTTAATAGACACAGAGACTTTAAGGACTGGTTAGCAGCGAGAACTAATAGCCATGACCATGCTCTTGTGAACCTCACGAAAATTTCTCACATGTGAAAAAAAGTTGGTTTACAGTATTGGGAATAGAGAGAAACCTTTTAAATTCTCTTCAATCAGTTTTATCAATCTGTTTTATCCAGGAATCTGTAAGATTTACTTTTGATGTATTTTTATCAAGGAATCTGTAAGATTTATTTTTGATATATTTTATCCAGGAATCTGTAAGATTTATTTATGATGTATTTTATCCAGGAATCTGTAAGATTTTTGATGTATTTTATCTAGGAATCTGTAAGATTTATTTTTGAGGTATTTTATCTAGGAATCTGTAAGATTTACTTTTGATGTATTTTATCCAGGAATCTGTAAGATTTACTTTTGATGTATTTTATCCAGGAATCTGTAAGATTTACTTTTGATGTATTTTATCCAGGAATCTGTAAGATTTATGAGGAACATCTGAAGAGGCAGAATCCTGACTGTCCCTCCATTACTTATGACATTTCCCAGCTGTTTGATTTTGTGGATCAGCTGACAGACCTAAGCTGTCTGGTGTAAGTGGAAATTGTGTTACAAACATTATTTAACCAATTTAATTGTTTATCAAATACATGAATGTATCTACAAAATTGTTTACTCTTAACAGCTACCAGAAAAACCAGGGAAGTTATGCTCCCCACAACAAAGACTGGCTAAAGGAAAAGATCTACATCATGCTGAGAAAACAGGCAGGCCGTTAGCTCTACAAGGAAGGTGGAGAAGAGAACATTGACTTTTCATATTCCCGTTTCATCATACATTCATATTCATGAGATACGTACATTGTACTATGTTGTTGCAGCTACAGTAACAGTTGTTTAACATCCATTGTTGGTTTTACAAGTACCACTATGTAGCATTATTGTTCATGACTTAGTTTTATGTTTATCCATTTATAAATGTAGAAAGAAAAGTTTTTTTAGTTTGTGAAAGAATTTTGTCAGATTTGAGTATGACTGGTTGTTGCAGTAGCGTGACTTGTACAATTGTTTAAAAAAATAGCAATCAAAGTAAACCTGTACCCCAGAAGTTTATTTTCAATAACATGGCCTCTAATTTATGACAATTGGTATGCAGTTTATAAAATTTTGCTCAGTTTTTAAGTATGCATGAAAAAAAAATTTGAAAATTTTGAACATACATGTATATCATGTCTGTGTAAGAGTTAAAGCTGCAATTTGATCTCTGGATTTTTATTTCACATATACAAGTTTCACAAAATTGTTGAAAATATTGTTTAACTATCTTTTTTTTCTTCTTCAAAATTTACATAAATATTATTTTTGACATAGGTCCAATCTCACTTTGAAGATTTTGAGATCAGAGCCCTTATTTTTAATATTTGTATAAAAATTGGGGCAATGTTTTCATCATGATTGACTGATTCAGAAAGTTGTACTTTTGCTGAAAAAATATTTTGATTTATTGTGTCAAGTACAAAATACATGTATATATATACCTAGGGTTTCCATATTAGGTTTTTTTGATAAATTTGTGAGAGATTGTATTGACTAGATTTTCATTTCATAAGGCAGATTGATTTTGAAAGAAGTTTGTAGAAAATAAATATTTCAGTTTTTCATGCTCATGACTTGTTTTTTTCCCTATTTCTTTACATTTTGCAAGCATTTCAATCAAAACTATTTGTGTGCCTGCCTGGCAAGATCTTTCATTGGTGTACAGCTCAGATGAGTAGTGGACCTGGTCTGTTGATTGTCTCCCTCTTACACCCACTATAAAATTCATGAGTCCTTTCGTGATAAGCTTGAGGTTGATTGATTGATGTTTAACACCGAGTCAGCAATATTTCAGCGGAAACTATGTTTATATGAACTGTTTTGAGAGTTTTAAGCTCACCTCAACAAAGTTGGCATCGGCATTCCAGGTTAAGGTTTTTGGAGCTTTTTTCTTTGTAAGTAGTTCTATGCCCTATATTGATCATACGTGCATGGTACATGCTTCCAGTGTGTTTCATTGAACCAGAGGTTTCATATGCTGCAATTTCAGCAAAGGAATGGCCAGGTTAATGTTTTTGGAGCAGGTTAACACTTCTGGTGCAGGTTTTTTTTTCCAAGTAACTATGAGCCCTATGATGACCAAACTTGCATGGAGGATGCATACAACCAGACTTGCTTCGGATGCAGGATCTGACCTATATTTTCTGGACGAGTGAACAGGTTAATATTTTGGTTCAGGTTCCATTTCCAAGTAACGGAGCCCTATGATGACCAAACATGCATGGATGAAACATCTAAGGATGCACACTGATAGACTGTCTAAGACTTGCTTTGGATGCTGGATCCCACATACAATCTCCAGATAATGGATTAGGTAAATGTTATGGGTGCAAGTTTAACACCAAGAAACTATAAGACCTATTAACCAAATTTGCATAAATGATGCATCAAGGGATGAACACTCACAAACTTGCTTCAGATTCTGAATTAAATTTTCTTAATGGGCAACTAGTTTAAAGGTTTTGGATAGGTCTATTTCCAAGTAACTGCAAGCCCTATCAGATCAAAATTGCATAAATTTTGCATTTTGAGATGTAAACTTCTAGAATGTTAGTTAATTGTGGGACTTTGCCTTACTTAAAGACAACATTCATTGAGGTGCATGAGCTGTGTAATCTCTGATTTCCTATGTTTGGTTTCTCTTGCAACCCCCAGTGAGAGTACCCTTTTCCGAAAACCAGGGAAAGAAATCTTTTATGTGACAAGGGAGTTGCAATCTGTGACACTTGGCAGCATTTAACATCCCATCCAACAGACTTCAAAATTTTAAAAGTATTTATGCAGTTGAAAGGAAAACTTATGTGTTTATCAACCAAATATATTACATTGTGTACCATCAACTTTTACTATACCAAGTTCAATATCAAATCTAGCATTGGAATCGGATCAGGGTTTAATTTAGTCATCATATGCAACACTGAACAAGTCTAAGTATTGAAGACACAAATAGAAAATTAACCAATCCCATTCCATTTTCATTTTGGAATATTTTTCAAGGTCAATGGCACCATGAATTTTGAAACATTCAGAAGAGAATATGTTGAATAGATATTTATTTCTCATTTGAAAACACCATACAATTTACAGCTGAAAAATCAAACAAGCTCCTTGCAAGTACACATTCCTCCATGCACAATTTTGATCAAAATATCAAACAAAAGTCTATTCAAAATTGAATAAAACATTACAAGTGGTGGAAATTTTACACATAATTTATACAAGATGTATTTCATTTTTAAGGGGACAGACTGGGGTTTTATTGTGTGAAAACTACAACAGACGAACTATTTTTATACCATATATAACTTTCATTGACTTCAGTGTACATGCCAAGTTTGGGTAAAATCTACAGCCAGGTATTTTTAAGGAACAGTCTCAAAATATGTGTACATTTACTCACTATAGGATTATAAGGGAAAGTGCCAATTTTTTGCACTTATACAAACACTACAATAGACTTTTTCTTTAAACTATAATATATGATGAGTAATATTATATAGCACATTATATTTAAGAACCAAAAAATTCTATTGCTTTGTTTCCAGAGGGGCATCCCAAAATGCCAAATAAAGTGCCACGCCACAGCATGATACGCCCGTCAAAAAATTACAATTACAATGTATCTTAAACAGTTAAAAGTGCAGGAAAATCATGTCAACCTTGATTTTAAGATTTCAATGATTTCTACACACCTTAAAAAATTTGTTTATCCATCTCCAGTGGTGTACGCATTAATTATAACAAATATTGCATCCTTCATAGAATTCTATACCTTGCCAACTGTCTATCATATTAAACAATATCAAATTAGTCTTCACAACTTAATCTATACCTAATTAATTTTGGAAATAAAAGGCTGGCCATCAAATATAAACTTACCAACAGTTCTTCCGTCTAATTCCCGAAGGATACAGATAGACCATGCTCTGAAGAAATGAAAGAGACATGCAGCTAGCCTTCCTACATTGAACACATTAATTAATCTTTAACTGGATGCTTGTCTACTCATTACTCCCAAAAGATTATTGGATCTGCACTATCTACCATAAAACATTTTTAAAACATATAAAACATCAATGATTTTTTTTTCAGATTTAATGTCAGACAGTTAATTGTTAATATGCAATTCATATGGACATGCAGATTCCACCCCTACCCCAATAAAATTAATTTTTAAGTTCATAATATTATGTAATATCAAAATGGTTTAATATGCAATATCAAATTTGTCTTAATTACTTCTCATCAAATTCATTTTAAAACTTCGGCTAGCCAACAAGAGCTATTTTTAATCCAACAGGCTTACCCATTTGGCCCAATACTCAAGGGATATGGATAGCACCGATGCTCTTACAGCTACTCCTCACACTAAACTCATTAATTTCTCTCTCTAATTTGACATGCAATTTTCTGTTATCAAAATTCTTCTTGACCAGTGCTTGATAATTAGACTCATGGGAGTGGTGGAATTTCTCTAACATACATTATATTTGTTATAGGTTGCTGTCAAGTATATGCTAAAAAAACAAGTATTTTCTTGATTTAACATTTTTCTAATAAGGTTAGTGCAATAGTTTTACATTTTTTTGAATGTGTAAATGAATAGAAAAAAAACATTTTTTTTTTAATTCCACTTAAAGGTCACAGTACCTTGAAATAGGTCGCGACACACCTTCTGCCTAAGAGGCATAATCTGGCCAAGTTTGATGATTCTAAGTCTAATAGTTTTCTAGTTATGGACCGGACAGGATTTTTTCATATTTGGCTATAACTTTTTAATTATAGGTCAGAGCGACCTACTTTTTGTGCGCGACACACCTTCTACCCAAGATGTATCAGCTGACAAAGTTTGATAACTCTAGGCCTTATAGTATTAAAGTTATGAGCCGGACACGACAAAAGCTAACAGACGGACGGACAGACAGACGGACACGAAGCCTAAAACATAATACGTCCCGTCTTAAGACGGGCGTATAAAAATCATAAATTTCCTTGTTTTTATAGAGTAATACAAAATACGATGCATACAAAGGATTTATACAAAAAATATGATGGAGAGATTATTAAATTTCTGTGTTTTAAATTTCAAGAGCATATATTTATTACTTTTTCTTTTATAATATTAGTTATCCAGGTTCAATCAAGGGTGTACGGGGATTTACCCCGGGTTGTATTCCATACACCCTGAGGCCGCAGGCCGAAGGGTGTATAGGATTATATGGAAAAGTGCCAATTTTTCGCACTTATACAAATACTACAATAGATTTCCTTTGTATCTATAATAATGTTTTGTAAATTATATAGCACATTATATTTCAATCTAAAAAATTCTATAAGCTATTTATCATAGAGAATGTATGCATTGTGACGAATTTCCGTTGTTTTTACACCCGGCTACAAAATATGACGCATACAAAGGATTTATACAAAAAATAAAAAATATGATGGAAAGATTATCAAATTTCTGTGTTTTAAATTTCAAGAGCATATATTTATAACTTTTTCTTTTATAACAATTTTTAAATAGTGTCATGTTATCTAATGTCCAAAATACATGATAGAATGTCAATCTACCAATCAGTTAAAAAATTGTTTTAAAAATCAGTTATATAAATTCAAATTTATTTTTGCTGATGGCTGAGATATACATGTGTACCAATAAATGTTTCAAAGAAAAAAACTCATTTACAGTGTACTTTGGCAAGTGTTCATATGCAAAACTTGATTTCACTACCTGCTAACTTAGTATGTAAAATATTTGACACTTTTATACACTCCTTCACCAAAAAAAGAGAGAAATGAAGCAAGGTAAGTGTACTCAGCAATATACACCACCATATGTACAACCACACATAATTTAATATGAACATGATTTTTTGTCTCCATACATTAACAATAAGAAATATCTGTTCCAGTAATTTCTCATGATTTAAAAGCTAAAACACCATCTCCTTCTTAGTAAATGCCCATAATGTTTAAGTAAAAAGCTGCCATAAACCAGAAGGCTTTTTTTTCACTCGAAGGTAATTAAAACATTAAGACCCCCCCTCCCCCCAACACACAAATTGCATTTATAATTATTGAATTTAGAATTTATCAAAAGGGGGCACTGGATGTACATAATATACATGTAGTAGCAAACAAGGATAAATATAGATAAAAGGAGATGCTAGTAAAATACTAAGTATATAAAATCTTTTTTTTAACAAGAAAAGAGGTGGGTTTTATTTAAATACTTCTTTTCTTTGCATGTGTAATATACTAACAAAGAAAAACTTCAATAATTATGTCTTTTACTCTTTTAGGCAACCAACTGTTACACATTATCTTCAATGCTAAGCTCAAATCCCTCAATTTCTGAGAATTCAGAGTTCATTTTCTCCATCCACTCCTCCATTTTGTCATTCTGAAATATTCAAAGTAAAAATATCTATGAATAGCAAATTCAATTCTCTGTAATAAAATGTTCAATGGAAATACTGTGACATAAGCACTTCTTTTTTAGATCACCCTTTTACACCTCCACCTTACCCACAACCCCTAAAATAATACCACAGTAAATGCTCAACTTTGGATAACATTCGTATAACAAAATCAATCAATGTGAGAAAGAGGGTTGGGGAGGGGGGCATTCCAAAAACCTGAGTGTGCTAAAATTTCAAGCATCTGTGATGAGTACCCCCCAGTTTTTGCTGAGAAAAATGTGACAGAAATTTAGTACAGACACACACACAAATAATCAGGAAGCTGACATCAGATTCGTATAAAAATGAATCTTACCATGATATGGCATGCCTAAACATAGAGTGTGCTAAAATTTCAAGGAACCGTGAAGAGAAGTTCCTATGAAAACTGATGAAAATTTGTCACTGACACAAAGACACACAAGGGTAAAACAGTATAAGCACTCCCTTTCAAAACGGGGCATAAAAAGGTGAGGTGTGCATTGTATTATACTTCCACATGCATATTACTATTCATGTATTAAGTAAATATTGTAATACAAGTGACAGTTATTAAATGTCATAACAGTTAAATGCATTATTAATTCTTCCCACTTTTATCATATTTATCAACATACTAGACTGAATGTCACTTATTTCCCTGATAATGTGTCTATAAATCTGATCAGAATCAGGGATACATACTGCTTTGGTGACTTTCTTCTGTACATGTTTCCTCTTGGAAGGTTTGTATGTAGCTTGAAAGCTTTTGTTGACAGCCATTTCTTCAAGGAAAAAAATTGTATACTTTACAACAATTTCATCCTGAGATTTTACTTCGCAAGAATCTAATTCAAATTTTATAATATGGCATCTCTTCCAGTAACAAGTTTTTAAGATAATATAAAATTCACGAGGTAAAGAAAACAAAATTGGAGCCTGAACATACAAAACTCTACACTGCAAATATTAATTATTTATGCTAGACCTAGTATATCATTACATGTAGTAAAGAAGTTCCTACCCTCCCCTGTGGTAAACAGCTCTATGTTCTGCGATTGGTTTTTCTCATCTGTAATGCTGTCATCAAATGTCAGTTTGTGGCTAATGGAGTCCATGGAGGCATAGTCTGACAGTGGGGTGACGGGGGTACTGGAAGTCTTCTTCACTGGGGACACATTGAGGAGGGCTGGGTCACGGTAAGCGTTGAGGGAGGACTTCAGGGGGACACTAGAACTGTTAAATGGGGTGGACACAGCCTGGGCTTTAAAGTCTTTCTCTTCAACAACCTCTGGTGAGAGAAACATCCCACTGTCACTGAAGTTTTCTTTCTTTTCAGCCTTTTTACCCGAGTTCACTTTTTTCACTTTGGGAGATTTGACAATTGTTCCAACTGGTGTATCACACTTCCTCTTTCTAAGCTGTCTCTGAGAACTGACAACATTGTCCACATTTATTTTCTGAAGAGTCACAACAGGAGAGAATTCTGCTGGAATAATCTCTGAAACATTAGGAGAAAAAGACACATTTTTTCCTTTTAGACCTGACCTTGTACTTATGGGACTCTTCATACTGATTGATTGTGGTACTGGGGATACATCCATGGGCATAACTTGTGTTAATGGACTTTTCTTCTGCTTTGACTTCTTTGAATTGTTATTCATAGCTTTGTGGTCTGTTGTTTTTTGGGTGATAGGTTGTGAACCCTTTGTTTTGGATGATTTGGGCTTTTCTCCTGAGAGGGGAATAGATGTCTTTGTATTGGTGGACTTTTTCTTTTTGGCTCTGGGTTTTTTGAGGGGTGAGGATACTGGTTCTGGGTCTTCCTCATCAAAGTCGTACAAACTACTCTTACTCTTAGAGGAGACAGTGCTTGACGAGTCTGATCCATTGGGAGTAGTGTTCTCTTCATCTCCTTCATAGGCTTGGTCTGGATTCTGAAATTACAGTGATAGCAAGGCTTAAAGTCAATAGCTATTGGCTGCATGATTGAGTATTTTGATTTTATAGCTGAATTTCAAGTACCTGTGGCAAATTAGTTAGACTAGTAGTAAATGTTTTATATTTATAATATAAATGTATTTATTATATGTATTTTGTTCTAGTTAAAGAGAAAAGTTAAACTTTCATGCGAAGAATGTTTTATTTAAGTTCATGTTGTTTTCAAAATGCAAAACTGCTCCTCTCTGGGGAGTAAAATTCAGAGAAAGACATTAGATTTCAGATCCATTTAATTTTTCTAAGCCAAGTGCTTCTAATTCACAAACACTTGGGCCAAAAATAAAAATACAGTTAATTCTCGATAAACCGCCACCTTTTGTAATCTAGAAACCATGGCAGTATAACGAATTTGGCGATGAATTGAATTTCCTATCTTCTGGAAAACAAGAAGTAGAGTTACCATTCTTAGAAATACCATTTAGCGTTTATGTTCTTATTATTACATGTACGTGTATTTAAAAACATATTTCTGATTGAAAATACTTCAAGTAATTTTTTTAATGTACAAATTCCCTATAAAACAATATGTGCAGTTATGAATGCAGTTATGAAATAAAGACAAGTACATGGGAGTGTATTTAAATCTGCAGATCTGCTATCGAAAAAAAAACATGCCGGGTCGATCGTCGTGATATATTGCCGATAGTAAGTAAAATGAATTCTTGAATAAACGTATTGTTTATGGCAACACTGTTAATTAAAAATTCACAATTTATACCGTATAATTATTTTTTCAGCAAACTTTGCATTGTTTAAAGCAGAGATAATCTAAATAATATAGTTATCGGCGTAGTTCAACAACGACCACTTTCGTGGCAAAGCCGTGACTAAACGAATTTTATTAAACAGAAAACAAAATTATTAGAACAGTTCATGTTAAAATTCTTGTTTATTTAGTTCTTGTTCAATTACTTAATTGCATGTACATTGCCTGCCTTTGCGTGCTTTACAACAGGGATAGTGTCAACCAATTAACCGCGCTTCACTGACCATATGCACCTGTGGCGGTATATCGAGATAATTGACACTTAAAAATGGACGTTTGTTGTGAAAACAGGGTGGCAGATGGCGGTATGCGAATTTGGCGTTATAAAGAGAATTTTATATAGCAGGAAAAACGTTCTTGGGAAATCATGGCGGTATAGCGAAAATGGCGATGAATCGAATGGCAATAATTCGAGAATTGACTGTAGTCTTGTTTCCTGCTACCCGACCTTCCCTATTTTTTTGCACCCGACCCTAAAGTTTTTTTTAGCTTTTGGGGAAAAAAATGGAAATTGCAGGAATTTTATGATCCAAAAGTGAAAAAAATATATATATTAAAACTGTATTTCATGAAATATATATGTTTAAAATATGTTCTTTTATAACATTCCACTTGAGTTGTGCATCAAAAGACATGAAATTTCCTTTTAAAAAGATAATATTGACCGAGGATGACCTTTTATTTCTATTCGTAGTAGTTCATATCCAAAAAATACCTTTGGAAAAAATTAAATTAAAAAAATAAAATAATTTTCCTACCTACCGACCCTATTTTTTTCAGGCTGGTAGCAGGAAACAAGACTATTATTTTTTTTGGCCTTGGACTTTTGTGCTATCATTTTTTTTAAATATACTGAAAGGAAAAAGAAACGCAGGGTAAATTTTGAGGTGAATTAAATTTGTTTTTCAAAATTTTAATTAACTTTTAAAATCATCTTTCAAAAAGATATAACCAAATTCCCATTTGATTTTGTCTAATTATTCATGAGTTACTGAAGCTCAAATGACGATACCCCCCAAAAGTGAAAATCAAAAACTCATTATCTTCAATGTCTCTCCCGTGCATCTGTCAGAGCCTTATTTCTCCTTTGCATGGAATTTCATTAGAGTGTTTATCTTTCAGACCCTGGCTATATTTGGCATGGGTAACCACACAAAAAATAGGTCAAACAGCGCGCGCATGCGCCAGTGAGAGGAATAAAACAGTAAGTTAACTGGCTCAAAAAATCAAATTGCGGAATTGTTTTCTTTTAAATTTCGTATGAATGTAATGATTATAATCATCTACTGTATAAATGGCTGTTTTTGTGGTTAAATTTAAAAAAGGACGAATATTTGTAACATGATCTGTTTCGCGTTAACGTCATCGTCACGGTTGTTGAAAACCAAGGCCCTCTCTGACAACGGTTAACAAGTTTTATGGGGAAAATTTACAAGAAACTGCTTAGTAAACCGTTGTTATTAATTAGGCAATTCGAAAACAAGCATTGAACTTCCGTAAACTGTGCCAAGATTGCAAGAAACTCATAATGTCTCGTAATATTGAAAAACGATGTGCATACCTCATATGCATCAACTAATGCAACAAGATTAGTTGACAAACTCGTTGTCATCATATTGCACGTGTTTTGGGCTTTTTAGCGTTTTCCCTACGTGACGTCATAAATTTTACGGTCGGGTAATTCTGAATACTGATTTTGGTACACAGTAACTAAATTTCTCTTCTGACCAATTTTCGTAATTTTTGGTCATGTGGTCAAAATGTTTTCGAACATTATGCTACCCTGCGTTTCTTTTTCCTTTCAGTATATATGACTGGATTTTTTTTGGTCATATTGTTCAATCAATCAGCAAATGTATTGCAAAGCAAAAGTATGATATCTCTGACTATTCAGGATTTTCTTGACTCTATAATCTTGAGAATGAAAAACAGACATAAATAAAATTGCCCTCTCCAAACCGATTGACTTAAACTGGCTCAACTGAAAACTTTTTACTTTATTCCTCTCATCTCATCAACAAATATGTTGAAACTTTCCAGAAATAAGATTTTCCCACCTACCTATTGACCCAATAACTTCAGCTTGAGTTGGAGGGCAATCAAACATTATTTCAAAGATGGCCTAAGGTTAAAGTTCTTGCAGACAGTGATACATGATACTTACATGCTTACTTCTTAAGCTGGTGGACTTCTTCTTTGAGTCAGTTGTACCCTGTTTATCAAAAAATGTATGCACTTTATTGATATCAACTTTGACATTTCCATGTGCTTACTGAAGAATATGCCCAAGGGCCTTAATAGTCACTTGAAGCTATTGTAACAAACCATAGCTTGTCATTAAAAACAATAAACTGATAAATGAAGCTATGTTGCCCAAAAGCAAAAGACTGATAGAAATAGGATGATTAGTGATCAGCAAAATATCAATTTAGTAACAATCTTGCCCCTGATGTTATCAAACTTCTGGAGTGGGATGTAGATTGAAGTGGTATACACTTACTCTTGACAGTGCAATAGTTATGGGCTAGATTAAAGTTGACAACAGACAGACAGAAAAACAGACAAACAGACAGACAGGACAAAAACAATATACCCTGGGATCTTTCGATCTCCAGGGTAATAAAAGTTGATCTTTACTCAGTAACAATCTTAAAGTTGATCTACTTAGTAACTTATTTGCCTGTACTTTCTCATATTTGTCATTCATATCCTCATGTGGACCTAACAAAATAATAGTTTTAGAGTGCTATTAGTTATTATACACATTTCATTGCCCCTAACATTGACCTCCAGAAGTCTTTGAATATCATGCAACGTACAAAGATATGTTTCTTTTTTTATCCCATTTCTATTTATCTATTATTTAAGAGCCTAACCGACCATTAAAAACTATGAAATTACTTTTTGTATTAAATTATAAATATTATTCAAATCTTGTATAATATTCTGTATTGCAGTTGACCTTTTTAAGTTATAAATATTATTTAAGGTGATTATCTGTACTATTATACACATTTCATTGCCCCTAACATTTTGCCTCCTTTGAAGTCTTTTGAATATCATGTTCAATACAAAGCTGAAATGAATTAGCTGTCCATTTCATTTATCTACTATTCGAAACTTGGAGACCATTAAAAACTATGAAGTCTTTCTGTATTAAATTATAAAATTTTCAAATCTTGTATAATATTCCTTTTAGTTTAAAAGTTTTAAGTTATAACAAAATATTTATTTAGTTTACGGTGATTAACTTTCAAAGGTACATAGCAAAGGGAATAACTTCTTTCAAATTGACCAAAGGGTACAGAATTTTTTCAAAATCTGTTAAAAACACCCTTACTTATTTCTCTACTTGCCTCCTAGATGTCCTAGAGTAGAGATTTTTTTTCTCAAAATCTGGTAAAAACATCCTTACTTATTTCTCTGTTTGCCTCAGAGATGCCCTTGAGTAGAGAAGAATAATCTATTTTCACAGATTCAATATATATACCCAACTTTAAATATACACACAATTTTTGAAGAGTGACACACAAAGGGACAGACAAACAGTCACAGATGGACAGACGCAGAGGAAACTTAGGTTTCTTCCGGTTTCACCGGTAGGTAAATAATAGGTTACTTATTCTACAGTACATGTATAAAACTATATCAACAGTCAAGTTTGATGCATGATGTCAACATTCCATTTCAACATGACAAACTTTCCACGATAATTATAACCAAATAAAAGAAAATGCATAAATTTTTATTACATCTAGACTAAGAGAAATATGATATAATATTTAGACTATTTACATTTGCATTTATTTGGTATTTTAATTTTTTTTAATCAAAAATGTGTTACATCATGATCGTAGAGCAAGGCAAGCAATCATTCCATTTAATTTTGAAAGAGTTTGGGGTATTCTTCACCAAAAGAAGGTTAAATCACCATTTGGTGGTTGTGCCATAAGAGAATACAGTAGTTGTGCCCAGGCACTGCATTGCCAATATGATAATAGAAATCTCAGTGAGATTTGTAGAGACTAAAGTTGGGTTTGGTGTTGCTATGAATATCAGACCAGTGTCACATGAACTGATTTGGGAAATTTTGCCTGAAATTCAACTGCTTGTTTTGTTCAATATGGGCTGAAATGAATTAGCTGTACACATCAACTTTTCGGTTTGGAGGTCCTCTGAAGTCCCTATCATTATAAAATTTCCTTTCTGACCTTTTAGTTTAAAAGTTTTAATTCTAATAAAATGTTTTGTTTTTTCATAAAAATGTTCTACCAGTTTAAACCCCCTGCTACTGAAGAGTTCCAGCAAAAGTCTTCTTCAAATACTTTGTACTATGGACAAAACAGTAGAATATACTAGTGGACAGCCTATTCATTTCCAGTCTTCACGAAAACTTTTCAAGCTAACTGGCCAGTCGGACCTGTGAACTTTCAAAATTTACTAGACCACCAAAATTTTTACTGGCCCCTTACTTAAACAATAAAATAAATACATTTTCATAACTAAAATTTATACATGTAAACGTAAAACTTTTGTAATGCCGCCATTTTTCACCCTTTGACGCGTTTCAGTAATTTGTTCGTTGGAACTTTGCACATTTTACGTACTAGTTAATAATTACTAGCTAATTCCTGTTGTTACGTAATACATCCATGTTATAATAGGGTTATACGATTCAACAACACGTTTGTTCTTTTTATTTTACATATCAGTGAAATAACGCAAGTAAGTCAGTTGAAATAAATTTTGACTGTATATGATTTTTATAATCAATAAGCCCATCGGACTTCTTGAATTTTGATTTTCACTGACCCGACATCAAAATTCACTGGCCTCGGTCTTCGGACCAGTGAGTTTTCGTGAAGGCTGCATTTCTGCCAGTACTGATTCTGCCAGTACTGATCGAAACAAGGCTAACAAGCAGTCAAAGTTCAGGCCAGACCCAAATTTTTAGTCTTTACGAATCTCGCTGAGATTACTTGTTCTGATAACTTACCAAATATTTCTGTGACAGTTTTGTTATAATTTTCAGTGTCTTTGAATATTCTGAATCACTGGATGAGGATTCATCTGGAAAAAGGGAAAATACTGTATGCAAATGTAATAAATTTTAAATGACATGGATTTGTTCAAAAATTGATTATACTAGTTAATACAGTTTGGTCATCTTAATAGTCTTTTTTTACGATTAGAATGACCACAGGGAAATGAGACAATCTTAGAAAAATCGGGTATAGTATAATATCATACATGTACTACACATGTATACACCCGATTTTTCTAAGATTTCTCAAGTCCCTGTGAGAATGACCATAAATCTGACCATATTTCTTTAATATACCGATAAAAGGGTATCACATCAGACTGCAGGTTTATCAATAAAGTAAATATAAACGAAAATCATGCATATTGTAAAGCTATCGTAAGCGTCATAAGTTGACATAACCATGATATGCACAAAAACAAAAAAAAAATCTTTATTAACATGATTAAATCTTTAAAATATTAAAACCTTTCTATAATTAAAATTATACTAACCTGTTTTAGCCGCTTTCAGTGCACTTTGCCGTGTTTTACGTCGAGTCGTCATGATAATATTTCGATGCACGAAATTCTCGATTGTTTTGAAAAAAAATTTAACTTCCGCGCTTTTGGGTTTTGACGAATACGCATGCGTATTAATGATAAAGTCATTCCTTAACCTATTCGTATCTTTTCCTATGCATTTTAATTTTAACTTTGTGGAGATACTTATAACTTAGTCTATAACTTAAACCTATATCTCTCTAATACAGAAAGTTTTTTTGCAAATCTTAAAGGAAAAAAAAAAACTGGAAAAAAACTGTTTAAAGCGGGAAAGGGGGTGGATTTCATAGATTTGATACAAAAATATTTTTTAATTTTATGTAATTTATATTAATTTGTAACCTACATTATTTGCTTAGATATCAAATTTAACTAAATTATGAGATATTTATTTATTAGTTACCAATTAAAATGAGCAAAATTTGCACCAAAAAATTGTCAGGATCTGAGTAAGCAGATGGTCAAACTCTTTGAACACTGTGATAATTAAATGAATACTGTTATTTATCATATATAATGCTTGGTGTTGCTTGACATTGCACATAAACTTTCCAAAGCCAAAAATGGTGGTCTTCTGATTCATTTTACATGTATTTTCCAAATGCCACAAGAACAATTAAGACTTTTTTTTAACAATATTAAAAATAAAAAAAAAAAAATAATTTGAATTATTTAAAATTGAATTGCTTTTAATTAATACATTAAGTGTGCATGTTCAGAAGTTAATGCTATATATAACCCTACTTTTTCTGACCAAAATCTTTTAATAGAATCTCTAATCTCTTTGAAGATTTGGCTTGGCTAGATACGAGAATCACTAAGCTATAAAACAGAATCTCCCTCAAGATTACTGTAACTCCTGATATTAATGTCCTTGAAGACACAGCAATTCTTGTACATAGTTTTCCTTTTTTTTAAGTAATGTATCATTTTAGGGAAAAAATATGAGGAATACTAATGAAATGATTTGCTGATATCTTTAAATTATGGTTTACAAAATTTTAAAGAATGACAGAAAACCAAAAGATGTTACATAAATTCTTTGTCACAAACAAGGAAATTACAGTATACAAAATTTTAAAGAATGATAAAAAACGAAAAAGGTTTTACATAAATTCTTTATTACAAACAAGTTAAAAGACTTTACACAGATTAAATCTGAAAAAAAATAATTTTTACATGTATGATTTAACTGTGGCATGAACAATTTTAAATGTATAATAAGAATACATGTAATAAGAATTCACCACTCTTTTGAATTATATTATAAAAGTGTTGTTCCTTAAACCAGATGGTACAAATATGTCTTTTAAATATAAAGATCAGCTTTAACCACCACATTTCAATGCTTTAAATTTTGGTTTGTGAAAAGCTGTTATAGAATTGGAATTAAAATATATTTTCTCACAACAAGCTCACAATTACATAATTCATGTTTAAAACATTTAAGAATTAAATAAAAACAAGAGTATCAATATGTTCCATTAACTTCCATATCATTATAGTAAAGTATCAATGAGTTCAATATCATTATAGTCAAGTTTCTAAAACTCCTTTGTCCAATAGTTGAAGGACGCTGAAGCATGCAGTGAATGTAACATAACATGTAAAGAGATTCCTCTCAGACGGAGGTCTGTCTGTAGTTCTTGGTCTCTATAATCTTCTTCCCACACATGGCACATATACCTGAAATACCAAAACATCACAATGATTTCAATACACATGATGGCATATATACCTGAAATACCAAACAATCACAATGGATTCAATACACATGATGGCATTTATACCTGAAATACCAAAATTAATTCAATACACATGATGGCATATAAACCTGAAATACCAAACAATCACAATGGATTCAACAAATCTTGGAGATTTTCGTTATAAACGTATATCTTTTTTGAAGAAACCAACTGTTGATTCTTACAATCCACCCTACCAGTTTTTGAACAGATATAAATCTGCACACCAAATTATCATTATTTCTTAATTATCTCCCTCTGAAGGTGAATGCAGCCCTTTATTTGAGGAAGATTAAATTCCCATTGTTCAAGGATGCTTTATGGCAGGCTTGGTTGAAATTGGCCCTTTGGTTCTGGAGAAGAAAATGTTTAAAAGCTTACAGACAAATGGACAGACAAATGCTGAAAGATGCTGGGCAAAACCTGATCAGAAAAGCTTACATTAACTTAAAGCTCAGGTAAAAGTCTAGTTAAATAACTATACTTTACTAGTTGAATACTATTTTACAGTTATTACATGTATGTATCTTTGTGTTTTCTGCCCTAGTACCAGTTTTGTGCAATCAAATCCAAGTGAAGAGTAGCATTTGAAAGATTTTTTCAAACAAACTGTCAATATTTATTTTTCATTTTAAAGTAAACAAAGGAAATACCATTTATCAAATTTTATAGAAAACATGAATGGTAAAAAATGCACAATACAAAAAATGATACTTGTAATATATAGCATAGTCTAATTGTGCACTCAATTTTATTGAAACCAACCAGAACTGTAGGAGTAAACAAATAGTTTAAAGACAGACAGGTGATCAAAGGACTCTTTAACATCAAATAATGAAATCTTACTGGTCTTTGAAAAGTTAAACTAAAAATCAGGTAAAATTACATGTTTAAAGAATTTTTTTATGCAAAATTGTAAATAACTATTTCAATGACAGAAAAAATAACTTTAATAAACTTCTGTTGTTCATATTTGCGATTTAAGAACTATTTATAAGCTTCAATTGAATCAAAATTACATTATTGTCGTCCTGTACAATAAGGATTTCATATATAAAACTGTATATTGGATTGTATATAGAAGTCTTTCTTTTGCTTTATTCTAGTCTAATTGATCACAAAGCTTTAAGTTACATACAAATTTATCATTATAACACATTTTAACAGCAAAATAAAATTTTCAGAAACGTAGCTCATATTGCTTTAAGGATGTACAACACACCTACCCCAAAAAATTCCTGTCGTTTAATTTTCGTTATTTTTGTATATTTAGTACATGACTATATCTACTGCATGTATGCAAATTTTGGACAAAATCGTTCGAGTCGTTTTTGGACAGGAAATTCCAAAAGTTACCCCCCTTTAGTTGTTCACAAGGAGAGAAAATCTTTAATCAATTAACTACTTAAACCTTGATTTTCAAAAAAGCCAGGATAGATATAACTGTCAAATTTCATTGACTTATTCCCTTAACCATTTAACACAAAAACATAGTCATCTTTTTGATATACATATCATCAAATTAATTTCTAAAGACCTTAAACTGAAAAACTATGACTTATCTAAGCCTTGAAAATTGTGTATTTTTCAAATTCAAATTTTTTTTTGTGAAAAAACCTGTCGTTTAATTTTGGTAAAAAACTTTCTTTAGGTAGCTGGTAGTAAAAATAATCTTCATAATTTTTTGTATAATTTTTGTACGATCAGTTTTGATTTAATAGCGGAAAATTACCCCCTCCCCCTTTCTCCATAAATCACGTTCCCGCCCGTCTTTCAGACGGGGGTCGATCACTTTGCTATGAATCTACCAATACACATTTTAAAATAATCAAATTGGAATATTGCTTTTGCTTAAAAAATATATTAACTTACATATTTAAAAGTTCTCATATGTAAAGCATATTTAAATGTAGATTTTTAAGCAATTTTTGAATACTCCTACCACCCCCACCCCTTCCTTTTTTTGCGTCGTAGACCATTAGCGTTTGACGAAACGTCGTTTACAGTGCAAATATACTAGTATTTCGTCAGTTGAATCCCGGAGGTATGCATTAGTTTTTAAATTCATTTCAATGCAGAATAAATATTAGATAGAATGTTCTATCGTTAAAATGATATTGTCCTACGGACCCGGTTTAACGATGAATTCGTTTTAATATTCGTAATGTAGCAAAAAGAAACACGGGCGATAACTCGCATAGTGCATTTACTAGGAACAATCTAGAGAGTTCCGAATGTAAACATTTGAATCGAGAGAAAAACGTTGAGAAAATTAATTGGATTTTCGTATTTATAAAGATTATTTTTTGGGATAAAAGGCATAAGCAATCTCAAAAAGGTTTGTTTTGATTATTTTGGTAGTTATTCCCAGTGCAAATCATTTTATATTCTTCAAAATCGTTTCGGAGCGGATACGCTCCGATTTGCTACATTGCAAGTATATGGGACGTATTCTAACTGTGGTGAGGGCTTGTACCGAGACACAGTTAGATTATTCTAACTAAATAAATATTGACTACTGGTTTTATATGTATCAGGGAAAATTACTGAAGGATTTTATAGTGTTTAGCCCATAATGATTTGCATACATGTACACCCCTCACGATATTGTATGCATTCTTTCAATGTCGTTGCTTCTAAAGTTAAAATGAAAATTCCGTATTCGTCCACATTAACTTCAAAATATCAAACATTAAACTCTTCATCTATTTTAATTTATATCAAATCGCACATTGATTTATTCTTAAAATCTGGTAGGCTACGTTTTGTTTTGATTAGAGGAAATGCGAACCGACATTGTTTACAATGACAGAAAGTTAAACGATTTGCTGCAATAGGATATTCATAAATTCAGATAATTTCAGTACTAGTACATAATTCTTTTCAATTCTATACTTACATTGTGTGTATGAGGTTTATAGTATTCAATTCTCGGATTTATCGGGTATTGCTGTAAATGTATCCGATTCTGTGTATGCGGAAAACCGTGAATAAAGGGAGGAAAACAAACATCTTCTACATTTTCAGAGTTGTTCCTCTTTGATCAGCAAGGGTCTGAGAACAACATCGATTTTACATTGTAAAAAGTTGTTTGTTTGTTTATTGTTGTTTTATTTAATTAAAGAAGAAAAACAATATTTATATCGTAAATGCACATATTATAATAAAGACCATAATTAATCGGAATGTTATATAGCCAATTGTACATAATGACGCAATGTAAAATAAGATTTTCAGAATAAAAAAAATGCTGCGCTTTGATCAAGAATAATTTATTGTATAATAAATAAATAAATATTAAGGGATGGTACTTTATGTCTTGCTTTTTACGGAGTTAAATCGATTAATTAAAAAAAATACTTATGGATTAAGTATGGTACTCATGATCACAGCCAAGCCAAATATGCCATTTTTCTTTTATGATTGATATACATCGGGATCGTTTTACTCGTCATTTTGACGCTTCATTTTTGACGTTAAATTTGACGTCGCGTCAAACGTTCAATTGAAATTGCAAGAGTTATCTCCCCCAGTGTGTTGTACGTCTTTAAGTAATTGCTGCTAACATAATTTTAAAATGTGTTTGTTTTAATTGGCATCATCAAATTGGGTTATACGATTCTTATCACTTTTAAAGGAGAAAAACAAAAAAAATTTAATATCATACCTTTCTTGTAAGCACATCCTGCAAAACAAATTAACAGACATTGACCAACTTTTTCATTTGTAAAACAGATAATAATTTATACTGTATATTTACACTAAGGTTAAAAGTTATTTCTCTGGATCCATAACAAGAACACATGTTGATCAAAAATGAAAGCTAACTTTGGGTAATATTAATTGCATATTCAAATAAGGGTTCAAGACAATTTCCACACCGAAGTGACAGGACACTTGCCTTGACAGTAATGTGAACCGGCTTGATGGACAGAGGACTTACAGATCCTGCATTTGGCAAATGTCTGGTATGGAGTAAACCTGGTTACAATAAACATTTACATATGTATTATACAAGCTTAAATGTTGAAAATATATAGCCTGGCTCAGAATAAATTAACATTTATCATTAAATACTGATAGTTTTTGTTCTACTTGGGAATCTGTGAAGGACTTTACCTGTTTTTCTTTGATGTCAGGGCTTTGTTTTCATTCACCACTCTACCTCCACTTTCTACAGTTAGAAAAAGATCAGATAAACATTTACTTTCTACAGGAATGAAATGATCACATCATTCACATGGCTTTCATTACTTAAACTCATATGACTTTTACATAGCTAGATTTAAAGACAATGTTCTATTAAAAAGTTTTTTAGACCTTTTTTATATCTCGTCCAGTGTTTTCCCTTTATTTCAAAGTAAATGGTTAGAGATAAGTTGTAACTGGCTAGGGGCTGAGGTTTATGAACAAAATCTCTGTGGACCTAACAAGAAATGTTTATTTCAAAGCGGCATTTTTGTCAATTGAAGCGATCAATTTGGCCTGTTGTCGTTTCTTAGGGAAAACACTGCTCATCCACATTTTCTGAGTGTAATGGGAAAAAGACTGAGATATGATCTCCCTATAAACATGCATACTGTGATATTTTTCCTCATGCCACAAAAAATTGGACCCCTCAAAAATATGTGATTTTACAGTACTATAACAAAGTACTACGGATGGACGATAAGCACATGCTGTAAGCTTTAATTCATTATTTTAAGCATGTTTGGCTTTAAACACTCAATAATTTCCTCTAATTATAATAAGTAATGTTTGACTGCTCATTATCATGCACTCCAGAATTTGTTCAATATTTAATATTGAATTTTTATTACAGTAGTTTAAGAAAATTTTGATTGGTAAAAGAGGATATTACCTGTTGTGTTTCTGGCACCTGACTTCCATGGATCAGGGGTGATAACCTTCCCCAGCTTCTTTTGACCTGCAACCCCAAAAAATAATCATTTGTATATTTATATTATATTATCGTCTCGTATCCTATTTTCGACCGTATTGTATTTTCGACCTATTTTTCCCAATCTGCTTCCCGTCCAGATACCGCATGGCAGAACATTATTTTCGGTTGCTACACTTGGAAAAATACCTTCGAAGCACAACTGTAGTGAAAATACCCAAAATAATTATTTCAACGGAGTTTCTACGATGGTTTAAGTCCGTTGTCAGAAATTCTAGCCTTTTTACTAATGCACATTTTATCTGTTGATTAATCAAAGCCTTAATCGATTAATTACAAAGATTTTTTGATGACATTTTTCCGAAAGAAAATTAAGATCGCTGTCAAAGAGACGCATGAATATTGAAATGAATGGGTGGATCAAACAAATTTTTTTCTTACTTAAATATGGGCACTTTCTTACAGATTTTTACTGAAAAATGCAACGTAATTTCATTGATTTTTTGTGGAAATGCACAGCTACTGACAGATGGCTTTAACCAACGAATAGATGTATTTGCAACCAAAATATGGAACTTGTTCAATGATTTTTTGAAAGACAGACAATCGTATTTTTATTGTTTGGAATATCCAATGGATATTTATAGCCATTACTGATTAGGCGTTGATACTATATTTAGGTCGAAAACACAAGACGCTAATGATTTTTGTAAGGAAAACTGCACCCTTTCCATATTATGGTATATAAATAAAATAAACACAAAACTGCATTATGGGTTATATCATTTTATTTATAGACACATATGCTTACATTTTAAGCCCATATTTTCTTAGATTCTATAAAGTTTGCAAAAAATTAATAAATAATATCTAAATAGGTCGAAAATACAATACGCCAGGACACATTTACAATGCAACTGTATACTTAAGCTAATCAGGGTGTTGGTGAATAGCTTGATTTATAGATGTAAATTAAGACAGTAAATTAAGAAATATAATAAGCCAATCTCATTTATGTTTCAAATTTTTGTGGTATTGTTCCCAATGTAAAACGTAAATAATACTTACATTTTTCACAAACCATTTTCAAAACAACAGGAAATGTCACATAGGAAAGTAAAATAGAAAAACGGTACAGGAAAATTTAGCATATTCCGGGAATGTCTTCAATCATGTCAATGTGTGACCAAAAAGAACGTATTTTGTTGATACAGACAGGAGGTAATTTCACTAAAAGCTATGAAAATTTTTTATGGTGTACCGTGCTGTAATATTTGAATATTTTTTGTATATTTTATGTAGATATTCACACCTCTAACGCTAGTATCAATCAACACAATCATCAGTGGTCAATGCCCCCACTAAACCGCCCCTTTCAAATTTTTGTTTTGCTTGTCAAGAATTTATGTTATGTCGAGGGATTTTCTCTGTCTCTCTTTGAACAGCCTTGTGAAACCAGTTTATCACAGAGGCGGATTCAGTTTTTATCGGAAAGGGGGGGGGGGCGTGCAAGTTAAGGATTTTCTTTATGACATGAAGTGAAAAAGTAAACACAAAAACGGCTTCAAATATTAGGAAAAAAAAAAAAGGTGTGTGAAAAAATAAGTACATATACTTATACAAATTCATAATCGAAGATCAAAATACCAAGTGGAAAACCCATTTAATTATTGGTCAATTTTTATATTATAGTTTTCTCCGTAAGCAACATTGCGACATTTTAAGATTTTTTAAAAATAATTATTAACGTTAAAATAGCAAAATCATTGAAAAAAAAAATTGAATAATATTGAAAAGTTAAGTCATTTTTACTTTAGTTAAGGATTCGCCCCAATATCATGTATAGATTATTGAATGATGGTTAATTATTCAGGATAGATTAATGTTGTTTTTCTGTAATTATATAACAAAATTGGTATCTTATATGATAATCCACATAAACATTCGAACTGACCATAAGTTAATAAGTTACAACCGTCTGGCACAGACCCAGAATTTTTTTTCAGGGGGGAGGGGGGGGTCCACCCAAGTCAAAGAACAAATCAAACCCAGAAATATTGACCCCCCTCCTAAAAAACCCTAACTCCTTTCCCGTTTGTGTAAACCATGACGTTTCATACCAGACAGTTCAACTCAAATCCACGCTTTCGAGGAGGAAGTCAGCGTTTTCTATATGATATGATATCTTAAGCTGTCAATTATTATTTGGAAAAGAAAATTTCATATTTTAATTTTAAAATTTGATAACTTTTGTTCATCTTTATATGGAACTCTCCTTCTAAACGAGATCAGTATAGCCTGAAACAATGGCCACAACCACCCAGCCCATTTAATAACTCTGCAAATTCAAGGGGAATGGGGGAGGACCGGACCCCCGACCCCAACCCCTCTAGATCCGCACATCAACCAAATAAGTCTAAAATATCCATGTTTTTTTTTTACATGACTGGCTTAAAAATCTTGTGTCAAAACATACCCGATTGAAAATTGGATTCATTTTCATTAACAATAATTTATTGTTCTGTATTATACCCAGGTAATATATAGAGAATATTACATACTAAAATCCATATCATATGTCACATCAGCCCGAGTGGCCCCATATCAGCCCGAGGGCCGAAGGCCCGAGGGCTGATAAGGGGCCCGAGGGCTGATGTGACATATGATATGGATTTTAGTATGTAGTATTCTATTTATCATATATTTAAAATATTTAATATGCGAATTCACATATTGTCGTTGAAGAATGTTTGTGCTTGTTAGTGACATTTTTCTTTAAAATTTAATAGAGCCAATTTTAGGTAACTGGAAAAAAATTAAGACCACAAATGTCATTAAAGAATTATTTTATATGAATATTTAAATAAAATCAAGTAAATTAACTTTTAAACTTAATACAAACGTTACTTCCGGTTTGATAAGGATTTTCGGCCCGACGGTCCGATACGTGATATGGCTTTTCGGACCGCGCCGTGATATGGGGTATTGTGACGTCACCCGTATCACACCGTGCAGAATCGATATATTTACTACTAAGTATATGATAAAAGCACATATATGTAAGTGCACATGTTGTAACTATTTTTACGTTTTTCTTAGACAAATAAATATTAAACTTTACGACTTTCCCCTTCATATACATGTACAACAATTCCTTACGACAAAGATTCTCAAAGGTCTTCAGACTTTAAAATTTCATTGACAGCTGCTTTTTTTTTCAATAAAACGGGGACTTATCTTTACTCACCTTGTCATTGCCTTTGGACATTTGCGAAATTATTTTGTTTAAACATTCTCGTTGTACACACAAATATCCTGAAGTTTATATAAAAAGATGACTTTCCCCTTCATATACATGTACAACAATTCCTTACGACAAAGATTCTCAAAGGTCTTCAGACTTTAAAATTTCATTGACAGCTGCTTTTTTTTTTCAATAAAACGGGGACTTATCTTTACTCACCTTGTCATTGCCTTTGGACATTTGCGAAATTATTTTGTTTAAACATTCTCGTTGTACACACAAATATCCTGAAGTTTATATAAAAAGATGCTGGCGTTTCTGATTGACAATATCTGTGTGATTTTTGGAGACCAGCCCCTCCAAACAATATGTTGGAATTCCTATGGGTACTAATTGTTTTCCATTATTACCAGACCTTTTTGTATTTATAAGTATATGAAGCAGAATTTATTCTTATACATGAGAAGAAAACACTTGCTGTGACATTCAACTAAGCATTTAGATGTATCGACGACGTATTATCAATTAACAATAGCTATATATTTCCATTCATATATCGACACAATATTTCCCAGTGCAGGCCCGTACGAAACATTTTTATTTGCGGGCACGTTCAACTACCAAATACCAAAAAAGTATCAAAAAGTCCCTGAAAAGTCAACAAAGGTTACTGTTGAAGGGACACACGCATATCGTAGCGAAGTTCTCTACAGTATTCTTCATTGTAAGTCTTTCCTATCAATAATATGGAACGCCGGGACTGTCTTATATGGGGATTAAATATTATATGCAGTGCTTCCTTTATTATATGCGGTACTATTTTTATTATATGAAGTAGTTTTTACTTTATATTGTGTACAACCTCCATTATATACAGTACTTCTCTCATTATATGATGTAGGTATGTCATTATATTATGTACATCTATCATTATATGAAGTGCTTTTAACATTATATGCGGTAGTTCTATCATTATATGCGGTAGTTCAAACATTATATGCGGTAGTTCTAACATTATATGGAGTAAACACAACAATATATTATGTACTTCTCACATTATATACAGTACATTCATCATTATGTGTAGTATTTCTGTTATTATGATGATGCTGATCATTAAATATTATGTCCGGTCCAGTTAGCATTCCGTGCGGTAGATTTTGCATTTCGTTATGATGTAGACCCAGTATTATATGCGGTGCTTTCTTCTTTATGATGATGATCTTTCGGAAGCTACCCTTCGGAAAACCCCTCTGTTATATTTAGAAAGTTTTACTTTTTGCGTTCTTAGATATGGACATTCTTCATGGTTTTAGGTTATATTTTTTTTATTTATTTAGTTTGACAAAAACCACATGTGGCGCAAGTAAACAAAAATAATAAATAATATAGTCACATGGATTTTCTTACATTAATTAAATGCAACACGTATGAAGTTACAAATATTTCTTGTATATTTAACATCTGCTGAATTAAGAATTTCGTAAGTTATACATGTATTTTTGAAAAGTGTACAAAATTCACTTTTTAGTTCAGGCGCGGATCCAGAATTTTTTTTTGGGGGGGGGGGGGGGTCACCCCAGTCCAAAAAAATAAAATCCACCCCCCCCCCTGAAAAAAAAAACGTACAATCGCCTAAATTTCAAATACCTATTACATGGGGGGGGGGGAGTCAATGACTTCTAGTTTTTCAAACCTCTGACTTTTCATACCAATTTAACCACACATTCGCGGTTACCAGGGGGCGGGGGTCTGCGATTTCCGAGGGTGGTCCAAGGTTACCTTTTTCTTGCTTTAGTATTTGCAAAGTCCAGGGGGGGGGTGTTTTGACCCCACCCTCTCTAGATCCGTGCATGATTAGTTGTTTATAAAGAGGGCACAAACAAATAAAAAATTATGTTCATCTTTAACAACAGTTCATACAATATCTTTCATCTCTTGGGTAACATAATCTGCCAACATCTATCTTTATTTTGTGCACACTTATTTTCAATCCAGTTAAAAAAGAACAAAGATTTTTGGAATTGGAAAAAATTAAGTATGGTTGAATTTCAAGCTTGTTAAGATTTCGTTGACTTATTAACTAGATTTATCCCTACATTAATTAAAGGAATTTCGAAGTCATGTCAATACTTCAGTAGTTTAATTACAATGAGAGAGAGAGATGCGCTTATCATTGAAATATTTTTACCCAGAGGCGTAGTCACAAACTTAAAAGTGGGGGGGCTCAACTCCAAAAATTCGTTGACAAAAAAAAACAAAACACACACACACAAACTTAAAAGTGGGGGGGGCCACAACTCCTGAAATTCTTTGACAAGCAAAAAAAAAAAAAAAAAAAAAAACACGAAAATCCTATTTCGTGGGGGGGGGGGGGGGGTTAGAGGCCAACTTTTACAAAGGCAAGTTACTTTCAAAACCCATTCAAACAAGGGTCAAAAGGGGGGGGAGGAATCCATTCAATGAATATTTCCTATAGTAAACGTAATCTTGGGGAAAAATAGCTGTGATTTTGTTCTTCTTTAAAAAGTGGGGGGGCATAGACATACTCTTGCCCCCCCAGATCTGAAAGTGGGGGGGCTAGTGCCCCCGCTGCCCCCCCTGTGACTACGCCTATGTTACCATTCCATTGTATTAATTGTTAAACTATGGCATATAAAAAATGTATGATATTCACTGTCTTTAACTGCACTATATAAATGATATGTATCAGGAAAAGACATGCGATTTTCAGAGCAGACATTATCACGCGCGTAGTAACACTCTCCCCCTTTTCCTAAACATAACTTTTACTATTGAAAATTCTCAATGTTTATTGACTTGTCCACTTTCTTCAGGTAACTTGAGTTATTTTTTTTCTCCCGCTGAACCCCCCGCCCTCCCCCTTCCCCCACTTTCAAAACCAACGTCTACGTCACTGTATTGAGTCGTCGTGGATTGTACTTCAAGAATTTACTTTTAAAAAGATATGTGGTAGAAACCCTTGTGCCTATTAAATTGAGAGATGAAGGGTAATTTTACATTATGAAAAATTAGCACACACCACCCCTAAATACAAGTAAATAAATAATGTAATGTTTTCTATAACGCGCTGTTAAAGACCTGCGTACTCGAAGACATCAGTTATTATTTTTTCATTACCCATTTTTAAATTGATTGTCCTACATATGAAATGAAGCTTTTTGAATGCCATATTGTTCACAAGAAAGAAAAAAAATCTCTCATTTTTTTTTTCCACTCCCCTTCTCTCTCTCTCTCTTTTTACTTCATACCATAAAATAGATGGAATTTTATTTTACTCTATTACCCTACTTCATATCTTTTAAAAACAATTTAATCAGTTCATGTAGCATTTATTATTCACTGCTTTAATCAGAGACATAAATAATACGCGCATGTATTTATTGTACTGAATTCAACAGTTGATAGAAAGAAGAACCTTGAACAGAGAGTTCCGAAGGGTAGCTTCCGAAAGATCATCATCATAAAGAAGAAAGCACCGCATATAATTAGTCAGCCCGCGGGCTGACTAGTTATGGTACGAAGAACTTCCAATGCGCTTGCGTGACCTGGAATTCTGGGAGTGGTTCTGCAGTAAATCACTCCTGCTAATTTTATTTCAGTAAAATCAACATAGATTATAAACCAACAAATACCTGTTTAACACCAAAGCAATCTGTAAATTTAACTCAAAAAGGAATTTCCCGATGCTTATTTTTGTATAGAAAGTTTCAAGCAGTTTGCTGGTTCGCAGTAATTTAACTGGTTCGCACCTGATCATGTGAACGCAGCAAAGCATACAGTTACTACTCTTGGATGAATTTAGTGTTTGACGCGTCAATTGAAGCTCTTTTATAAAATATATTGAAGGTATTTTACTTATGTATTTAAATATACAGCACAAATATTGGTTTATTACATATTTTTAGCTTTTCAGCTTTACTGCTTTTACTTTCGTTTTCACTACAAATCATTTCGATCCCGATGCTAAATAGCGGACAGACTTGTTAAGTCGTACAAAAGATACTTCGGAAAGTAAACACAACTGGCTAAGCTTGCTCGTTTGTTGCCCCCCGCTGAAATTAGTGAATGTCAATTTCAGTTTGTCCGTCCGTTCATCTATAGTTCTGTCTGTCTGTAACACTTTCACTTTCGTGCAATATTGCGTGAAGTCTTTGAGCTTTTGCAGTGAAATTTTACACAACTGTTTAAACCTTATATGGCCTTTAGAAGACCCTCTTGATTTTGAGGTAAAAGATTAAGGTATTAAATTCAGAAATTCTGTCTGTTTAAACACTTGTTTTCGCGCGATATCTCTATAATCCATTGAGCTTTTGCAATGACATTTTATACCCAAACTCCCTATGGCATGATATATATGGCGTAAGGAATACCCCTGTGTATTTTGAGGATCAAACGTCAATGTCATAAATTCATACTTCTGTGTGACTCTGTGTTAAACTTTCATTTCCAGTCAATATCTCAAGAAGGATTTGAGTTTTTGCAATTAAATGTCATAGACCTTGACTCCCTATGGCCATGCCCTGGAAGCCCCCCCCCCCCCCCGCGCATGCTTTTTTAACCGTAATTTGGCTTGTTTCTCATAAACTACGACTTGATGATCTAGGTTGTGGCAATCATATTTATGAATTAATAGGTTTATTATATTAAAAGAGTTCTGATAAATGAATTTAAAGCCAAAAGTGATTCATCCGGCGGCATGATAAACTCTAACAATGATGAGGGTGAAGCTTGTTGGGCCCCGTTTTGTTAAAAATTACATATATAATGTCCATATATCCCCCTCCCATTAAAATCTTATAGATCTGATAATGAGATTGTAGGTTTATAACCTCTTTGAATTATGTTACGTGAATTGGAACTTCAATGTTTATATATACATACTTTCCGTTCTTTTGATTTTGAGATAAAAAAAATGCAAGAATCTGCATGCACAAACGCTTCTGTTCCTATGCAGAAAAAATATTAAAAGGATGTTTCAATTTTAGTGCCCAACTCTGCTACCAATTAAAAAAAAGATTTGTTTTTAAAAATTTAGAAATTTATTTTGTATATTGTTTAATGGACGTTGAAATTGAATACTGTTCGTTATTTCCATATCCTTCTTGAAGGCATTTTTTTCAGTTTTCTATGATTCTTTAAAATATTATCACAGAGAAGAAAATCCACTGGCTGACTCTCTAAGCTTTTTTTAAAAGCTAAACTTGTACTGTGTCTACATCACAACGAAATGCAAAATCTACTGCACGGAATGCTAACTGGACCGGACATAATATTTAATGATCTGCATCATCATAATAACAGAAATACTACACATAATGATGAATGTACTGTATATAATGTGAGAAGTACATAATATATTGTTGTGTTTACTCCATATAATGTTGGAACTACCGCATATAATGATAGAACTACCGCATATAATGTTAAAAGCACTTCATATAATGATAGATGTACATAATATAATGACATATCTACATCATATAATGAGAGAAGTACTGTATATAATGGAGGTTGTACACAATATAAAGTAAAAACTACTTCATATAATAAAAATAGTAACGCATATAATAAAGGAAGCACTGCATATAATATTTAATCCCCATATAAGACAGTCCCGGCGTTCCATACAATCAAGCAACCCTTTCTCTCTTGTGGATTTCCTCTTGTGTCATTGTGTATGTATATTGTATTTCATGTATTTGATTATAACCATTACATATATACAATTAACAATGTACTTTCTCTTTACATAATAGAATTGAATTTAAAAAAAAACAAAAAACTATCGACTAAAAATTAAGGGGTTGGGTCCCGGTTCCGAAGGCAATGCCAGTGAGCTTGTGATTAAAAATGTCGAAGATTCTGACACAAGGGTTTCATATTTGGTTATCGTGTTAGAAAAAGACGTAAATGGTAACCCGGCAGTGAACCTTTATGATAAACATGAAGACTTTAATTGCTCAGTCGTCAACTTTCCTTACTTATGCAGCTTTGTACCCTTATCATCATGCATACGGGGTTTTTGTTATCTCACAGTTGATTTGACACGCAAGAACATGCTCTATGTATGAATAATTTCTAACACGAGACAAATTATTGAAATACAATTCGATAAAACAAGAATCTAAACAGTCTCGTTTAAAAACATAATTTCTAAAGTTCTATGGTCGATACAATGATCTTGTCAGCAAATACAAATTTAGATGCTTTCTAACGTTTTTCATACTTATTGTTAGACTATTGACAGCTGCTATTTGTAGACGGATTTTCCCGTTATTTCCCAATCATGACAAAGAGCACGCGGCGCGTCTAGTCGGTCGGGAGGGGATGCTTACGCCGTTGTGGCACCTGATCCCACCTCTGATATTTAAGAGGTCTGTGTTCTCCATGCTCCAGATTTGTATTATTTCAATGGACTTTTGAGCTGGAATACTGTTAGTTATCTCCATATTTTTCATTTTCAGACAATTAATTATGCTATAGTACTCACAGTAACTTCATTGAGAATATATTCCTTATTGTAATGTACATTTCAAATTTGTGTCTTTTCACACATAGGTACCATTGATAAAGAGTATCCAAAGACCAATTTGGGATACGCTTTTGAGGTAACAGATGCAGCTGTCCGGCGAATCCTACCTAGGGCCCGAGTGGGCGTCGCCTATGATGTCAAAACTATATGCCAGAAGGACAGCCAAGATATCTCGGATGTAGACAGGTATTTGATACGTCTTCCATTATGATTTATATTCAAACGTTAATCATGCATAATACACTGTGCATTTATTATAAAAAAAATCATTTTCTTTTTGCAGAGAAAATCTGGCGAAAGCCTGTTTGGAGACTCCTTCAAAGAGAATTCTTGTTACCCATGGTACAGATACCATGATAGAAACAGCAGCGTATCTGTCCAGTCGAGTAGTAGACAAACTCATCGTATTAACAGGAGCATTCTTACCAGAAACATTCAAGTCAACAGATGCCGAATTCAATGTTGGGTTTGCCATGGGAACACTTCAAGCTTTAACAACACATGGAATTTTTATAGCTATGAATGGACATATAATACTATGGTCAGAATGTACGCGTAACAAGGACACAGGCATGTTTGAAAAAAAGTGACACCTGAAATTTTTACTTATACATTTTTGGAAAGAGTGTAGGGATGCAATTCCTATGTGTTCAAGCATGCTGGTTATCTTGTATTATCTTCGTTTACATACTATTGCAATAAATAAGGAACAATAGTTGTACTGCTCAAAGAAGAAACAGCTGACATACTGTAGATCACTAAATTTTCGCGAAACCTTATTTTCGCGAGATAGTCATTGACTCTTGATTAGCGAGACAAAATTTTCACGAATTGTGGTTATTGCTCTATATAATCTTAAGGAATACTATTATACGCGAGACTTTAATTTTCGCGAGCAAACTGCCTCGCGTATTTACGCCAAAATAAAGTTCTCGCGAATAAAAAGTGATTTACAGTAGCTCACCCCATGTCTTTTCTCGAGTTTATAGAGGAATAACTCGTTATCCCCAGTCAAATGAAGTTGAAGGGGATATCAAAGTATGGGTGAGTGTGTGCATAATGGGAGTCCTAATAAAGTGTTTCTTTTTGCAAGGGGATGCTCCACTTTGCAGTAGAGTAGGGTACCATGTGACATGTACTGGTAGCGACAAAAAATAACTATTAATACTTCTTTAATACAGGAAAGTAAGTTACCAAATAAAGTTGCACAGGTCAGTGTAGTATACAAACAAACATGTGTACTGGTACATATCCTCACTTTATCCACTGGGCCAACACACTGTTTAATGCATTAAAATGTGAAGACAGTATTGGGTGCATAATACACATGTCAACCCCTAAACTGCATTTTTCATTTATACATATAAATTAAAACGAAGCACATATGTGTATTGGTTCATTATTTTAATATAAATATTTATAATTTGAATACAGTATATATCTTGAAAATAAAAATAATTGATGTTAGTGTGATCAATGATACACATCTACACTAGTGAAGCAAATATTGATGAACATTTGTCATGAGAAGAACTGTCCTCAGAATTTCTAGCAATCTTAACCGTATCATACAGGATTTTCTGTACTGCTTTTAAACAATTAAAAGCAACACTCAGACTTATCTAAAAACAAACTCATAAACCACTGAGACAATCTGAACCTTTTTATAATATACACTTACAGTCTCTTTAAAAATTGCTTTCACTTCAGTTATATTTACAATATGATTCCACTTTTTACACCCCAAGATACATTGTAAATACAATCAACGAAAATGTGCTTATAAGCCTTATTGCTCCTGGCTATAATATTTACAAAGTTGAACAAAGCATTTCCCACAAATAAAGTCAAATTTTTAAACAACAAGTGATAAACGGCGAGTATTTTGAGTACGACTGTAGTCAGAAAAATGGGCACGAGAAGATCAGATCTTTACTTTTCATTGCACTTATTTTACAGGGAAATGTAGTGGACACATCTCTTTTGATCAGAGAAATTTTAAATTGCTATCACAACTGTGTAAACCTGACAGAGTTTTTTTTTTCTGGAAGTCAATGTGGGATAAACAGGAAGCACTTAGATAAAATGTGGAGACAAAAAAATATTTAAATTTCAGCAAGACTCTATTGCTGCTAGTTTTCTCTTGTCTAAATAATAAATTTCTAAATTAAAAGGAAAAAAAAAACAATCAATTGCAAAACTTTGCATTGATCTTAACAAAGCTTGGTACTCATGAACAATAATTCCACGCAAGGAAGCACTATATTCTGGGTATATAAAGAAAAACAGAAGTAAAAATGAAATGAAGTATAAATTTTATATAAAGTACCAGTCTTGAAAACTACAACCAAACTATTTAACATAAACATAAAACTCTCAAAAATATACAATAACTTTTTTAATTCTACAAAACACTGTAATGGAATTATAAATCATTATGGAAATAGCCTACAAACTTTAGGTTGCATAAAATATCTCCAGTTTCTTTACAGTAAATATACACTTACTGAAACTGTTTATAATAATCACTGGTTATAGAGAATCAATAATGATAATGTATGTATAGCTGCAGAAAGTCAAATATATATATATAGCTTGTTATGTAAGCCATATCTATGCCCATACAAAACGACATCTTTAATATATATTTTTATATAAAACATACAAAAAGCATAAACAAAGGTATATATATGTGGTCCATCAAAGATCAACAACTAAGTGAATCAATTTTACCTTTACGTCAACAATCACAGATATAGCATATACGAGATCTTAGTTAACAAAAGGTTTAGTCATGTTGTGTACAACTCAGAAAATATTATTACAGTTGGCAACAAGTACAATGTATTGGCAACTCTGACAAAATCACTTGGATGGATTATGTTAAGTATAGTTTGGACTTGTGTTACCAATTCTACTTTGTCTGTTTGGCTTGCATCATAACTAATATTTACATAAGAGTAAAGAATAAAGAGGTATATGATCCAGCAACAATTACTTGTAAATCTCAAATTCCTATAAACATAGCAAATGCCTTTGAACAATTATTATTATAATAATTTTTTCCCTTCAGTAAGTAGCACAAAGCTCCGTTTCAGCTTTTTCAGCCTTTGATCCTAGGACACCTTTGACTTTCATTGTTCAGAACTGAATGAAATGGCCGTTTCCTCCATCAGTGGGGTTAATGAGCCTCTGCTTTTTTGTCTTTCTTGTGTTTTTTGTGTTCCTCATGATCCCCGTCCTTCTTTTTCTTGAACCGACTGAAGAGTCCCTTCTTCTTTTTCTCGTGGTCTCCTCCATCGTGATCCTCCATCATCATCGCTGGCTCCGACATCGGACGATCCTTCTTAGGGGAACCCTTAGTCCTCTTCTAAAAGTCAAGGATTCATATGTAATATCTTTAAATTCTTCGTTTTTCACATCATATATACATACATGTAATCTTATATAAAGTAAAGGGATCCAATCATTTTAGAGTTCCATAATGCAATAGTATTTTGAGCTAATATTACAAATTTTAAATATATACCAACCTTAATGTCATCTGTGAACTGATCTAAAATAGAAAAAAAGACATACAGTCATGTTAATGAAACGAGTAAAAGAAGAGTTAAAAAAAAAAACAAGTCTCTGATGAGGTTGTAGCTTTACTGGTCTGTACGTATATCAAAAGAAAAGTAGCATTTGGATTCGAAACTTTGCAACAGGCAGCAATAAATAAAATTATGTATCTTTTTAATGTACTCTACATTTGTGCCAAGTTATATTAGTCTTGCAAGGCATCTGAGCTTAATTTTTACATAATGGTCTATCAAAATCTTACCCTCATCTCCATTCATTCCTCTGTGACCCCCGTTGTGTGGGGATGATATAGGTGAAAGGTCATGCTCATCTTCACCTAAAAAAAAAACATCACAAGTTAACAATTTAAAGCTTTTCTTTTGGTACACATTGTTTTTAAAGAATCATTGTCTACACGAACCTGATGAATGGTGACTGCCTCCACTGCTTGTCCGTTGCCGTACTGGAGTTGTGTTTTGTTCAGCTTGGAAGCTGCCTGATCGCTGCACGCTGTCATTCTGCGCACCTGTGGCATGAGGAGGGATGGCTGACCCCCTGTCGGGGGACCAATGTTTACTGGCCATAATCCTGTCCATCTCCTCCTCACGGATTTCCTGAGATTCCCGGTGTGCTGCCATGGGAGACACACTTCGTCCCCTCTCACCTTCTGGACTTGAAGATCTATGTAGGACAGCTGCATGGTGCTCATCAGCAGCTTGTGCTGTGCAGAATAAAGTCAGTAATTAGACTTAATAAATTATGTCTTCTATTGACAAAAACAAAAGATAATAATGAGGAAACTGAAAATAGTGTGGGTTGTATAATTTAAATTTTTCAACCCATTCTTTCAATTCAAGCATAAACACTAGCATATCAATTAATTTCCACAACAGTTGGTTCAAATTCAAAAGCAGTTTAAGATTAAAGTTTGTAGTTTGGTGATAACAATTAAACACAGTCAGGAATAAAGCCACCATTAAGCTTCATACCAGAGGGGGAACAGCCAAAAAAGCATGGTACCTTACTCAACAGTGCCCTCTTATTTACCTGTCCAAAGCATAAACCAATAGGGCTCTCAACATGCTAATGCAAGCATCAGGAATCATATTTTTTCTATATTTATGAAATTAAATTTTCTTGCAACCATTCCACAGAAATGTGAAAAATTTAACACTTTAAAATTTCTCAGAACAAGAGAAAACTAGAGTGATGTCAACTAAGGCACTAAAATTTACATTGATTCTGTGGAGAGATTGTTTTTCATAGGGGTGTTTGGTCTGGTGCCCATTTGTTTAAATAGTGAAAACTAACACAAATATTGGGAAAACAGGTGTGGAGAGTGCATATTGCAATATCAGGTACGAAATTCTACTTCCTTAAGTTCATCACATGTAATCACATATTACTACAGAAAGAATAGAAAGATGTAAATTGAATACTGTATTGCAAGTCCAATTTTCCTATAAGTTGTGTGATTTTCTGCGTTAGTTTTACCTACTTTTATGACTGAAGTATTTACTTTTCAGTAAATTTGAAACACTGATCCATAAAGAATTTAAGATTAAAAAAGTAAGATTTGGATAATACATTCTATATGACTCCTACACTTTTATTCTCTCTAATCAAGCTGCAAGAAGAAATATTTCTGAGATGATCATGTTAATGTAATTAATATAAGCTGAAAAACAAAGAAATTCAATTAAGAAAAAATTGTTAGTAGTACATGTAATTTGTTATAAAGCGGCACGCATTCCAAGAATTCCATACCCAAAAATGGGAAGAATGATGAAGAGAAACAACAAAACAAAGAAGTTTCCATAGTGATGAAATCAGGTGATAATCTGGAAAGCTTTCTAAAACCTTAAAACTTGTGTAGCCTAGAATAAGAACGTATATTTCTTAAAAAGAGAAATTTCCTTAATTATTAACTATTTATTTCTCCATCTTCCAAAAAAAGCAATACCAAACAAAAATAAAACAACAAAAACTTTATTCTTAATTTATACACATAGTCTATTCAGTTATACTGGCCTAATACCCCTTTGACAAATTAAGAAAAAATGAGTGAGTTGAATGACCTCAAGACATTAGAGCTCCATTGTTACTTCACTAAAATACATCTATATTTGTCAATCGCAAAATGACGTTAAAAAATTAGCAATTAATTATTGTACTACAAACTAACAATTGAATATATACTAATTATAAAGTGCTGGCCACACAAGTTTTATTTAGGAAAATGCAAAATAGTGACGAGAAGCATAAGGCACAAACTCTAACGTGTAAAAATCACCTCCATCATCGTCAACCGCGCTATCCTCAGGCGGTTGTTCAGAACTATGAAAAAATTCCAGGTCAGCATGGGATGGTGTTTGAACTGAAAGCAACCATATACTGTATATTATGGTACCAATGTACAGAACAGATGCGATACTGCTTTATCTTTTGAGTTAGAATATACATATATATATATATATATGAACTATATTGTAAAGAATCTGTGACGTTTGCATAGTTTCCTTCATAAATAATAATTTGGTGTTCAAGTCATAATTCAGACATGCAGAGATTTACAAGACTGAAATATACTTAGTAAAATTATAGAAATAGGCAACATCTAGAAAGACTGCCAAAGGTAATATATCATTAAAAATGAAAAGATATGCATAGGATTATGCAGAAATGAACATGGAATAATTTAATGATAACTATTTTAATTTGAATATTATTGGAAATATTCTATTCAATGATATAAACTGTTCATAAAATTTTAGCTATTTAGCATAAAAAGCAGGAAATTATTATTAGATATAATTTAAAGCTTGTTAATTTATATATTGTCTATTACGTCCTACATGGATATATAAATATAAGTGGTAAGTTAGTTTGTGAACCACATCATATAACACATCCCTTAGATACACTTTGCGAAAAAAAAATCTACATCAATTTTTTCCATATTTTTTAATACATGCATAATTATATATGCTTTTCTGCACATCTATACAATAAGATTTTTATATCAGAGAAATAACTACACTCTGTATGCAGACAATGTCAGTGTTTACCTGCGTAATGTTGGATTTTGCTGATCCATTCCTTCATGTCAGATGCAGAAGCTGCCTCCAGTAACGATTCCGCTCCGTCCGCGCTCTTAAGACGGAGGACGTGCTTCTTTTTATGGTAATCGGAGGCTACGTCACAGTATGCATTATGGATGAACACAGGTGGGGCCGCTGGAATCTTCTCCATGGCAGCTGTAATTAAGCATCAGAAAATAATCAGAATTAATATATCAATTTATCTCTGAAATAGCACTTGTTATTATGATAACAATTCTGAATGCACTATACCACAGTAATTTCGTTAGATGTCTTGTTAAAAATGCCAGGTATCCACTTCATAAAGTTAGAAAAAGAATAAGGTAATCCTCAAAAGATCTTAACATACGAACATAGGAATTGAAAGGTATTGTAAATCCCTTTGCTTTGCAATCTGGCTAAAAAAAATCTTAAACCAATTAAATGCTTACAAATTCTTCCTGAGAAAAACAATCTTACCCTCCTTATCTTTGTAGAAAACTAGAATCTGTCCATATAAAACCATATAATAATTCTTCCAAGATCGTATCGTAGCCCTCTTTCCTCCACTCTGCAATTCCACTTTTCTTTCCACTAATCCTTCAAAATCTGGATCAGGTAAATTATCTGGAAGTCTATACTTGTCCTTAAAACTCCTTGTTCTTCTCCTTAAATTAAAACTAGGAGTTCTCTTTTTCTTTTTATCCTCATCCTTTAAATGTTCTACACGTTTCTGTTTTGGACTAACAGGGGGAGATAACTTCTCCTTTTTATGTAAATCACTAGGGGTAGGGGGTGCCACCTGAATTTCTGGTGGTGGCATTTCTGGTAAATGTGGTGCCTCCTCCTCTGTAGGGGTTACAGTTTCAGTGTCATTGGGTGTAATATTTTCATTTGGATTAACAATGCCTTCTCCTTGTCGGAACTCATAGGCTTTTTGTAACACAGGGGGTGGGGAGGTGGCCCCCTCCCCTCTCTGTTTAAAACTGATGGCACGTTTCACTTCGGCTCTGCTGGTTGATCGACCAATCAAATTCTTGACTGTACTGGTGTCTAACCGGTCATCCCTAGAAAGACAAAGTAAATTATCATATCATAAATCCTACATAATATAATACTCTGATAACTGTTTCCTTCAATAATTTGGTTACCATACATCAACAGAAACAATTACTAATCAAAATATGTTTTGGTGCATCAAGAATTCTGTCAAATTTTCTTTACATCTGTGAGTAAAATGTACAAGATTTTTAAACGAAGCTGAATCTACACATAGCATAATGCTTTCTCTTTCATTAATTACAATAATTATCAACCTTTTCACTTTGAAAGCATTTTAAAGATTTTCTTTTGAATTCCCATGTAAGACTTACACAATTTGAACAAAATTGAATCTTATCTCATCAAGATTCACTTTCACTTAAGTATTGTTTTTGTTTTAAAAACATGTGACCTCTGACAATTTTTTTTAGAATGATTATTTTTCACAGATATTTTCCTTGAAAGGGGACTAAGCCATTGGTTCAAACAAATCTGAATTCCCTTCACTTAAGGATACTTTGTAGACATTCAGCAGATTATGGAATTAATTAAAATAGATGAAATTTTGAAATTTGTACATAAAACACTTAAGCAAGACATACAGAGAACCAAAATGATTGTTCTCCTATTTTGAATATCCTTTGGCTCAGGTGAGCTAAGCTTATCAGAAAACACCTGATCCATGCTGTAAGAAATCACTCACTTTTTGTCCTCGTCACTCTCCGAGGAGTCCGCATCCTTCTGTCTCCTCAACAGGACCTCACGAGCCTTCCTCTGTTCTTCTTCTCTCTTCCTCTCCTGCAAAAAAATACTTCATTAATAGCTGTTATTTCTTACAAGGGTCATTGGTACTGACACAGAAATTATCAAGCTTTACAAATGATAAACTCTTATTTTCACTTAGAATTTAGAAATGAGAATTTACATTTTGTTTCTGAATATTTTACTAACAACATTTTAAGGAAAAAGACCCAAACCAGGTTTTTGCCTAGTATACCATCAAGAAATCTACTAAGAAATTCTCCCTTTAGAATGCATTACCTCTCAGCTCTCCAAAATAAGTCCTGCACAAATGGATTTATCTAAACTCATAATAACTTAGCCTCATTTTCTTTTTTATACAAGTAAAGCACATTCTGCACTATACTAGCAGCACATCTCTTTCCACTAATCCCTGTGAACAATCTTTCATGCTAGCTTCTTTTATATCATGAATTTATGCTGTGCTATCTTTTACTTATCCACCATGGAAATATCTCTAATCCCCCCTATCTTTTCCATTATTTTTACAATTTAGTACATACATATACGAGTAAGAGGAGGGGGGGGGTTATTTTTTGTTAATCCCTATTTATGCTATAAAACGTCTCATAGTTAATTACCCAGGTAAGTGAATCAGACTGAACTTTTCATTTTATAAAAATTGTTATGTTAATTTGATATATGTTTCGATTATTAATTACATTATTTGCATATTTCAGATTAATCTACAATATACATGTACATGTATTTGAAGAATAGATATTATCTTGCAGTTTAATCCTACATTGAAGCATTAAATCAACAACATAAGTCATCAATGCAAGTACAGAACAAATACCGGTAGATAATATACATAAGAAATCACACTGATGATGAATCGTTGCCTACCCTAGTACTTATTTGTCTTTTACTAGAATGGAATTTTTACAGAAAAGTATACAGGTATATTTAAAGAAAAAAAAAACCCAGAAATAAAAGTAATAAAAATTGGTTAATTTTTTTTTCCTAAAACCAAACAAGAAAATAAATAAAATTTACTCAATAAATAAGAGTGTTAAATATTAAATTTGAATGGAAAAAACAACAATGTCACAATTAAACAAAAAAGGTATAGACATATAAAATAAACTCATGGTGAGACAAGCACAGGCAGCAACCAAAAATCAACTTCATATTAACGCTCTGGAAGCAACAGCTAACTAAATAAACTCACTCAGGTGTATTTTGAACAATAAATAATCTCACTTTATTTATTGATAAACTTTTATAAAATAAATAGCCGTGGTTCAAAATACACCTTAGTCATTAGCTTTAATTGCAACAACATTAATTCAATACAAAGCAAGAAACCAGCACATACATTTCTCTGTGTCTGCAAAGAAAGGATTTTATACAAATAATTTTATGCATAAAAATTTAAAACATTTGAGCAGATCTTTAAACCTTATGAAAAATAAATGACCATTTTAAAATGCTCTAATCTCAGTGTTCTTATTTTAGCAGTTAGCCATGACAAAAGTTTAAACTGACAGAAGCAATAGCTGCATCGAAGGGGCAGTAGTTTAGTTGCCTAGCAACTACTTTTTTGATGCTTATGCTAGATTGCTAGTGTTCAATCAAATCGTGGGGGGAAAAAAATCCAAAATCACTTTCTAACAACTTTTGTGAAATTAAGACATGAGTTGCATGGAACATCAATTTAGCAAATTGAAAAGCACAGTTTCTGTTTATGATTTAATATCATTTCAACAAAATATATTAGTACCAAGTGTCAATAGAAAAAAAATCTGACTTTGCTGACTCCAGTAAAGTAATGCTAACCTCCAAGATTCTCTCCTGTTCCCTCTTTCTGATCTCATCCATTCGTTCGATCTCCTTTTGTTGTTTCTCTGCTAATGCCTGCTGCTGTTTCTGGTCTAATAAGGACTTCTCCAGCTAAAACAGATCGCAATGTTAAATATTCATCAAAAGACAATTAACTGAATTATCACAAATGTTAGTTTGATGAGATATTAGTGATTTTTTAGTGGAAAAAATGTTTTCAATTATGTTTTCTTTCAAAAGGTGACCACCAGTACCATACCATTTGCCCAAAGAGTCTACAATGGAAACCAAAAATAGTTCCTTTCCAAAAACTGATCGCTTCCAATTAGAGAATTGAAATGAAATCAAATACAAAAAGTATGGTGCCAAAACTTAAATTTCAAAATAAATCGGGATGATAACAAAAGTTTTGGTAAAATAATATAACAGAGAAAGGTGAATATAATGAGATACATGTGGATAGACTGTTAATATAAAATGAATATCTATACAATTTGAAAACTAAACTTTCTGCATGCATTAAATATAAATTAAACAAATATACATGTAGATATACATTTGTTGAGAAGGGGCAATAAAGATGTACCTTGATGTTAGTGGGACAAAAGTAATGGATTTTAGTAATATTTACCCTTTCAAAGCTTTTCTATAACCAACACACACATAAAAGGGGTTAATTTACAGACGGAGGTTTGCCAGCTGTTATATTAACATCATTATATTAATATCATTTCATACTAATATAAAATCATTGAAAAAATGAAAAAATAATCATCTCTAATGATGTAAAGTTTACAGTGCAGTTAGTATCAACAATTAGGATGCATGAATTAAAAATAAAATGCACCAGCCCATGACCATATTAATCATTAATTATCTTATCTTTATAAGTACAAAAATTAACCTACCTGTGTACGCCGACAAATAGCGTTGAATTTCTCAGACTGTGCATCGACCGTCTTTTCGAAGTCATCCTGTCGCCTGAGTAGCTCCTCCACGGTCTGAATATTCTCTCCGACGTTCTTCTCCTTCATCAGAGGTTCGCGGATATTCATCCAGGCCTCCAGCTGCTCCATTTCATGATGTAATTGCTGAAATGAGGAGGAAAATTCAGATATAGAAGTACATAAAAATATCTGAATGGAGGAAATTTGTACTGAAAATTAGTAGCTACAAAATAATTGTTTTTTCCCAACATTATGATTGATGCACACACCTGAGCTTCTAGATTCTGTTCGCAGAGTTCCTGGTACTGCTCGAATGTTTTTATCAAGGCTTCCCAAGCCGTGTTCAAGTCTGTCACTTTCTCATTTATCTACAAGTATTCATAAGTAATTAAAGGAAATTTTCAGGATTTTTGCAAAATAAACTGATCCTTGAATTATATCTAAAAAATTTTCTGCTGTATCTTAAGAATAACCTCTTCAGACAGGAAATGTCCATTCTCGATCATGACTTTTCCTGTCTCTAGGAATTTATTAACGGCATCTTGTCGACTGTCTATTTCTGCTTTATGCTCTTTACATCTTGTCATCATGAGTTCAGCACTAGGGAGATCCCGTGCAAACTCTTCTGCCAGGATGATGGCCATCATCTCACTTATCCAGGCTCTGTAACAGATTCAAGTACTTTTAAAAGTTGGTACAGAATAGCTCATGAAGAAATACTGTGTTTCTTTTCATAATGAAAGGCCTTTGGTTCTGAAGTCATTTTGGTCAATAAGATGAGCAAAAATTAGTACAAAAAACACTAATAATAAATCATTGAGATTACATATGTATGATTATCTACTTAACAATTTAACCCTCTCCCCTATAAGCCTATAAGTTCAGACACATCACTTACTGTAACTCTCTGTAGTCATTGAAGTATAACTGTAACTGGTCTGCCTGCTGAAGTTTCTCCTTCCTCTGAGAGGCTTTCTCCACCAGAATGTTCCAACACTGTACCATCTCCTCATGCTTCACTGCTATGTGTTCCTGGGCGTCTGGGTACTGTCCAATCAAACGCTCAGCTTCTTTGGTGATAGCCTCCACTTGCTCACTAATGGCTGCTAAATCCCTCTATAATAGACATCAATTTTATTTTACAATCAAATTCAACACAAATCAAATGCCATCCAAATACTATGAAATCACTTATTTTCATGGGGGTTTAATTTTCATTGTTTTTTGAGATATTGAGAGACCCACAAATTCATGACCAGCACGAAATGTAAAATTTCATATGCATTACTTACTAAAAATTTTCCACTAACGAAATCAAATCCCTACAAATCAATATTTTTTCCTCAAACCTCGAAAATTTAACCCCACGAAAATATGTGATTTTACAGTATTGTTCCATTAATATAATTGAAAATGACCCCAAAACAATATCATCTGACTTACCTCAAATCCCTCGTGTTTACTGATGAGTGACTGGACAGATTCCAGGTCATGTCCATAGTCCTCTGTACTGACTAAGCCTTCCTTCTCCTGGATCCAGTCCAAAGTGTCGTCTGCATCCCGGCCATACATGTGTACTTCCTTAGCTGCTGCCAGAGCCTACAAAACAAGCAGCACATATAATATCACAGTTTTCATATAAATGCCATTGCTTCTATAAAGAAACTGTCAAAATATGGCTGAAAAAAAAACACTGTTGACTTGGTGCTACACATTAAGCAATTATTCAATCTGTAAATTCTGAAAAACTCAAATTTCCACATTTTATTTTGTAAACAATCATTTCTTGGGCCAAAAATTGAAAATGCATTTAAACACAGTATACAAGTAAACTTCCATTAAGTCAGTGGGTTTTGTACACACCTCTTGCCTGGCCTTGGCCACCTCCTTCAGTTCATTCCACTGTTGTGTCACCTCCTCAGATCTCTTCTTGATTGCTTCTGATTCAAAATGGTTGGCATCTATCATTTCTGTTGCCATGACACTGATATTTGTGACTCTCTCTTCACTACTGTTTAAATTCTGAAGGAAGTCCTCAAATTTTTGTTGTAGAACCTGATGAACAGATAATTTTTAAAATTAATAATTAGGTGAAATGCTGCCATTATGACAATAGGAATGAATGCAATGGCTGTTTATCATATATTTTACGTACCTCCACATGTTCCAGATCCTGACCGTAATCCTCTGAGGATGCAATAACGACCTTGTCTGCTATCCAGTTAGTGACATCATCAGCCTCTCTGTAGAATTCAAACAGTTTCTTGGTTTCCAGGAGTTTGGTTCTTCTCTGACTGGCCAGATCCTGCAGGGTGCTGTACTTCTGTTCTACGGAGGCCTGCTGCTTCTTTATATTCTCCATGTCAAAATTCTCCTTCTCCACTAAGCTCCTACTTAACGCAGCAAGCTCTGCGATATTACTGCTAAAGTTCTCAATGTCTCTCTCCAAGGTGTCCATTTTTTTCAAATTAACCTGTTTGAAAATTCACAAATGTATTTTTTTTTTATTATAGGTGTTTTCATTTTACAACAAATGTTGAAGAAGTTCAGTCTGAAGAAGTAATTTACCTGAACACCGTCTTCATCTTTTCCATACTCTGGACTTTTCAGAACAGGAATTTTTTCATCCATCCACGACTCAGCAACCGAAATCTCAGCATAGAACTATTTGATACAGTTAAAAAATTACTTAATTTCTATTCAGTTTGTAAGTATTTTGATCACTTGAACAACAAGATTTTGAACCTTGGTAACAATGCTATACAACATACCGTTTGAGATTCCAGTGAGGCCTGGAGTTTAGATTTGCGCTCCAATGTTAATTCCTGGAGTTGTTGAAGCTCTGTCTGCAGTTTGTCCAGCTGAGCTTTAATGTTGTCAGAAGCAAAGTGTTTGGCCTGCATCATTCTCTGGGCAGCAGTGGCTACAGAGTCAATCAAAGGCTCGTGAGCAATGATTTCTGATTCCAGGGCCTATTCAATATACCATCAAACACTTCATTAACATTTTGGACAATTTAACTTAAAATTAAACAATTATTAATTATTTGATCAATAGATCACAAAACAATTAAATTATTTTCTCCTGACACTATTAATCATTTACATTTATGTAGATCAATTGGATGTTCTTTTTTTTTAAAACAGTTTCAATCTTTTCGGAAACATGCATATAGAGAACAGAAATCTGTTGACCTGATGTTTCTTCATAAGATTTTGGACGGCATTCAGTGAGTCTCCTAGATCAGTGGAGGACGCTACAGGAAGTTTCTCCTGTATCCATGACAACTCGTCCTCCACATCTCTGTAGTACTGGTACATCAGCAGGGCATCCTCCAGGTTATCACGTCTTATAGTGGCCGGCTCAGACAGAGACTCGTATCTATCATAGATGTAACATATTTAAATGGTGGAGATACATTCAATTCTTCATCTTGTTAATGCTTTTTCTTTATTGTTTCCATCAGAGATGTACAGAAATTTTAGAATAAACTTAACCTTTACCAAACTGGGTTTGTTTATTTGCTGTAATCCTATTTACATATACGTTTGGCATTTCAACATGTTTTGGGTGATTTCTGCATTAATTTTAGACTTGTTTAATATTACAGGGTATGTTCTATTTTTTAAATGGTTTTTCTTTATTGTTTACATCCAAGATGTACATAATAAAATACTTGCATAAATACATACTTTTCTTGAACAGCTTTGGCTCTAGCCTGGAGTTCTTTGTTCATAAAATGTTTTGCTTCCTTGAACACATGGGCGGCATCTTGAACATCCTGAACCTTTTCTCTGTGATTGGCTATGTCCTGCTCCAGCAGCTACGATACAAATATATTCTGTTACTACTAATGAACATCACACAAAAGGTTTGAAAAATGGATGAACATTTAGAAACACATTTAAGTAACTGTAAATTTGGTGATCATTCTAATGTTTTTTGATAATTTATTGAATATAAATCCTTCCCATGATCCTCTGACATACAGTAGTATCATCTACTCCTGAAAACAAAATGGAGAATTTTCTGTAATGGTCTTTAATTTTTTTCACTTTATTTTGTATTTCAAATTTTAGCATTGCGCAAGTGCGCATGTGAATGTGCGTAATGACCATATCATCTTGTCTAAATCTTTATACTATTTAAATTACTAAATATTAAATTATTTAATCCAAAAGTATTAAAAATTATGATCATTTAAGTGTGTTTTCCTTGGACATGCACGTGCATACATGAGCATGATGACCATATCTTCTTGTACATAAAATGTTTTGCTTCCTCAGATTACAGCACACACATGTATGCATGTGCATGGTGACCATCCTTCTTGTAGAAGTTCATCCTATGAACCTTTTCTCTGTATGTATGTGCATGGTGACCATACCTTCTTGTAGAAGTTCATTATATCTATGTTCCAAATCCCATCCTGTTTGGTTGAAAATCAAGGGAGTTATAGCTATTTAAAGTTTCAGCCAATGGCTTTCATGATAATTGCTATATATCATGTTGTAGGATATATTAATGAATGTCTATGTTCAAAATTTCAAAGGATTTTGTCAAAAAACAAGAGATATGGAGACTTTAGTTTCAGCCAACAGCTATAATACAATGTTGTCTAAAATATATCTGTTTCAAAGCATTTCATCAAAAATGTATGCCAAAATCAATTAAATCGGCACACAAGCACTGATAAATTGAAATATGGATGAACATTTAGAAACACATGTAAGTAACTGTAAATTTGGTGATCATTCAAATTTGTGGTTTGTCCTACCTGATGTTTTTTGAGTAATTTATTGACAGAATATAAATCCCAAGTTATATCAAAATCAGACCAAAACTGTAGCATTTTGATTTCACAGAAATTTCTGACATAAGCTCAAAAACCGATGCACAGAATTATGTATCTTAGTGTAGTCTACTTGTGTGCCATCCAAAACTGACATTAAGTCATCTACCACTCTATTGTACATGAGAGCCTGAAAACATAATGTAAAAGAAACTTGTCATAATTATGCAAATGCATTTTAAATTAGCTCGTTTTACCATTTTCCAACTTTTCTATTCAATCATAAAATTAGTATGTGAAACCAATGATTGCATAAACAAGTATCAGAAAATCTGAAATATGAAAACAAACCTGATAGGCATCCTGTAGTCTATCTTTCTTCTCAGCACTGGCTGCCATTAGGGCTTCCCAGCTTAATTCTAGCTCCTCCAGACGTTTCTGAATGTCTGCCTTTGCATAATGATCCTTATCAACTAATCCTTTACCTTCCTATACAGCAAAATATAAAAAATCATACGTATAAGCTTTGTTACTTTCAAATCCAACATCTTTTGCAAGGAGTTCATGTTCCAATCGTGAGTACATTCCCCTGTTACATGTTAAATTATTTTATAACACTGTCAAAGTCCTTGCTACTCAAGAGTACACCTTATATGAAACACATAAGGACTATACTTTGTTTCAGCCTACCACAGGATTAAACTTTATGTGAGGTACTAAATATGACTATACTGGGTTGAGCCTACCTCCACGACAGCATCCACTCTGTTCCTGTTGGCCGTGACTTCAGCCTCGAATGCCTGGTGTTTCTGGAGCTTGGCCTGTAGATTAGTCGGATCCCTATACGACTCATCCAACGCCACCTGTAGCTTCTCATTAATCCATCCTGTCACTTCATATAAATTCCTCAAAAATAACTGATAGTTCTTAGAATCATTCAGTTTCTTGGTTCGTGCTTCACAATGTTTCCAGAAAGCATCACACCTATTCACAACTTCCTGACACCTATCAGTAATCTCACTAGAAGCATAGTGATCTTGGCTTTTCAGATTCTCTGCAAATTGTTTCAAGTCTTCAATTTTATCCACCTGTTTTTTCGTTGTCTTGACAAATCCATCATGTTTCTTTTGAAGTGTTTCAACGCTGTGTAAATTATTCTGAAATCAAACAATAAAATAAATTTTCAAGTTACTTGAATTCATGTTAATGCTGATGCTTTTCGCAAAAAATTTTTACAGGGAAAAATAGCTTAATTCAACATATTCAGAAAAATATTGCACAAAGAACAATTAACTTACTCCTAAATCTTCATTTGCAAGGAAGACTTCTTTTGAAGATATCCATGCATCAGCTTGTTCAGCTGTCTCCTTGAAAACCTGTATAAAAATAAAGGGATGCAAATAGTTTAATAAATGAATGTTTATCACATTAAAAACAGCTTTAGTATCTCTAAATACTGGGATATGCAGTTGATGGATTCATGTAGGTATAAGTAATCAACATATTCAAATGCACATGCGTGTAAATTACATGTACATAATTACGTACAAATAAAAAACTGCATTTCCAAATATTTTGTTATGCAGACAAAGAAAAAGAATGGAAAATATCTTATAAACAATAAATCAAAACTGAGTTGATGAATGATTAAGATAAAGTGTTTTCATACTTGTAGATCATGGCACTGAGTGAGTAAGTGGTTGCGTTTCTCCCAGGCAGCATTCAGCATTAGTTTGGTGTGGTCTATCTGACCAATGGTTTTCTGGATTTCTTCCAGAGAGTAGTGTTTCCTCTCCACAAGTTTGTTACCATGCTCCCGGACAGCAGCAAAGTGGGACTTCCTGCCCTCGATTTCTGCCTGTAAAATGTTTTACACATATAAGCCTCTTCAATTATTCAATGGGAAATGTCATTGAACAATAATGTCAGAGAACAAGAAGTGCCAATACCTTGCGTTCATGGTGAATTTGAAGAAGACTTTCAGCCTCGGGAACATCTTTAGCCAACTCTCCTGCATTCATTCTCTGTACCATCTCAGTGGACCAGGAAACCTTTACATAAAAAATCACTTTAGTTGTTCATCATATTAATTATTTAAGTACATGTAATATGTTTCTTTCGGAAATCATGATTACTTACCAGTTCCCTGGCATCAGATAGAAACTTCTGTAGCTGATATGAGTCAGACAATTTCTGTTTCCTAAAGAAGAAATAAACATTTATTATGTTACCTTCCAACATTTTCTATTCAAAGCTAAAGCTCAAAATTACTGTAGACGTACTTTTTTCCATGGGGTTATAATTCCCCAGAATCCTCATTTCTGTTTCTGGATTTCTTAGACTGTCACTATATTCCTTACATTTATAATAAGTACGCTTGGACAAATTTCCGCGGAAAATTTGTGACAGCGTACATAGCGTAAATTAATACCACGCGGAAAAAAGTACTTCTACAGTAAAAGTGTAATAGAAAGCATTCCGAGATCTTAAACAAGATAAAACATTTGCTGAAATACACCAGTGTTACCTGCTATCAGCCAGTTCTTCTAATTTTTCCCAGTTGTCCTGGGCCTCCTGTTGTTTCTGGTGAATAGCATCAGCCTTGTCTGGGTACTTCCTGCATAACTTGCTCTCCAATGCCTCCATTTTCTGTGTAGAGAATTATTACATTTCATTTAATTTTTAATACATGTACCCTTAAAACATTTTCTTTATCAAAAAATAAAATGAGTTATGCCAAAACTAAGGGGAATGATTTGGTCTTTTATAGAGGCTCCACTCTACCTCTAGCTGGTTCTGTAGGGCTGTCATATCCCTCTCCACCTCCTCCTGTTTCCTTTGGAGGGCCTCCACGCTGGACAAATCCTTCCCGAGGTCCTCACTGGACAGTAACAGAGCCTTCTCATTGATCCTGTCCAACATCTCGTCCACGTCCCGGTTGAAGGAGTGGATTTCTAGGGCACAGGACAGGCTCTCCTTGTAGTCAGCCAGATCAGCATTCACTCCCTTCCATCTACAAACAAATGTATCAATCTAAGACCCATTTACATACAAAGGACTGTTTTCTTTTTACTCAAATTCTCAAAATGAAAACTTAATTACTTAATTTCAACTTTAACTTGATACTGTAAAAGCACAAATATTCGTGGGGGATTAAATTTCGTTTATTTCATTGTTAACAATAATCAACGAAATTAAATCCCACACGAAATTTTATATGACTATATATTAAATAGGATTAATCTCAAAAGAACGAAATTAAATCCCCAAGAAAATATTTTTTATGACAAATCAACGAAATTTTATCCCCACGAAAATTTGTGCTTCTACAGTATAACATGACTTATCATCATTTATCATTGAAATAATGAATGAGTGACTCTTACTTTTGATTGAGATTATTGCGTTTCTCCTTTACAGCATTTGTGTCTGTTCTTCCCTGAGATATTAATTTGTCTGCCAATGCATTAATATCAGCTATCCTCTTATCATCCACAGTGATACCCTGACAAAACATGGGGGAAAATGATGAAACTGGAGTTATACATGAACTTATGTCTTGATGCTAATCAAATGATAAAATAAAAATTTCCATCTAAAGTGTAACTGAAAATAAGTTATATCAGGTCCTTTGTTCAAAATCTAAATGAACAAGATGTGTTTGTGAAACACTATGCGCCCGACGTTAACAAAATTTGAAAAAGCTACTTTTAGCATATAGGTCACAGTCAAGGTCACAAGGTCATTGACCTTGGTGTCATTTGAAAGAACTTGATTAGTGGAGTATGCATTCCAAGTATGACGTCTCTATCTTTCATTGGTCAAAAGTTATGGCGAAGGTTAAAGTTTGCAGACAAACAAACAAACAGACAGACAGGACAAAAACAGTATACGTCCCAGATCTATCAATTGGGCAAATAAAAATACATGTATCATTCCTAAAAACCAGTAATACATTGTATAGGCATCCAAATGAAAAAGAAATAAAAATACATTTCTACCCAATACACCCCATATCCCAAGAGACCTGGCAATCAAACTTCAATGTTTTTCAAAATGCAACCAGTTTTCCCATCCAATGTTTTCTCAAATTTTATTTAGTTTTTCTCAATTGCAGTATCTGTCTCCTTTTATAATATATGACAACAAAATCCTGCTATTTGAATGGTTTAAGGAAATACACACATCATTAACATTAAAGTCCTTATTCCATAAAATCCTATGGCACGTTTTCTGAACAATAAAATATAATGGTTCTATTTTGTATGGCAAAAAAAGGTACCAGTAATTTTTCAAGCACTTAATGAAATGATGATTGATAATCTGAAAATTGAAATAAATGACAACAAGAGGCCCACGGGCCTTATAGGTCACCAGAGCATTATGCAACAACTTTCCAGTTATTGAATTTGATTCATGTTTTAAGCCAGATGCTATATGGCATTTACAATTTTGAAAGAGGCACCATTGATCATCATAAAAATACACTTAGCAGTTGCTTAGCTTGGTTACTGAATACCCATACGCAGGGTAGGGGAACAAAAATGCATTCCAACTAATCAGTAATATTCAGCAATAATCAGTAGTATCCCTAACACTGTGACATAAACCCCTGACCCTAGGTCCACACATTGCACAAATTTTAAAAAGGCATCCTTAAAATTGCCTATCAAAAAATAAATAAATGTTTTATAAATACAAAGGAGCAGATTTAAAACAATTAATTCATTTTCAGTATATAAGTAGAGCCACCCCCACCCCTACCCTGGGGCCTTGAATTCACAATTCAGCAATTTTTCCCTTGCTCATTTATATAGGTAGTTCATCTGCTTCATACCCAGAGACAGAGAAGAAAATTTTCAAAGATTTAATGTATTTTCACTATATAATCAATCAATAGAGCCCCGCCCTAACACCAGAACCCCTGATCCTGGGGCCATAAAATTCATAATTTTAGAAGAGGCATTCTTGCTCATCATAACTATGTACTTAGTTAGTTTATTTAATACCTAGGAGCAGAGAAGAAGATTTTCAAAGAATTCATGTATTTTCACTATATAATCAATAGAGCCCCCTCCCCCCCAACACCAGAACCCTTGATCCTGGGGCCTAAAATTCACAATTTTGGTTGAGGCATTCTTGCTCATCATAACTATGCACTTAGTTAGTTTATTTAATACCTAGGAGCAGAGAAGAAGATTTTCAAAGAATTCATGTATTTTCACTATATAATCAATAGAGCCCCCCCCCCCCACACCAGAACCCTTGACCTTGGGGCTATAAAATTCACAATTCTGGTTAAGGCACTCTTGCTCATCATAACTATGCACTTAGTTAGTTTATTTAATACCTAGGAGCAGAGAAGAAGATTTTCAAAGAATTCATGTATTTTCACTATATAATCAATAGAGACCCCCCCCCCCACCCTTGACCCTGGGGCCATAAAATTCACAATTTTGGTAGAGGCACTCTTGCTCATCATAACTATGTACTTAGTTAGTTTATTTAATACCCAGGGGCAGAGAAGAAGATTTTCAAAGAAATCATGTATTTTCACTTCATATAATCAATACAGCCCCACCCTAACACCAAAGCCGCTGACCCTGGGGCCATAAAATTCACAATTTTGGTAGAGGCACTCTTGCTTATCATAACTATGTACTTAGTTGGTTTATTTAATACCTAGGAGCAGAGAAGAAGATTTTCAAAGAAAAAATGCATTTTCACTATATACTTATTTAGCCCCGCCCTAGCACTAGAACCCCCTGACCCCAGAGCCATGAATTTCACAATTTTGGTAGAGGACTCAATGCTGATTACAATCATGCAAACAGTTTGACTGCTTGGTGTCCAGGAGTAAAGAAGAAGATTTTTAAAGACTGCATTAATTTTACTGGTTTTGGCCCCACCCCTCAGGACCCAGGGGGGCAGGGATCATGAAATTCACAATTTTTGTTCCTCTTTACCCATAGATGCTTTGTGCCAAATTTGGTTGAAATTGGTTCAGTGGTTGCAGAGAAGAAGCTGAAAATGTTCAAATGTTAACACACGACGGACGACGACGGACGGAAACGGATAGCAATAGGTCACCTGAGTTTACTCAGGTGACCTAAAAATGGATATATGCAAGTAGAACAAGATTTGCATTTTCAATATTTGTGAGATGGTTTGGTTGATTGTTTCAGTGAATGGTATGCTTGCAGATATAGAATCTGAAAAAAAGCTATAGGGGAGATGATTGACAAAGGGACTTGTTGAAAAAAAGACTGTGTTTACATGTATATTGACATTGTATTATGTTCATGCATATTACAGAAGTAATGAAGAATTGCAAAGGAAGAAGTTAACCATGCGCTTACACATACTTGTACATTTGTCTGTAAAAACCAGTCATGAGAATTTGTTAGCTACATGAACATATCAGTCAAGCTTATGCAAATGATTTAATAATTATGAATTCATGAAACAAAAGGGAGTAAAATATAAAATAATATGGTTGATTATCAGATTAATATAAATAAGCAATATAACTGAATAAGAGAACAATCTATATATTCATACAGCTGTAGAAGGACTTTCTAAACTGGTCTACTTACGGCTGATTCCAGATCATTGGCCTTCTTTTGAAGTTCTAGACAGTGTTCATAATCTCTACCCATGTCTCCTGCACTCACCAGAGCTTCCTATCAATAAATCATTACGTGTACTCCAGTTGTTACTCAATAAATATTGCAAAGCAGGCTTACTTTTATAAATCCTAGGATCTTTACAGGTCTTTACAGTTTTAAATATAAATTGTAGAACAGCAGTTTTTCCAATTTTTCTCCCCCTTGAGAGTTTGCATATAGAATTCTTGAAAATGCATGGAAGTCTGTAGGTCAATTTCTTTAATATCATAGTATAATGAAATTTGCATCTCCTCATGCAAAACAGTCCTTCATAAAATCAGTTTCTTCTTGTTCTATGCCATATCTCCCATATATGTTCTACTTTTCAGAAATCCACAGTTTTTATTTACATGTACATGTATCTATTCAGTAACAGTACACACATCATATGTTTTCACTAAGGGTCTTACTTTTTCTCTCATCCACATTTCCACTTTATCCACCTGTTCATTGAACATAAGGATGTCTTTCAGTTCCACCAGACCTTTCCCCCTGTTGTTGGAGGCCTGTAGTAGCTCGTTCCACTTGGAGTTCAGTCTCTGCAAGCTTCGTCTCACCTCATCTGACTCAGGGTGTTTTTTCTCCAGTAAAACGTCTCCTTGCTATATGTACCACAAACAAAAATTAGGTTATTTTCTCTACCAAATACCATTTCTTGACTGAACATTTTCAATGCAATTCCAAGTGTTTTTGTAAGAATGCTTAGCACTTAAAGCTTACAAATCTTCCAAGATTAATCTATAGCTTTATAAGCCATTAGAACATTTCCTTACTTTTCTGGCATTTTTTAAGATAATGTACCTCTTTAATTTTATTGATCTGGTCAGAATTGGCCAATATTTCTGCTTCAAAAGCCTGATGTTTTTGTAGTTTCTTAATCTTATCCTGGAGGTCTGTTACATCCTGGAAGTCATCTTCATAAGCCACCTTCAACTTGTCATCAATTAGTCCTTCAGCCTACAACATTTTAAAGTACATGTACATGTAGGTATTTGACATCATCTGACTTCAGACATTCAGTATCAAATTTTCAGGGATTTCAACATCACTAAATATGTAACAAGGCATTGATATTCAGATTACTCAATTACAATTATGATATCATAATTTTCATGTCATGTACCTCTGCAACATCTCTGTTGAATTGGGCGTACAAAAGTGAATCTTCCAATTTCTCTCCTCTTGCTTTGCTCTGAGCCCTCAGATTAGCTCTCCTGATAAGAAATTATGATAAAAAAGTCTGTCATTTCTGAAGTTACAATGAAAACAAAGATTTAACAACAATTTGTTCACAATTTACCTTTTAGTGACATCATCAATTGTCTTTTTGATAATAGGGGCTTCAAAATGTCCTTCCTCCACCATTTTCAGACCATTGGCAGATAGTGCTTCCAACTAAAAGTAAGAAATTCAATGAAATCATCTGCATGACATGATAGCACTAGTAATTTTTCTGTTTAACTGATGCATCATGAAATATCAGTCATGTGTAATACTTGTACCTTGTCTTCTTGCACTTCTAAGACTCTGTCAAAGGCCTCATGCTTCCTTATGAGAGCTTCAACTTGATCAACAGTACTGCCAAACTCACAACTGGCCAAGTATGCCTGTACACAATAATAAGTTAAACTCAGCTCACTTATGACCTGCATTAACTACTGCTCACAGATTACAATATTACTGTATACTTTATTATGAAATGAAGATATAGTTTTAACCTCTTGAGAGGAGCTGATGGTGTCTAGTTGCTGGGCATCCCTGAGGAAGGTGTGGAGGTCGTACAGCTGATCATAGAAATCTCTCTTCTCATCCCAAACCTTTCTCAGTCTATCCTGAGTGTCAGCTACCAATTTCACCTTCTCTTCAATCTAAAATCAACAAGAGAAACTTTAACTAAATACTGATACATGGAACAGTTAAGATACATTCAACTACCACTAAATTATACATGGACGATCAAGTTTTCTACAAAAGTTGTTTGAAGCTTCAAGCGACAATTAAATTATGAAATGTTCAGAGTCACAAAATTTTGCCAATACTGCAATGGGGTTTGGTCAGGATTTTTCAAACATTCAAAAAAAGACACTATTGTTACTTAAGTCTGTACAACTTGTAAAACTTTCCATCTAGTTAGATATCTGTAATAGACATGTGGATAGTACCTCTGTCTTGGTGTAGTGGTCATTTTCCACCTATTGTATTTATTATACATGTAGATGACTATATTTGACAGTACCTCTGTCTTGGCATAGTGGTCATTGTTGATCATCTCCTCCCCGGTCTGTATTATGGTGGTGAAGGTCTCGGCCCGGGCCTCGATCTCAGCCTTCAGTTCCTCATGTCTCGTCTTAATCATGTCCACCCCGTACACATCTCGCGCCGTCTTCTCAGATTTCATTTCCTGCTCAATCTCATTGGCCCAGCTCATCAGATCTCTCACCTTATCATCAAAGTAATTATTCAATTTCCAATATTTCATTTAAATATTTTATAAAGTTTTTGCAATAGATAATGACAATTTGATTTTCCAGTCTGTAACAGAGAAAGCCCATTAGAAGTGATTACTTACATCAGCCAGGAATCTGTGTAGGTCCATGGTATTGATGAGTTCTTCCTTCCTCTGAGCAGCTCTGTCTTGTAAGATCCCCCAGTTCTCCACCACTGTGGCCTGAAGCTGTTCTATCTGCTCAGCATTCTCCCCAGGGTAAGTATCCTGAAGTCTAGTGGAGTCTTCAATCAAGACTTGTAACTGGAAAAAGAAGTGGGAACCACAATATACATACTTCATACTTTCAAAAAATTTAAAATATGATGATGAAAATTAAAAAAAATAAAAGATGCCTCTTAATTACCTGAGCTTCTAAAGCCACCAGTTCATTTTCGAACCGTTCATGCTTTTTGAGATAGCTCTGAGTAGCGAACAGATCCCTCCCCTGATCTTCGGGTATACTGGCATATTTCTCCTGAATCCTGGTGAGAGCCTCCTCGACATCACGGTTAAACCTGTGAATCTCTCCTGCACCATACATCTTCTGGTCTCGGTTCTCTATCTGTTCCAATAACTGGTTCCATTTTTCTCTGAAATTCAAAATAAACTTGCAATTAAACATGTAATACAGACATGCTATATAAACAAGTTTTTAAACTTTTCAACAACCAGAAGTCTCTGTCGAGACTTTAGTTCTACTGGTTTATACTTAAAACAAAGGAAGAGAAAAGTAGCAGTTGGGACTCGAGACTTTAAATCAGCAATAAATAGAAAAATGATCCTTGCCACTCATCAAAATAACAAGAGGCCCAGGGGCCACATCACTCACCTGAGCAATTTGGCTAGGAAAAAGCACAAATCAGATCAGAACTGAAAGTTTACTGGAGGGGGGGGGGGGGGGGGCTTGAATTTTAACCCCCTCTGGGTTCATGATTTGAACAAACTAGAATCTACACTACCTGAAGATGATTCCATATTAATATCACTAATCATAGCTTTGAATTACTTGAAAAGATGATTTTAAAAGGTTTCCCTATAACTCCCTATGTAAAACTTGGGTCGGCCATTTTGGCCCCATCCTAGCCCCGGGGGTCATGATTTGAACAAATTTGAATCTACACTACCTGAGAATGATTCCACATGAGTTTCATCTTTCCTGGCCCAGTGGTTCTTGAGAAAAAGATTTTTAAAGATTTTTCCAATATATATCGTATGTAAAACTTGGGTCGGCCATTTTGGCCCCACCCTCGCCCCGGGGGTCATGTTTTGAACAAACTTGAATCGACACTACCTGAGGAAGATTCCACATGAGTTTCATCTTTCCTGGCCCAGTGGTTCTTGAGAAGAAGATTTTTAAAGATTTTTCCCATATATTCCTATGTAAAACTTGGGTCAGCCATTTTGGCCCCACCCTAGCCCAGGGGGTTATGATTTGTACAAACTTGAATCTACACTACCTGAGGATGATTCCACATGAGTTTCATCTTTCCTGGCCCAGTGGTTCTTGAGAAGAAGATTTTTAAAGACTTTTCCTATATATTCCTATGTAAAACTTGGGTCGGCCATTTTGGCCCCACCCTAGCCCCGGGGGTCATGATTTGAACAAATTTGAATCGACACTACCTGAGGATGATTCCACATGAGTTTCATCTTTCCTGGCCCAGTGGTTCTTGAGAAGAAGATTTTTAAAGATTTTTCCTATATATTCCTATGTAAAACTTGGGTCGGCCATTTTGGCCCCACCCTAGCCCCGGGGGTCATGATTTGAACAAACTTGAATCTACACTACCTGAGGATGATTCCACATGAGTTCCATCTTTCCTGGCCCAGTGGTTCTTGAGAAGAAGATTTTTTAAAAATGTCATTAATTTTTCTCTAATTCATATTTATCTCCCCTTGGAAAAGGGCGTAGCCCTTCATTTGAACAAACTTGAATCCCCTTTACCCAAGGATGCTTTGTGGCAAGTTTGGTTGAAATTGGCCCAGCGGATCTTGAGAAGAAGTCGAAAATGTGAAAAGTTTACGGACAGACAGACAGCTGGACAGCTAGACGGACAGACAGACGGACTCCGGACAAAATGTGATCAGAAAAGCTCACTTGAGCCTTCGGCTCAGGTGAGCTAAAAACCAATGCACAGAATTATGTATCTTAGTATAGTCTATTTGTGTGCCAAGTTATACTGAAATCAGACCAAAACTGTAGGAGGAGTAGCATTTTGAAAGAATTTCAAAGAAATTTCTATTTTTAGTAACCATGGCAACATTGTTCATTGAAATCAAAAACCGATGCACAGAATTATGTATCTTAGTGTAGTCTACATGTATGCCAAGTTATATCAAAATCAGACCAAAACTGTAGGAGGAGTAGCATTTTGAAAGAATTTCACAGAAATTTCTATTTTTAGTAACCACGGCAACACCGTTTATCGAAATCAAAAACCGATGCACAGAATTATGTATCTTAGTGTAGTCTACTTGTTTGCCAAGTTATACTGAAATCAGACCAAATCTGTAGGAGGAGTAGCATTTTGAAAGAATTTCAAAGAAATTTCTATTTTTAGTAACCAAGGCAACACCGTTCATCTAAATCAAAAACCGATGCACAGAATTATGTATCTTAGTGTAGTCTACTTGTGTGCCAAGTTATAATGAAATTTGACCAAAACTGTAGGAGGAGTAGCATTTTGAAAGAATTTCACAGAAATTTCTATTTTTAGTAACCACGGCAACACCGTTTATCGAAATCAAAAACCGATGCACAGAATTATGTATCTTAGTGTAGTCTACTTGTGTGCCAAGTTATACTGAAATCGGACCAAATCTGTATGAGGAGTAGCATTTTGAAAGAATTTCAAAGAAATTTCTATTTTTAGTAACCACGGTAACACCGTTCATCGAAATCAAAAACCGATGCACTATTTTATGTATCTTAGTGTAGTCTACTTGTGTGCCAAGTAATATTGAAATTGGACCAAAACTGTAGGAGGAGTAGCATTTTGAAAGAATTTCACAGAAATTTCTATTTTTAGTAACCATGGCAACACCGTTCATCGAAATCAAAAACCGATGCACAGAATTATGTATCTTAGTGTAGTCTACTTTTGTGCCAAGTTATATTGAAATCAGACCAAAACTGTAGGAGGAGTAGCATTTTGAAAGAATTTCACAGAAATTTCTATTTTTAGTAACCACTGCAACACCGTTCATCGAAATCAAAAACCGATGCACAGAATTATGTATCTTAGTGTAGTCTACTTTTGTGCCAAGTTATATTGAAATCAGACCAAAACTGTAGGAGGAGTAGCATTTTGAAAGAATTTCACAGAAATGTCTATTTTTAGTAACCACGGCAACACCGTTCATCGAAATCAAAAACCAATGCACAGAATTATGTATCTTAGTGTAGTCTACTTGTGTGCCAAGCTATATTGAAATCGGACCAAAACTGTAGGAGGAGTAGCATTTTGAAAAATTGTTTACAGACAGACAGACAGACGGACGGACGACGGACGCATTACTATCGCATAAGCTCTTCCGGTCTCTGACCAGTAGAGCTAAAAATGAACTATTTTTAACATGAATTGCTGGGATTCCTTCCCCGTTTAACTGTCTCTATTTCTATACCTGAGATGTGCCTGTCTCTCTTTGACCTGGTCTTCATACTGCGTCTTGTCCTCCAGCAGCCATTTAGCCAGTCTCTCACACCTGTTGAATCTCTCTGTTCCAGCCTCCACTGTGCGTTTGAATTCCTCAAACCTGTTTCTAAGTATCTACACACAAAATATTAAGTAGAAATTCAATATAAAGTTTGTCTGTAAAATTTGGCAATTATACTTAGTATATAGTAAAAGTAAATTCACCTAAACTTGTATTCTTATTAAATTGCATGTCTAGCTTCAACTTATGAAATGTAGCAGTCATATAGACTGCAAAGCATTTTTTCATAATAAAGTCTTTCTTACAACAAGATGTTCATAATCAGATCCGTATTCCTCGGAGGCGGCTAACTGCATCTGGTCATCAATCCATTCCTCAAAGTCACGGCTCTCTCTGTTGTAGGCATGCAGCCATTTAGACATTTCTAATTCATGGGTCCGCTCCGCAGCAAGTCGCTTCAGCTTGTTCAAATGGTCCTGGAGATTGTCCTAGGTTGGGATAAAAATATTTTAAATTTTATTTTAACAGGTAATTTTATCAAGACTCTACTGTTTTTTCTCTCTGAATCAGGACTTACTTGTGCTTTGCGTAGAGTGGCAGGATCCTGACATCCAATCTTAAACAACCTCTGAGCCTCTTTACCAAGTCCTGTCACAATTCCCTGATAGGTTTGAATATCTGTCTCCAATACCTAAATTTCAACATTAAGAATTCAACAGTTTAATAAGGACTTTACTGTCTAAATATTTTAAATTATATACAGTAAAACTTGGTTAATTAACACTAGCTTATAAGGAAACCTCAGTGAATAAGGTAACTTTTATGAATCCAAGAGAAGACTTTACACCCTGTTCCTCATAGAGATTAAAAAATTTAAGTTAAATAATGAAGCAAATGTCAGAGTCATAGTGACTTCCTTCAATCCAAAGTTTACGATCCATTCTCCCCACCTTATTCTTTGTCAGGAGTTTGTCGGACGAGTTCTCATCCTTGCCATAGTCTGTACTGGTGGCCAGGGCCATTTTATCATTGATCCAATTCTCCAACTCCTCCACATCATTCAAATACTGCAAAATATATCAACATCAGTACCATTGGTAGTAAAACATTTGTTACTTTATATCCAGTGGTTATGTATCATTTGATGAATTTTACCAATCCATCAATTTGGTTTCCGATGATCCATTACATTAATCTACCCTGTATTATTATTCGTAAACATGAATAATAAAGGTAGAACTTCAGTTTGAAATAATTTGTTAAATGAAATTATTGAAATAACAGATCCTATAACTAAGGAAGCAATGCTTTACCTTTGTTTTACTGTCAGATTAACAAAGTTTTATGATATGATAAGACATTTATCTAACTTGCATATAGTGTGTATTTTATTCCTCAACCAAAGGCTTCTGAACAGAAAACAAATATGATGCAAGTAATTTATTTGTTTATATAAGAGATTTTTAAGTTTAGATTTCAAAACACACACAAAACCAGAAGTCTCCGTCGAGACTGTAGCTCTACTGGTTTGTACTTATAACAAAGGATGAGAAAAGAAGCCATTGCCATCAGACCAAAACTGTAGAAGGAGTAACATTTTAAAGGAATTTCACAGACATTTCTATTTTTAGTAACCATGACAACACCGTTCACAGAAATCAAAAACCGATGCACTATTTTATGCATCTTAGTGTAGTCTACTTGTGTGCCAAGTAATATTGAAATCAGACCAAAACTGTAGAAGGAGTAGCGTTTTAATGGAATTTCACAGAAAATTCTATTTTTAGTAACCATGGCAACACCATTCATCGAAATCAAAAACCGATACACTATTTTATGTATCTTAGTGTAGTCTACTTGTGTGCCAAGTAATGTTGAAATCAGACCAAAACTGTAGAAGGAGTAGCGTTTTAATGGAATTTCACAGAAAATTCTATTTTTAGTAACCATGGCAACACTGTTCATCGAAATCAAAAACCGATGCACTATTTTATGTATCTTAGTGTAGTCTACTTGTGTGTCAAGTAATATTGAAATCAGACCAAAACTGTAGAAGGAGTAGCGTTTTAAAGGAATTTCAAAGAAAATTCTATTTTTAGAAACCACGGCAACACCGTTCATCAAAATCAAAAACCAATGCACTATTTTATGTATCTTAGTGTAGTCTACTTGTGTGCCAAGTAATACTGAAATCAAACCAAAACTGTAGAAGGAGTAGCATTTTAAAGGTATTTTACAGAAAATTCTATTTTCAGTAACCATGGCAACACCGTTCATCGAAATCAAAAACCGATGCACTATTTTATGCATCTTAGTGTAGTCTACTTGTGTGCCAAGTTATATTGAAATCAGATCAAAACTGTAGGAGGAGTAGCGTTTTGAAAAATTATTTACAGACAGACGGACAGACGGACAGCTAGACAGACAGACGGACGGACGACGGACACCTTACTATCGCATAAGCTCTTCTGGTCTCTGACCAGTAGAGCTAAAAATGAAGTGTGTAATTATTTACATAAATATGAAATTAGGGAGTTCATTTGATAGAGAAGTATGACAACAGGGTCTGGTAAATAGACCTACCTTCTGGATTTGGACAGAGAGATCCAGATTCTTTTTGCGGATTTTACTTTTGTTCAGGAGGTCTTCCCAGGACACCTGCAGTTCCTGACATTTGTCCTTTATCTGCTTCCCGTTGTAGTGTTTCTGGTCAATTAGTTTCTCCCCTGTAGCTAACACCCTCTCCACAATGGGATGGTGACCATTTATCTCCAGATCAAGTTTCTGTAAGAATTGATAGGCACAATGTATTTATCTTTAACAATTGGAATTATTCTTCAATTTGAATGAACTTCTTTTGGATCATTAATTTAGTTGAAAAATAAACTAATGCCTAACCCCTATATTATGTACATTTTTGCCTTCCAACCTGTTATTGGTCATTGGCCTTAATTTCAATTTCATTGAATTTAATAAAAACTTCAGTTTAATTTCCTGATTTTCCCCCACATTCCCACCACACAGACCTGGTGTTTTTTCTGGAGGTTCTGGGCATCCACCAGGCTCTTTCCATAGTCTGTGGAGGCCGCAGCAGGCAGCTTCTCCTTGATCCACTGAACTTCTTCATCCACATCAAACTTAAACTGGAAGAAATGAAGTGAATCCTGCAACTTGTTTTTTCTCTTTTCTACTGCTGGCTTCAACTTCCCAAATCTAAAACACAAAGAAAAGCGTGTTGACCAAAATGAATGTGAAACATTGTAGATGCACTATTTACCTTGTAAAACAGTCAGTCATTAACAATATCCTCACCTGCTGTTGAAATCCTCCACAGCTCTGAGGATGTTGGCTTTATCAAAATGTCCAGACTGTGCCAAGGCCTGTCCCTGTGAGACAATGGACGAGATCTGATCGGACAGGACTCCCAATTCATTCTCCAAGTTCTGATGCTTTTTCAACAAGTCCTTGACCCCACGAAGGTCAGACCCAAGGTCTGGGTTTGCCACAGATTTCTCCATTTCATCCAATTTGGCCTGTCCAATTAGAAAATAATTTAAAAACTTCATTCTTTACTTAATTAGGAACATTAAGAAATAAGTTTCATCAATTAAAATTACTCACTGACAGGATATACATCTACTTTGGAAAAAATAAAATATTTCAATTCATGAGCTTTCTTTGGGCCACAAGTTTATAGATTTGATTATTTTAATCAACATTTATGATCTTTTATTTTTAATGATGTGTTAGTTGTTGACCTGTGCATCAGCTAGTGCTTTATTGAGAGTTGACTGGTCAGCTGCTTGCTGGAGTTTGTTCCCTTTATCTTTGGCTTTGTCACACATGTCTTTCCACTGAGTATTGAGGTCCTGGAGAATTTCCTGGATCTCCGGAGAAGAGTAATGTCCATCTTTAACCATTCCATCTCCTCTCTATAAACCAGAATTAGCAAAATATTATGCATTTCTACAAGGCCTACATGTTTTTTTTAAGTAATAACTTTTGCATTTAAAAATGACCAATCAAACCCTTTATCTTAATCAGAAAGGAGACAGAAGAATTATGAGTCATGCTCTGTATCTGCAGGGACAAGGAAGGAGATCAAGGTGACTGGAACATGTCTATTTCGAACAAATATGAGAAGGTATTGCAAGGTCCTACATGTACATGTATTGTATCAGTATGTACATTAAGTAAGTCTCATCTCACTTTGACCAAAGCAGAGGCAGAAAAGACAGATATAGATACCTATTGTGAACAAATAAGGGAAATACAAGGTCCTACGTGTATATGTATTGTACAAAACATATGTTTTTGATTTCCTCTGATCAAAACAGAGACAGATATGACAGGAATTCATATCCATTTTGAATAATTCTAAAAAAAGAAATGCAAATGTACTAAGTGTGTTGTACCAGTACAGTAAATATACTGTAAAAGTATACTTTTGATTTTCTCTGTCTCGTACCAATAAGAACAAATAAGAACACATGACATGATGTGATACACATTTTGAACAAATGAGGAAAGAAAAGCAAGATCTAACATATCTATGCCAAACTACCTATACTTCCTCCAGTTTCTTCACATTTGTTTTTTTTTTTTTTTTTTACATCTCTGATTGCATGGTTGTTTGAAATGCAGTAGTTATCCAAGATAAAGAGTTAATAACACCATCTGAAAACTCAGATTTCTATGCTTTACCCTGATTTTTGTAATATAATTTTTTGTTAATAATTCTTTCAGTTCAATATCTTTGGGATGCTGAGTTCACTGTATCAAAATTGGCCACTTTAATGTTGATGAGGATAGTGGTGTTGATGGTGATAATGACACGATGATGACAATCATTAGATTGCATTTTGTTACACTGGAGGCCATTTAAAAACAAATCTTTGAACACTTTGCCTCCTTTACTTTACATACATACAGCATTGATTTCTAAGCAATGCTGATTAAAATGAATCAAGATATAATACATCAGAGCATTCTAACCATTTTCTTTTTATAATGTATATGTTTATAACATCATCAAATTTAAAGAATTAAAGTTTTCACATCTAAAACAAAGACTTATCATGCAAATTTGAGAATCTTTGATGAATAAGACATCATTTGCTTTGATGTACATGCATAATATGATAAAGTTGATCTATAATTTCAGTTCTTATTTTGCACCATGCAGCATGAATAAATATTACATACATCAGCAACAGTTGAAGAAAAGATGGGTAGTGAAGAGGAAAGCTGATTATAAATCTGAAGGGTAGATTTGGGGTGACAGGTGATGGCATTGACTAAGCCTTGAGCTGATGTACAGAGGGAACTGAAGAGGACATGAAGACATTTCTAATATGCTTTGGAGGAATTTACTTACGACCATATATTTCTGCAAATTTTGAGATTATTAATAAAGCATCTGCACACATATTCTTCTTAAGTAAAAAAATAAAAATATATCACAAATAAAGGTGCTATTTGGTCCGTAAATTGTAATTTAATATTGCAAAACTCATTACAAAATGTGCATATTTTCCCCATGAATAAACTTCCTAAGAAGATATAATCATAGCTTGTTAAAATATATTTATTTTAAAAAATTAATAATAACTTGATGTACCACAGTTTTTTATGTGCTTCTTGTTATTATACTTTTGTTGCCTTCATTAAAATATCTTTAAAACCCACTGTATTTTTATTCATAATTTTTGTTGAATTGAATCCATGTGATAAAAATAAGATCTTTTATGTTTCAAGTTGGATATGCTTTTCATCTAACTTTTTATATGCTTTCTCCCCAAACCTTGGTAAAAATGTTTAAGTGGACCAAAACACAAAACACACACAAAGGAGTGATAAACATTGATTAGAAATTGAAAATATTGATTAAACAAAAAGTTGATAGTAGACCTAATAAAACTCATAAAACAACACCCAAGTTAGATAGTTTACCAACACCGTAAAAGTGAACACTCCTAACCTAAACAACAAAAACACAATGCAGTATCTTATAATACTAAGGCTTACATCATTTAAGTCTTGAAGCCGTTCATTATTTGCTTTAATTTCTGCCTCAAATGCATGATGTTTCTTCAGCTTCTCGTGAAGGTTTGCCAGGTCTCTATATGACTCATCTGTAGCTGTCTTGTATTTGTCTTTTATCCAATCTGAAAGCTAAAAAGACAAAGAAAACTCTACACTTTATCAAATGTTTCCTTACTGGTTGGTATCTCAATGCATCTAGTCTAATGTCTCATTCTATATTAATTTACTGAAGTTCTCATAAAAATTAAAAATTCTTAAACTTAAAAATTGGGATTTTTATAAATATTTTTATTTTTAAGTGACAGTGTTTGATGCAGTAGAACTGGACTCACTTCGTCCGCGTCCCTCTTGAACTCCTGGAAGCCCTGCGCTGCCAACAGAGCGTTGTGTCGGTCGGCCGCCCGCTCCTTGATTTTCTGCCTCCTCTCCAGCACCTCATTTCTCCTCTTGTCAATACTGGAATTATAACAGCATTTGATAGGTTAATTCAGGGTCAGGAAAAATCACTTCTTTTGCTATATTTCTTGTATTCAATTTTTTTTTGTTTTTTGTTAAAATTCCCTACTTTTTCACATATTCAATCAGGATACAAATTTTGACCTTATCAAACATGGCAGTCTGGGCCATTGAATAGTGAGGGATCTTTTACATGCCAGCACCTATTGCGACAGAGGACCTCAGTTTCTGCAGTCTTATCTGAGGGTCTCCATATCCCACAGTGGGATTCAAACCGGCAATCCAGCATAACTTATTTTGATATATCGACCTGGTATGCAGGAAATGGTTTTAAGTAAAAATATTTGAAGTACAATCGTAATTCAATCATTTTAATGCATAGGAATTATTTGCCTGGATTTGCCAGTTAAGCAAGTTTGAGATGAATTCTTGGTAGACTTACTGATCTTTGTCAGGATGTCCCTCTGCAATCCTTTTGTCAGCCATCTCATCCAAGTCCTTCAGTTTTTCATCTTGTACAATTAATGTGTTCTCAAAGTCTTCATGACGTTTGAACAAAGTTTCAACATCATCTACTGTTTCCTGTGAGAAAAAATGAATATGGTTACTCCTGAAATACATCTTGCTAGAATACAGTAAAACACGCTCCTTATGAAGTGCCAGGGGCCAACAATTAAGCTTCATTGTGTGTAATTCGCTTTAATCTTTAAGTTCACAAGATACAATATTTTAAAGCGAGCGGGAATGAAAATCACTTTGCTGTAAGTGTTGTTTCATTATAAGCATGTTCATTATAAACATGTTTTACTGTACTTATGAGTAATGAAGTGTAGACTTACCCCAAGGTTAGCAAAGTCTAAGAACTTCTCATGACCACTGGACACAGAATCAATGTGGTCAGCTTCTTTGTTGAAAAACTGCAATGAAACATCTTTTGTTCAATAACTGGTGGCAATATTATGCTATAAATCTCCAGCACAAGTTTTAGAGAGATTTGATGAGGGTGGGGATCACCTGAGAGACCTATTTGTTTGGGGGGGCGGGGTGGGTGGGATTACCTGTAGTTCATAAGCATGCTGGAGCTGCTGATTCCTGTCCGCCCACATTCTGTCAATCACTTCCTCATCCTCACCGAGTTTTTGTAGCTTACTTTCAACATCAGAAGCATCAGGGTCTTTGTCTAAAATACTCTTTCCTAAAACCCGTATGTCTTCAAACCTAAACATAAATTACCAAAAAGGTCTTAATGGCATAAATTATGTAGTTACGACTTTGCCACTCATTTAATTGTTAGCCAATTGTTGCACTAACAGAGGTTATGAATAACATATGCATTTATATGTCAATATATATACATGTAAGAGACTTGTCTTACTTTGGTTTGTGAGCCTTGATGTCCTCTCCTATTTCCTGATGTTCCTGAATCATGATTTCAGCGGACTGTAATTCTCTGGGCATCTCGGCATTCTGGATCTTAGCCTTGGTAGCACTTGTCCACATACCCTTATAAGACATTTAAATACAATAGAAGTTAAATAATGCACAACATTAAGAATACAGAACATGAACAAGCAAAATTAGAGTGAATATATCAAAAAGCTTATAGAAGCCTGAACTATCTAGGAAGTCTATTTTAAAACAGGAAAAGCTTAAGACTAACAGAAAAAGTTAACAGACTTTTCTGATTGAAGAATAGAAGTACAATGTAACAAGTACCAGCAGAAAATTCAGACAAAGTTTCATTTAAATTGGCCAAACGATATGAGAGAGAAAGAGTTTATAATGTTGATTGATATAGAGAAATGACAGATTTTATCTAATTTTTTACCAAGTCTTTGGCATCATTGTTGAACTTCTGGACTTCTTCAGAGTCCTCTAATCGCTTTCTTTTCTGGGCAGCTTTATCCTGAAGAGTTAAAAAATGCAAAATTACTGATGATGCAATCAAAACAAGCAACATTACAAAGGTTGCAATCAAAATATTGTTTAAGATGAAATCAAAATAACTCAGCATTTTTAAGGAAAAAATCAAATATGCATGTACATTTTCCAATTTCCTAACTTTAATTGTTTTTATCATGTTTTTAGGCTTAGACAATCAACAATTTTTCACAAACATGTTTATTTCGCATTCATAAAAGTCAACAAATGGTACTTAATTTTTAAGTTCCTAACTTTAATTGTTTTTATCATGTTTTTAGGCTTAGACAATCAACAATTTTTCACAAACATGTTTATTTCGCATTCATAAAAGTCAACAAATGGTACTTAATTTTTAAGTTCCGACACTTATTATATCATTTTGTTTACCTTATATTTTAATTTACATTAATTATCATTAGTTTGCTACTTGCAGAGTTTGCGTGAGCAGTCAAGAAGTCGACAGGTGCTATATCACGTAATTAGTACAAAAGTCTGCCTGACTTGTTTGTTTACAAAATTGTTATCACAAGGATAGACCTGTTTTGATCAAGACTGTTTATCAAAGTTATCATATAGCCATTATCAAATGATTAGTACTAGTCAGAAATTCACTGTAAGTGGCAACTATTCTTTCTTTTTAACCTATTCCAGCATTTGACAGGTTGCTTTGGTTACAATAGAGATTTAATGGGGTTATGACCCACCACATGAAGGTCAGATTGTAAAAAACATAAGGTACAGTAATCTGAAAGAGTTTGGCCAATGATAAGCTCTCACTGCTACCTATGGAAATGGCTAGTTTGATTATTTTTTATTTATCAGAGGTTGTAAAATAAAACTATCTTCCACTGAGCTTATAATTGTAAGTACCTGTAAAGAGTCCCAGAGGTCCTGTAGTTCTTTCTGTCTCTGATCAACATAATTCTTCTCATCTGGATAAGATGCTCTCACACTGTAAAATAAGATTACACACTCAACATTAACTGTGTCTGGCTAGAGATTTTTTACAACTGTTTTCTGATCACTGACAAAAGATGAGATGACTTACGAGTCCGCCAAGAAGTTCATCCTCTTCATCTTGTCCTCCACTGGCACCAATTCTCTTTCCAAATTCTGAAAATATGTACAACAGATTAATAAGGTCTTCTTTTGCTTAAATTAACGAAAATATTTAAAATTAAAGAAATAATTGAACAGACACTTCTTCAAAAATTGATATCCCCCAAAACCCTCTTCACATTCCCCCACAAACCCTCTTCACATTTTGCCACAAATTGATTTCCATGTCTTTCTCACATAAGTAAGATAACAATTGTACTGTATAAGTAAGATAAAAATGGTAATATATAAGTAAGATGAGCATGGTACTGTTAATGTAAGGTAAACATGGTACTATTAATATAAGAAAATCTTGATACTTTTTAAGTAAGATAACCAAGGTACTGTTAAGTAAGATGACCATGGTTAACAATGATACTGTTTGAGTAGGTTATCTAAACTACTGATTTAATTAGATGGCCATGTTACTAACTGTGTGTCTCCTTAAGGCTGCCTCGATTCCTTTCATATCTTTTCCAATATCATCTGAGGACAATGTATTATCCTTCTCCTTTATCCAATCAGCAAGCTCGTTACATGTGGACTGGAACATCTCAATGCTGAAAACATTAAAGTAGTGATTGATAAGAATTTGATCTGAATTATATTGTTATATCACAAAAAATGTTCAAGTAAAATGATCATGCCTTTTTTGTCGTTAACTAATTATTAAGTATTTCTATTTTGAATATTTACAACTACATGTATTATATATTTTTATCATTGATTCTTGAAGTTTTTTTCTCACTCCAATCAGTTCGAGATAATGAGCTTTGACTGTATTACAGTAGTAACTTACCTTGAAGCTCCCTGTAGATTTTTCTCTTTCTCCATTTTTAATTTCATCAAACGATTCCATCTACAATAGTACATGTAAATAAAGGTCTAAAATCTATAATCAAGTTAAGCAGTGTACTTGTTAAATTTTTTTTAGCTGAACATATATGTAAATGCTTTGATAATGTTTTCTCAATTTTCTCTATCAATTATCCCTATTTACTCTGCACTTTTGTCACCTATGCATAAAATCAAAGATTTTTGAGACATCTTAGCATTCACATGCACTTCTTCATAAAAGTGGGAATAGGCAATGCTTTTTATCACAAACATGGCATGAAATTGTGACCACAGGGAATATTTTTAACCATATTATCAACAGAGGTTTGTTTTAAAACATCAGCATTTGTCACGACCCCTGACCTGTCGTTGATTTCTTTCTGTCTGACTTGGACCTGTTTGCTCTGACCACTTCCAGACTTGACAATCTCATCAGCCAAACCATTTATCTCATCCAGACGGCCCTTGTTCCCAGCAAGATTGGTCAGTAGATTCTTTTATAAATTAAAAGAAAGGCAAATGTTTAAACAATTTTTGTTCTTCATTCAATAATATGTTAATAAATGTGTAATAGATGTATTAAACCTATTCCAGTGTGTATGACTCAATGGTTTCTTGACAAGCCATCATTTCCTGGTATTTTTCAGGCCTATAATGTGGGAGGGGGATAGGGAGCTTGTTCTCTTTTTTTCCCACCAGGAAGCCCATCCACCACCATCTTATAACCATTGGCTGTCTCTTTCATGGTACATGTATACTTTTAGTGTGGAAAATGATGCTACAGTTGGTTGTCACAAGTTCTTTTAATATATTTACCTCAAATTTCTTTTTGACTGCTTCCATATTATCAGACAAGCTTTCCTTACTGGTAAGCAGGACTTCCTGAAAATAAAAATTCAGATACATATGTCAGTGACACCAAAAAATCCTTATGTTAATATATTGTTTATTAGACTTTATCTGAGAACCTCACTTTCAATAAGTAAATTAAGTTTATTAAAATGAAAAAAGGAATCTTAATTATGAATATACATAATGGCATTAGTCTCATAATTACAATTAATGCTGAGAAAACCTGCTATGGTTGACACCATTTTAGGTTCAAATGAAACTAAAGCCTCCATTGACATCCTCCAATTAGGGTCAGATGAAGCAAATGAACCTTTTTGACACCAACATATTGTAATGAATTATATACATAGATATAATTATATAACACTGTATGTACAAACTCTCATTATAATAGAGTTTTGGTGTCAAATAATTTTCCTTTCAAACCCAAATGTGTCAATATTCTAGTCTCTACTGCTGTTTTAGAGAACAAGATATCTTTCTAGTGGCTAGACTACCCATGTAAAATTCTAATTAATTTTTAACACAACCAGGGAACCATAAGTTGTTATCCTGGGTCTCTACTGCCTCATTATCACATCCTTCATACACTTTTCCGCGATTTTTTTTTTCAGAACCTTGATGCTTTTGCGTGACCACTCTGTATTGCTTTTCCATGATTGGTTTCTACTATATATCATGTGTTATCTCCTATTTTTGAAAATTCCATTCCAAAAATTTTAAATGGTCCCACTTAGCAATTAAAATCCTACTTCCACCTCCCTGTAAACAGGGGGGAAACAGGTTTTACTTAGCTGATGGAAAAAAATCTTTAATTTGAAAAGCTAAAAATCATTATCAAGGAAAAGCAGTAAAATTTGTTGCATAAAAGCACGAATTTTTTTTTGCAGAAAAGTGAAACTGAGGCTTTAATGAGTCACTGTACAAGTTGCATCAAACATGTCAATCCAGATTAATTTCTTTCCCTTCACTTTCATAAATGAAATAAAAAACTTTTCATGTTAAGAACAACACTAAAAAAGAAGTAAATATTAACTTCCTTTTAAAAAGAACAGCTGCAGATTTTTGTTTATTTCTGAAAAGACCAGAGTGCAGAATAAAAATCTAAATTAGAAGCAGGAAGCACACTTCATTTCTAAGCATTCCTATTTCTCTAAAGTAACGCCCAGTGAAAAAAACTCAAAATATTCCAAGAAACTATATCACCCGCTGAGTTTATTATTTCCCTTCATTTGTTTAAAAATCCTTATATCAAAATCTGTTTTCAAAGGTAGCAAGGAGGAAATGCAATCTGTATTGATTATTTAATAAACACAAACCATATAAAACTCGACTCAAAATGACAGCTATCACAGAAGATTGGATTGGAACCAACGCTGTGCTGTAAGATTCTTAAATCAGCTCAGATTGTAACGACACAGCTGGAGATGAAAAAAGACCTCCATAATATTTCTGTATTATTTATTTCAATCAATTAAAGAAAAATTGATTACCTTTTCCTTCATCCAAATTTCAAATTCATCACATTCTCTGAAGAATTTAAATAATCTCATAGCATCTTCTAAGGCTATGCGTCGTGCCTGTATAAAAATTGAGAAAAATACTAGTTTTTATTTATGATTAAATGTATATTACATTATTTTTGAATTATTCACTTCTTCCCAATATTAAATGAAATAAGAACCGATTACTATAATCTTAAGGCCCTTTCACAATTGGCGCACGAGCACTTTACAACACTTTGCGATCGAAAAATTTTAGCTTCGCACGAGCTATCGCATACGTTGCACGATGTCTCGCATTCATTGCATGTGTTTTAGTGGTCGCATCAAGTCTCCTCAAAATAGTCAACATGCCCACTATTCAGACGCGACCAAATGCGATCAAAATTATCGCAATTCAATGCACGAAAATTAGTACGAACGTCTTACGTTTTATGTACTCGTAAGAGTGATGCACGATTTTTTAAGATCGTAAGATGAATTGCAGCTGTCTTTGCGTGTGTTTTGCGACCATATGACTGTTGCTCAACATGTCTCATGTAATCTTGCAACGTTTTACTATCATCGCTTGATTTATCACCTTCAATTGCCATGCTTTGCAACAGGCATATGTAACGGACCTGAGCTGCTTGGATCTCACGCACAAGTACTTTTAGAGCCCTACACGGGAATAACTCATGTAGTACTGTGATTATTAACGAGAATAACCCGTTAATATAGATCTCCTAAATTAACACAAGAATTACCTGTGTTTGGACTCGTAAATAACTACGGGGAAGTTAAATGATAAGCCTTATTTAAAGTTTACAAATTTATTCAATGAATAAAAGTCACAAAATGTATTAATTAAAATACAATTACAATAAAATTCACTGGACGTCGGGAATCATCCAAATTCACAGTGAAACACTATACTACTAACACAACCTTCGTATTACGTTAATACGATAAAAAGGGGGGGCACTAAACGAGAATGACCCGAATAGTGAGTGTTAAATCCTAGAAATACCTTAGAATAACCAAAGTATTTCTCCCTTAAAAAAAATCTACACAATCTATCAAATTATTTAAAGCAAGAAATTTATCTCTATAATTTCTATATCAAATCCTAGTCTTAATTCCTGTTTAAATATCTCTATTAACGCAACCGAATTATCACTTTAAATTGAATGAATTCCTAAAATCTATCAAAGATATTCAATTATTTACACGGAAAGACTTCAAGACTCACTTTCCGTCAGACCGTAACAAAATTAATTTATCGTTTAATATCGAGATTAACCCAATATAAACGTCCTAATATAAATACTAGTAAATAATAGTGATACGAGATTAACCCGTAATCACTATTAGAAAAATTGATGAATTAATTCAAAAATTACTAAATTCCTACAGAAAAATTCTAACAATCGAAATAAACACCCTCTAACCTTAGCATCAAAACCCCGAGTCCACCGGCAATCACTATCCCCTGTTTTTATAGCTCTGAAGAGTCCCCCCGGAAACCCACGCGCTTCCCTAGGGACGACCGGCAGATCTCCGGTACCACCGGCAGCCACCGGCAACAATAATTGTCAAACAATGTTTAACAATAACAATAAATAATCAACATAAAAATATGACAATTATAATGTAAAACATTTACTACAATATGACAATATCCCCCAAGTATAAGATTTCGATAAAAATGCTTAGTACAGAGAAATTACAATTAGAATCGGGCGTGATATACGGCAAAACAGACATCATAATGGCGGTTTCTATAAATAAAGTTTCAGAATTAGAAACGATATTTACAACAAATCCAGCTTATTACAATACTGATATTAATCCAGGATAATAAAATTAGAATCATAAGATCATGTTCTTCTAGAAACGTAAGTACAGTGAATCAATAATAAGAAATGTAACCGATTATGCGATCAACAAATGGGGGAAAGTACAATGTACAAACAGGGTAACACGAATCCTATATAAAACAATCGGCATCATTGTCACAATCGTGACATTTTCCCCCTCTTAAAAAAACTTTGGTGTCCTCACCAAATTCTTAAGATTAAAAAAAACAACAATATTTGTCTATATACTGTACATTCAATACATTTCTCCATCAATAATAAATTAACATTAAAAAATGTACACTAGACAAAGTCATATAATTTCCTCAGTTTCCCAATCCTAACATACTTCAATTGTTAGAAATTTTTCTTTAAATTTACAACAATAAACACAAAATTACAAAATGCATATATATAAACTTTGACCATACTTACACCACATTCTAACTAATTTTCTTTACTGAAGACTTCAACGCTGGTCTGCTAGCCATTGTCAAAAGTCATGTACACGAATCTTCCAGCACCATCTTGAATTTGACTCGCCTTTGTGAAAGGTATATTACAGCCATTCATAGAAATGAAACTGTCATTCAAATTGATAACTGCAGGCCCAAATTGACTGTCCAACAAGATGTCCATACCTAAGAGGCATTCATCTTCAATTTTCGCAACAATTATCTCCCTTTAAAATTCTAGATTTCCTAACTGCACTTCAAATTCAGCTTTCCCTAAGACTTTAAGTGGATCTCCATTGACCGCTACAAGGCTTGAAGATTCCTTTAGCTCTGGTCTTTCGTTCCCGGGGAGTCTCCAAAATATTTTGTCGGATAATATAGTTCTTGCAGCCCCTGTGTCTGCCGTGAACTCTACCTTTATCCCTTGAATTGTTCCCTGAACATAAATTCCATCTGCCTTGAGGAGCTGTCTCCTAATGTACTCCCTCTGAGCACACAGTTCCTCTTCCCTTGAAACGTCCCTGACGCAAGGCTGGAATTTCCCCTGGTTTTCAATTTTCTCCCCCGACTCATCTAAATTTCCACTTAAAATAGGTTCAGTTAAAATTTTACAGTCATTTTGGCCTTTGTTACTTTGGGTCGTCTCTTGGCCTCTGGAGCTGACCCCTTCTAGTTTAACGGCTTCTCCATTTTGTCTCTGCAATCATTACCTGAGTACACATTCCATTCTGATTGATGACTTGGTTGAAATTCTGGTGCATCAGGTGACATTGTACTTGTAGCTTGGCTTTGGTTTGTCTCTGGCTGTTCGTCTTTACTTGGTAGAGATGATGACATGGTATTCTCAGGAGTTTTCCTGTACTGTGATCTCTCTGTCCTGTGAAAATTCCTATCCGGGCACTCTCGGGCAAAATGTCCGGGCATGTTGCATATGAAGCAATTTCCCTTTGTCATCTTCATGGAATTTGCATTTCCCTTCTCAGCATAGCGATTGTCTCCCTTTCCATAAGTCTTAGCCTGTCTAATAGGGCGTCTCTCTTCATTTGTGGTCATATTGGAGGTGACTGACATATAAGCAGCTACCTGTTGTACTGCCTCTTCAATTGTTGATGGTTCTTTGTGTAATTCGATGTACTGCCTTGCCTTAGAATCCCATAATCCTTGCAAAAATTTTGAAATTAAGTCTTCCTGTCTGGTGCTGACATCTCTACTCGGGTGAGCCCAGTCATAAAGACGCTTAATTTCAGCAGCATACTCTTTAAGACTTTCATCTTTTCCTTGCCTTTTGTTGTTGAATTGAGTTTTGTAGACTCTCTTATTCTCCAGTGTTCCAAATCTTGATCCTATTTCTGTGACTAAGGTCTCATAGTTCCCTATAGTCTCCTTCTTCAGCTGACCAAACCAAAATCAGCTGCAATTCCCTGTATTCTTGGTAATATCTGTTGTAACTTCTCTTTAGCAGTCCACTCGGCTAACTCGGCTACAGACTCGAAGCGATTCAGCCAAACTCTCCACTTCTCGGAACCTGTGTAAGGCGGAAGCTTACAATCAAGCTTGATGTTATCTGTCTTCTTGGACTCAAACAAACCCCTTGTGGCAACTGAGTTGACAGATTGCTCATTTTCAGACTGTCCTGAATCTTCATACGATTCCTCATGATTGCTTTCCTTGGTTTCTGTCTCTGACTTGTTATTATTTGAGTTGATTCTTGATATTTTAGGTTTCAGCTTGCTGTTTGTTGTATGGCTGTTCACTTGTCCGAGATTTCGGGTAGTTGCTCCCATCATATCCTGCATGACTTTCATTGTCTGGTTGCTTACTTGTCTGAGAGTTTGAGTAGTTGCTTCCATCATATTCTGCATGGCTTTCATTGTCTGGGCCATCTGTTCCATCATTACCTTCATAGGGTCGGTGATAGAATTATTCTGTGATGACTGTGTAACTGGTTCTGACAGTTCTGTGTCTGTAGGGATTATCTCCCTTTGCTGACGTACAGTCCTTTTCGATCTTCTTATTTTGCGTATAGGGGTTGATATTCTAGCCTGAGTATCTGAGTCATCTTCATCCTCTGTAGAGTTGTCATTGTAGGACATGCTCTGTTCCCCTTGGAGTGATCTGTTTAACGCTGACGGCGATAAATCTATGAGGAGTTCCTCATCTGTGGATTGTCCTCTGGAATGTCCGGGATTAACGGATGGCTCCATCCTAGTCTTGGATCTGGTATAGTACCTATGCATGGATTTTTCTCAACACTGGTTCTGGGTTACGTATCTCTGGATCCACCGATGTACTTGGCAGATCCCACCGCTGCCACCAAATGTAACGGACCTGAGCTGCTTGGATCTCACGCACAAGTACTTTTAGAGCCCTACACGGGAATAACCCATGTAGTACTGTGATTATTAACGAGAATAACCCGTTAATATAGATCTCCTAAATTAACACAAGAATTACCTGTGTTTGGACTCGTAAATAACTACGGGGAAGTTAAATGATAAGCCTTATTTAAAGTTTACAAATTTATTCAATGAATAAAAGTCACAAAATGTATTAATTAAAATACAATTACAATAAAATTCACTGGACGTCGGGAATCATCCAAATTCACAGTGAAACACTATACTACTAACACAACCTTCGTATTACGTTAATACGATAAAAAGGGGGGGGCACTAAACGAGAATGACCCGATTAGTGTGTATTAAATCCTAGAAATACCTTAGAATAACCAAAGTATTTCTCCCTTAATAAATGTACACAATCTATCAAATTATTTAAAGCAAGAAATTTATCTCTATAATTTCTATATCAAATCCTAGTCTTAATTCCTGTTTAAATGTTTCTGTTAACGCAACTGAATTATCACTTTAAATTGATTGAATTCCTAAGATCTATCAAAGATATTCAATTATTTACACGGAAAGACTTCAAGACTCACTTTCCGTCAGACCGTAACAAAATTAATTTATCGTTTAATATCGAGATTAACCCAATATAAACGTCCTAATATAAATACTAGTAAATAATAGTGATACGAGATTAACCCGTAATCACTATTAGAAAAATTGATGAATTAATTCAAAAATTACTAAATTCCTACAGAAAAATTCTAACAATCGAAATAAACACCCTCTAACCTTAGCATCAAAACCCCGAGTCCACCGGCAATCACTATCCCCTGTTTTTATAGCTCTGAAGAGTCCCCCCGGAAACCCACGCGCTTCCCTAGGGACGACCGGCAGATCTCCGGTACCACCGGCAGCCACCGGCAACAATAATTGTCAAACAATGTTTAACAATAACAATAAATAATCAACATAAAAATATGACAATTATAATGTAAAACATTTACTACAATATGACAATATCCCCCAAGTATAAGATTTCGATAAAAATGCTTAGAACAGAGAAATTACAATTAGAATCGGGCGTGATATACGGCAAAACAGACATCATAATGGCGGTTTCTATAAATAAAGTTTCAGAATTAGAAACGATATTTACAACAAATCCAGCTTATTACAATACTGATATTAATCCAGGATAATAAAATTAGAATCATAAGATCATGTTCTTCTAGAAACGTAAGTACAGTGAATCAATAATAAGAAATGTAACCGATTATGCGATCAACAAATGGGGGAAAGTACAATGTACAAACAGGGTAACACGAATCCTATATAAAACAATCGGCATCATTGTCACAATCGTGACACATATATACCGTGTATAATTATAAGCATCTTAACTATGTCAACTGAAGAGCGTCGGAAACAGGTGGTATATATAACCGGCCCTCTGACTCGCAGGAACATTCGTACTATGGAATGCATGAGCGCACGAGCACCGCACGTCCAATTGTTTTGTTGCATGTTCAATCGTCCGATTACCTGATCAGTCGTGCAATCCTATCGCATTATCTTACAACACTCGCTTTCATTCTACAACAGTCGCTATAGACGCAAGATATATCGCAAGATTTAATGCACAACAGTCACTTTAGATCGTGCAAATTTTGTATGAACACTTTTCTCATATGCGATTATTTTGGCAACAGTTTACGATCCTTACCAAAATTATTCGGTCGCACGAATATTTTGTCGCTTCTGCTCGTGCGCCAATTGTGAAAGGGCCTTTATATATATAAAAATATAAAAACACAAAAATTTAAATAAAGAAAAAATTAAAATAAGGCCATATTAACAACATTGTTTGAACTGGACTGGCTAAAAAAAGGCTTGACTCAATTGTTTTTTTTACCTCCAAGAAGCAATTATTTTTCTTTAATGAATCCAGATTTTATAAATTTTTGAAAAAAACAATTTTTCGCCTACCTACTAACCCAATTTTTTCATATTGAGTTGGGAGAGGGCAAACAAACATTTTTGCAGATGAAGTTAGCAATTACACCAATTTTATGAGTTTATTGTAGGTAAGATTTACCTGAGCTAATTTTACGAGTTTATTGTAGGTAAGGTTTACCTGAGCTAATTTTACGAGTTTGTTGTAGGTGAGGTTTACCTGAGCTAATTTTACAAGTCTGTTGTAGGTAAGATTTACCTGAGCTAATTTTACGAGTTTATTGTAGGTGAGGTTTACCTGAGCTAATTTTACAAGTCTGCTGTAGGAAAGATTTACCTGAGCTAATTTTACGAGTTTGTTGTAGGTAAGGTTTATCTGTCTCTGCCGTTTGTCCACATTGTCCTTGTCAAAATGCAGATTTGCCTTTGATCGCACTGGAAAATAAACGAATATGATATAATAAATCAATGAAGACCTGATTAAAACAAGTACATATACATGTACTGGAAAAAAGACTGAATACATCAATTTAAGGATGTCCATCCTTTAACCATGAACAGTATCTATTGAAAATAATGTTTATTTGAATAAGTCTAAAAATGAAGCTTGACATTAAAATCTTTCCATGCAACAATTTTCATTTTCTGCTTCTCTGGTTAATACAATCTAAGTAGAAATGAGGTCTGAGAAACCTAGTCTTCAAAATTTTAAACATGTCTCTTGTAAAGAGACAAAATTAAATGAAATTGACTGTTTCATCCATTTTATCTACGTTAATCTTTATTTCCATTTTCTTTACACAGTGACGTTAATTATAATGATGAACTGCAAGGAAATCAAATATTGAGTAGATAAACATTACTTTGCAAATTTGGTGACATATTTTTGTATTTTGACCAATTTGCCCTTAAATATTCCTAGAGTGCAGGTGGACAAGCTTAAGCCTCTAAGACAGACATGAAAATCAATCATAATTCAGGTTCATAAGAAAAAGATATTATACGATGATGAAGCAGAAATGATAGATTTACAACAAACAATGTATGCCTCCGCTATATTTATGGCGGGCATAAAAATATTTTGATTCAGGCAATATAAAATTATATTACCTGAGGGGGCTCTTCTTAATTTGCTAGGTTTTTCTTTTTTCTTTTGAACAACTTCCTTTTTCATGACGGTTTTCTTGACTAGGACCTTCTCTGGGACTTTGGTTGGCCGACGGACCACCTTCTGGGTCACTTTCGGCTCCACCTCTTTGACGTAGTTGGCTGGTACAAATCCTTCTGTTCCATCCATTTTTCTGATCTGCCACCAGTCTGAATTTGTTCTCTGAACCAAAAGTAGAATCTGCAAATAAACATAAATATTATTGCATTGTATTTTTAATTTCATCTTATTCAATCAAGTAGGATGAGAAAATTCAACCAGCTAAAAATTGTTTATTCCTCCTCTTGATATACATATACAGTAAAACTCGGTTATAGCGAAGTCCTGGGGACCCTTGAATTTAATTCGCTATATCCGTAATTCGTTATATCCGTATAACGAATTCGTATAACCATTATAGCGAATTTGCACTTACATGTTTTCCTTCAAGTATTACTACCAACTATGTTAATGAAGCAAATTTTACTAATCATACCTTCGATAACTAAGGTTTTCTTATGAATTGGTTTTATATTCAAATGCTTAAAGGAAATAAAGTAAGTTCAATTTATCATTTTTTAAAAATAATCTTTGAGTTCGTTATAAAAGATGTAAATTTCATTATATTTAGCCTCAACGGAACTCAAAATCAGTTCGCTATATCCGTAAATTCGTTATATCAGTGTTCGTTATAACCATAAAATTTTACAAAGACTTGTTAAGAATTTTGCCGGGGACCCAGAAAATCTTCGCTATATCCGTGAATTCGCTATATCTGTGTTCGTACTAAACGAGTTTTACTCTATATATATCCAAAGTCTCTTTTTGTCAATACAATAAAAAACTTTAAAACACTTTTCGAAATATTTCAACCGTGTTACCGGCCTTCATCAGTCTTGTTTATTGCATAGCAACTCAATGGTTCACTGTTGAGTTGCTATGCAATAAACACGACTGATGAAGGCCGGTAACACGGTTGAAATATTTCGAAAAGTGTTTTAAAGTTTTTTATTATATATATATATATATATATATATATATATTCATTCCCCCAAATTACAATATTGTATTGGAGCAAGTAAAAGTGAGGAATAAGTTCTGGTCATGTTTTTGAAGATTGTATCTACATTCTTGGTCATCTAACTTTTATATCTATGGAAATGACACATATAGTAAATTCTTTACTTTTTCTGTGCATGCTTACAATAAAGAGGAAGAACTGGTGCAATATTTTATGTTGGTGGAAACAAAAATTAGTTTTACTTATATTTTTCTCCATAAAAGTAGATTTTTTAGGTTCTGAAACTTGTTAATTTCTGAATTTTAATATCATTTTAAAGAATTGAATAAAATTTGCATGTGTCTTGCAAAAATTCTACCTTTCAATTTTTCTGTTTTTCTATCAAGGTGTACCTCTATATAACTCAAGATATTAAAAATCAAAATTTAGAGTATTCTGTTTTGAGTTTAGGGTCTTGGGGTCTTGCCATTCTTTAGCTGAAAACCTGACTGGTACAATGAAACTAACTAGAAGCAATGTCGATGCATCTTTGGTCAATATGGAGCACACCAGTACCTGAAAAGATATCTGCTCTAAAAACGTCTCTCTAGGATGCCAACGCCAATGGTGTTGCATAAGCGATCTTCTTACTTTGTTGAGGTGAGCTAAAATTTATCTGATATGGCAAAAAAGACTGGCAATACATTGTGGTTTGTCTTGATGTTTGCATAATGTGTTTTCTGTTTATTTGTATAGTGAAATAACAGCCAGCGGACCATTAATTAACACTTCTTTTGTGTCCACTGTTGGAGATCAAATACAATTTACAACTCAGGACAGGTAACACTGTATAGTACTTAGTAAACAAATGAAATTGTATTACTTTTATGACTATAAAAATCACCACAGAACAAAGTGCAGCAGTACTGAGAGACTAAGTAACATGGTTGTAATCTATGTAATCTATGACAACTTGCAAATTAAAAAAAAAATAATTATCTCCCATTTTGAAACATTCTTTTCATTTTGAATCAGTACATGTATATATATAAAGTCAAACACAACTTAGTTGTTTTAGACCAAAGCTTCTACCTAGTTTCACACACAAACATCAACACATGCAACACAATAAGTCCTCTTCACTTTCAGACCTTTTAAAAGTACTCACAAATGCTACTTTAAATAAAGCTTTTATCTCCGTACATATTAGATGCACTCTTATTTATACAGCTCTAAATAGCTCAGGTCTGCACTCAAATCAATTTTGTTGGAAATATTCCCCTGAAAGGCATATTATTTACCAGCACTCAAGTTTCAGATGTTAAATCCGAAAGGAGGAATGAAGATTTTTGCAAAGTTTTGTCATATTATTAGTTAGAGTGGAAAAACCTCTTCTTGTTTGTATGTTAGACCAAAAGATTAATGAAAGAGGCAAAAAAATTTTTATTTTGCTCTCCTACAAAACCTGCCCAGGTTTTTAAGTTATATCAAAAACTTGTTTTATCTTTCAATTTGAATTTTGTTTTCACCTTATTGTAACGAGACCGAGGGTATCGTGTAATAAACTCGTGGGCCGCTATTAGTTTTCTGGTCACTTGGTCGAGATTTGATGGTTCCGTTGGTCACAGTTTATGTAATGGTTAATCAGCAATTTTGGTCACTTAATTGGTTAATGGAATTACCAATTTTTGGTCACTTAATTGGTTAACGAAATTACCAACTTTTGGTCACTTGTTTGGTCTCTTCTTTAGTTGACGTAATGACCAACTTTTGGTCACTTATTTAGTGGACGTAATGACCAACTTTTGGTCACTTCTTTGGTTGACGTAATGACCAATTTTTGGTCACTTTAAATAATGTTTGTTAGGAATAACACTTGTTTAAAGTTTATAACATTTATTAAGACGATCAAATGGTTCACTTATAAACACACAAAATGGTACACTGTAACTTGGTTGGTACAACGTTATTTGGTTAAGAAAAAGGTGACCAACCGATGGTCAATACAGGACGTTCCTACTAACTTGGTCCCCTTAATGGTTTCGTATACATAGACTTGGTACCGTCTTATAACCGAAGTATACGGAGTCGTTCCCCAAAGTGACTTAGGTCACTTTTCCCTTACCAGGGAAGGCTGTGTGCTCCTAGTCGCTCCCCACAGCCGACTGAAGTCTAAACCCAAAACAGCTGGTTTATATAGACAAAAGTTGTTATGATGACGTAAGAGACAATCAGATACTTATTACGTCACAATCAATTCAATCAATAACTTAGCGGGATTTAACCATCAAAATTACCTACTAAATTAATAACGTTGTACCCATATAAAACATACAAAATACACCACTTTGTCATTAAATTATACATGTGAAATTAATAAAGTCATTAAATCAATTATTGTTCATTTCTTTCGTTAACTGTTCATTGACAAATATTTACACAGTTTATAAACATCGGGTTCAATGTCCATTTATTCCAAACTTGTAAACAAGAGTTAACCCGAATTTCACAGGTACACTTCGTAAAACGCAACATTACCCCCTTCTTAAGTCGAAACGTCCTCGTTTCGGGGTATTTTATCAATGACTAATACAAGTCCACTAGTAAAGTCTTTCGAGATACGCGTTACACGGATATAATGTCATCTACTGCACCACGAAACAGCTTCATCTGGTCATGATGCACATATTTAGGTTTATCTGCTGAAGATTTTCTCACTTTGAACACCGAATCGGACACGGCACGTAACACTATGTAAGGTCCATTCCAATGAACCTGAAGTTTATGACGTCTTACTTTGGTCCTAGCCTTTGGTGCGATCCACACATACTGCCCTGGGGTGTACTGAATCTGGTTTGACTTGGTGCTATACTTTCGTTTCTGGTTCTCGGTTGCTTGTATCCATCGGGTGCAATAATCTGAACTGGTAACAAAGTCCTTGTTACCCTTCTTGGTCCGTGGTAAAGGACCAAGGATGTCGTTGGCCACTTGTTCCAGTGGTTCCCTAGCTAAACATTGACCCGGTTTTCCTCCGACTTCCCTTGGTTGATTCTTCTTTGAGTCACCAACGGTACAGTGTCTGATATGTTTCTCAGCGTCGTTTGTCTCCTTCTCGTCACGAGGTTCACATAGTTGTCGGTCATCATTATCATGGTGTAAAGCTTCTTGTACGCAAATTTTGAACACAGGATTGTGTTCACTCTTAAGGTCACATGGTAATTTATTCTTTCCCAATGTAAGAGTTCCTTCACCCAAATTCAATTGACAATTATGCTGTTTCAGAAAATCAAGACCTAAAATCATATCTGACTCAACGTCAGCGACGATCACTTTATGTTCGGTAACTTCCTCATCAATACAAATTTGAAGTTCAGTCTGACCTTCTGGTACAACTAAATCACCGTTGGCCATTTGTAAGTTACTACAGTTTGGAAATAATTTAGGTCTCACACATCTTTCTATCGCGTAATATTTCTTTGGGTGGATAACTGTTATAACTGAACCCGTGTCAATGACACAATTAATTTTCACATTGTTAACAAGCACATCAATTGTTAATAAGTTAGTACTGCGAGTATTTGAGTTCTTTATTCCAAAAACATGTGGCCTTTTCTGCTTTGTAGTTGACGTTAGGCCGCCGACGTCAACTACTGTGCGTTTTCCTGGTTCTCGGGTTCTCTGGTCGTCACGTCCTTTACGTATTCCAGTTTTCTCTGGTTTCTGTATTTTTCATTATTTAGGTGCCGTTGTAGTAACCTGCATTCTCTTTTGATGTGACCATCTTTCTTACAGTAGAAACAGGGACCTTTCTTGTAAAACTTCTTTTCTGTGTTTTGCTTGATCATGGTCACTAGGTCTGTTTTGAAATTATTTCTGTCGGTATACGCTGGTTCCTCTGTCTGCATACGCACTGCAACTGTATTTCGTCTCCCCCGCGCTTGTTGAAAGGCCTCGTATTCCAATGCTAGTCGCACTGCATCTTCTCGGTCTTTAGGTTTTCCTTGAAACACTGCCCATTCCATTTCTTGGTCGTTTAAACTTCCGATGAACGAATCTTTGGTTATCTGGTCACGGAAACCTAGGGGTGCGTTCGGGTATGACATCCTCGTAAGTCGCTTTATGTCTTGCATTAACTCTGTGATCGTTTCGTTTTTCTTCCGTATTCTGCTCTTTAGTTGCGTCTTATAGATTTCTGTTTGGTTTTCTGGGTCAAATCTTGCTGCTAGTGCGGTAACAAGGTGACGAAAATTATACCGATATTCTGGTTGTAGGTCACTCAAAACGCTTAGTGCTGGGCCGCGTAGACTGGTAGCTAACTCTAATGCCTTTGTTTCCTCATTCCAGTGGTTCAATTGGGCGATCATGTCGAAATGCACTATATAGTCGTTCCAGTTCATGGTACCATCGAACGTTGCTGGTTTTCTCCCTTTAGGTTCCGGGGTACGCCTGAATCCGTGGTCATGGGCTTGTCTTGTGTGACCATAATTTGGTACATCGTAATCGAAGCTGCGCATGGTCGGCTGAAATTCGTTGGTCTCATCATTGGTAGTGGAACTCCGTGGTACCGTCGGGTTTGACCAACTTGTCCTTGAAGGTTCATGATACCGAAATTTTTCACATAAATTTTGTAGAGGTGTATTTCTGTATGGTCGATGCTCACTGCGTATTTGGTCATCTTCAGACGTAGTTCTGGTACCGGACTGCACGCAATTTTGGTCTACATATTGGTCATTAGTACTCATTGATCTCACTTGAGATTGTAATTGGTTCATTTGGGACTTCAGAGTTTTTAATTCTTGTAGAATTATGTGTAGACTGTCGTTGGTACATGTGTTGACTGCGCTGCCGTCTCCTATCTGGTCGTTGCTATTAATCCGCAAAAGAACTTCTTTGCTTGGAGTACCGTCGATAAACTGTGGTTCTTTTGGTTCTGTAGTTTGGTCACTTTCCTCAACCAATTTTTCGTTCCTCGACATCTTAGTAATGGTTTAGGTTCACAATTCACAGAATAGCGGGTCCCACCGCTGCCACCAATGTAACGAGACCGAGGGTATCGTGTAATAAACTCGTGGGCCGCTATTAGTTTTCTGGTCACTTGGTCGAGATTTGATGGTTCCGTTGGTCACAGTTTATGTAATGGTTAATCAGCAATTTTGGTCACTTAATTGGTTAATGGAATTACCAATTTTTGGTCACTTAATTGGTTAACGAAATTACCAACTTTTGGTCACTTGTTTGGTCTCTTCTTTAGTTGACGTAATGACCAACTTTTGGTCACTTATTTAGTGGACGTAATGACCAACTTTTGGTCACTTCTTTGGTTGACGTAATGACCAATTTTTGGTCACTTTAAATAATGTTTGTTAGGAATAACACTTGTTTAAAGTTTATAACATTTATTAAGACGATCAAATGGTTCACTTATAAACACACAAAATGGTACACTGTAACTTGGTTGGTACAACGTTATTTGGTTAAGAAAAAGGTGACCAACCGATGGTCAATACAGGACGTTCCTACTAACTTGGTCCCCTTAATGGTTTCGTATACATAGACTTGGTACCGTCTTATAACCGAAGTATACGGAGTCGTTCCCCAAAGTGACTTAGGTCACTTTTCCCTTACCAGGGAAGGCTGTGTGCTCCGAGTCGCTCCCCACAGCCGACTGAAGTCTAAACCCAAAACAGCTGGTTTATATAGACAAAAGTTGTTATGATGACGTAAGAGACAATCAGATACTTATTACGTCACAATCAATTCAATCAATAACTTAGCGGGATTTAACCATCAAAATTACCTACTAAATTAATAACGTTGTACCCATATAAAACATACAAAATACACCACTTTGTCATTAAATTATACATGTGAAATTAATAAAGTCATTAAATCAATTATTGTTCATTTCTTTCGTTAACTGTTCATTGACAAATATTTACACAGTTTATAAACATCGGGTTCAATGTCCATTTATTCCAAACTTGTAAACAAGAGTTAACCCGAATTTCACAGGTACACTTCGTAAAACGCAACATTATGATTTATGATTTTTATGTCAATGTCAGGGAGCCCCCCCCCCCCTACTCATCCACCCCACCCCAACCAGCTATTGGATCAAATGGCTGGGATATCAATCAACTTCATCAATTAACTTTGAGCATCCCCATTAATAAACCATTTTGCTAGCATATCCATAGTCAGAGAAAGCATGCTGCAATTTTTTGTTAACAAATCACAATATATCTGACTAATTTTCAAAGAACAAAATCCATTAAGCAAAAAAAAATTTAAAAAAATCATGCAATATTTTTTTTTTAAGGAGGGGGTCTATTTTGAGGGATTTTTATTTTAATTTCATTAATTTGACATTAATATGAAGGTAAACGAGCTAGAAATACATTTATGAGAAAATTTTCTTAGAACAGCAATCAGAACAAACTGCAGATATAAAATAATTACTCTATAGCAAAAGCAATTTACTGGAAAATTCAGGTGACATAGGATTACATACATGCAAATGTCATTCCTCATCAGTTGTATAATCAATAAGATACAAAAATCGTTACTGAATTAGAATAATTACACAGTTTTATAATATCCTGCAAAATTGGATAACAACTGCAAGAGTCGACTTCCTTTGCAAATTTAGCCTGTATGCCAAGAAATCAATTGTAGAATTTCAGAAACTGCAAAGATATCAAAAGAGCAAACTGATTGGACTATCAAATGAAGACGATGTAAATTAGGTCTTGGTTACAAACGAGAGCACAATTAAGAGAAACAATGAATAGCAATTACAAGAGACAGTCGAAACAAAGAATTCTGTGAATTAACAACAACATCAAAGTACTATTCTACTACTTAAAAAGATTAAAAAAAAAAATTTCATTAACTCCATTTACTTTTCAGCCAAATAACTTAATTACCACTTTTAAAAATATATGTGCATTCTATATTGAGAATAAGATATTAATGTACATAGTAATGAAATGGTAAGACTGTCTTTCCCAATTCCCTCTCTGCTGATAAAAGGTTAACAATTCATTCAAACTTCATCAATTTCCTCAGAAAGACGTTTCAAATAACAGACAAAAAATTTAAAGCCAAGAATTAGTGAATACTATGAAAGCTAAAGAGTTTATCACTGAGCATATAGCCCATGATTCTTGGTTTTCAAAGAATGTCATGAGAATAAAACTGTAAGGAAAAGCTTTTTTCACACCTAGCATTTATTTTACTGAACATGTGATGAGACTTGTACAGGTACACTTGTAATGTTTTTTCCTGTTAATATTTTTATTATATACCAATTGTCAATCAGGAAATTTAAAGCATACCCCCACACTCTAGCTGTGATTGACAAGTCACCTGATCAATGAATATTCATTCCTATATAAAAACTTTACAGCCAATTAGAGGATATCCATTCACACGTGAGAGAGAGTCAGTAAACTAATGAGTAGATCTCAGATAAATATATATTTCTACATAATCACCAGCCAATGTGACACAAAACATGACTAGGATACAGTGGGACTTCTGATATATACAATGAACAGCAGCAATGAGAGTTTTCCTACAGAGTTTGTCAGACGGAATGATATTGAGAACATTTTTCTTGCCTTTGCGTTAATGATTGTGATGTTGTTTTCTGTATTTGGGAATATTGCGGTGATGATTGCTATATTTATGAGCCGGGCTCTGAGGGAAGAGATGTCAAATCGGCTGACAATGAACCTGGCCATAACTGACCTCTCTAACGGCTTGATTGTCATGTTCAGTAGCCTATCTTCTGTTATCAATGACTCCTGGAAATTTGGCTCGGTGTTCTGTGACTTGATTTGTGCTATAAACTACTGTCTTATTATCACCTCGATGCTGACTCTCTGTTTTATAAGCTGTGACAGGTTCCAGGCCATTGCCTACCCCCTTCACTACGTCAGCAGAATCAAGCCCAAACACATGTACATCATGATTGCCTATTCCTGGTTCCAAGGGATTGTTTTCTCGGTGGTTCCGCCGGCACTGCGCTGGGTGGAGTACGACTACTGGGAAGCTATATGTGCCATACAGTGGCACCGTGAGAGACAGCAAGCCGTGTATTACGTAGTGATAGCATTCCTCCTGTGTTTTCTTCTCCCAGGGGTCATTCTCATTATAAATTACTACAAAATCATCAAACAGGTCAAGTCTAAGGTGTCGTGTCCTGGCGGTCCTATGCCGGCTAAAAGTTACAGCACTAGCTCTAAGGCCATCAGAAGCCTCCTTATTGTTGTGATCGCGTATTTTGTGTGTATGACTCCCTTCAGCGTAACAAAGTTAATGAAAGTGGTCATAGCACAAGAGACAGTACTTAACAGTCAGATAAACTCTGTGGCAAGTGTCGTTGCTTTTATTTCTAGTGCCGTTAATCCATTAATCTATGGAATATTTCGTAAAGACTTCCGTCTAGCCTATAAGAGAATATTCCTATCTTTTATAGGTAGAGACAAAGTACACAGCATGCAGTCTTCTTTACAGGACTATTCCTCATAATGGCATTGTTTGTAATACAATGAGTAATTAAAACATGGTGTGTATAAAATAACTATATATGGTTATTATAAATGTGTTCATTTTGTCCCAAAACATTAAAACTTAGCTCAAACTTGCTTGTGTTAACTGTTAATTGCATGAACAAAAATTCAGTTAAACCACTTAAGCCTAAAGAATACAGCAGGGAAGAGGGGAATTATGATCAGAATTTTCTGTTTTATATATATGTGTAGATGTATTACTATTTATTCTGATTTCTTTAGGAACTGACACTGTGTCCAGTACTGATCTGTTCGATATTAATGATGATTAAAAAAATCATGGCATTGAGTGTGAGATGTTCTTAGAATGTACACTGTAACTGTAAAATATGAAACTCAACAGCATATGAATAATTAGACATTCAGTTTATTTTTGTGATGTTGGCTGGAGCCAATATTTTACATCAGATATTCATTCTGCATGGCTAGAGTTTTAATTACAAGGTAGTTAATGCCATCTTTTAATAAGCGGCAATACTTTCTATAATCTTCAGATATTTGAGATTGAAAATTTCTTTTATGAATGGCAGTCTTCTTTGCAGAACAGACATGCTAAAAACTTAGGTGCCAAAAAAGTGTGTCATTTTTGGAGGGAATAATTCACTCTAAGTCAGAAATAAAATCATGCGTTGTAATTGATAAAAATTCTGATGTCAATTAATGCCCTGTTCACACGACGAGTTTAATTCGCAGTAAATTAATGCGAAGTAAACTAATGCGAATCAAATTAATGCGAATTAAATTGCGTTCACACGACAGCTAATGCGAAGTAAACTAATGCGAATTAAAAATTTTCATCTACAGTCAGGCGTCAGTAAGTCTATTATGACGTCATTTGTAAATCACGTCATGTATGCCGAGCCATCCTTTGATACATCATGTAGTGGCTACAGGTATTCATTGATTTTAGTGAATAACATACTTTCCCTCAATTTTTGAACCAAATATAGCACATATACATCTATATAACCACCATCACGTGTCCTGTGACTTAATTCTGGCCTTACGCATGCGTCAAAATTTAATTCGAATTAGCTTCGCTTAGCGTTCACACGGAGCTAATGCGAAGTAATTTGATGCGCAGTGAATTAATGCGAATTAAACTTATTCGCATTAAACTCTCCGTGTGAACGCTAAGCGAAGCTAATTCGCAGTAACTTTACGTTTAATTCGAATTAAATTCTCCGTGTGAACAGGGCATAAATGTTGTTCACGATACATATCCAGCTACAGTCCTGATCTGTTTGAGTTCACTGCACAAAGAGTTGTTTAAATAATTTTTTTAAGATATATATATGATACAAATTTTAGCTTTGGAATAAAGTGATAAGCATAGAAAGATTCTTCCACTACAAAAAACATAGGTAATCAGAGATTACGGAGCTCACCTCAACGAATGTTGTCTTTAAATAAGGCAAAGTCACACAATTAACCAACAAAAAGTGTACATTCCAAAAATGTAAATATTCATGCAATTGTGATTTGATACTTTGAAATAGACCTATATAAAAAATTCAAACTAGTTCTTCATGAAAATGTAATTAAAATCCATCTGAAGCAAATTTGAGAGTTTTCATCCCTTGATGCATCATTTGGCAAGTTTGGTTTACACAATGTTATATAAGCCTTATAGCTTTTTGGTAATAGACCTGCACCCATAACTTTTACCTGGTCCATTATCTGAAAAATGTATGTTAAATTCAGCATCCGAAGCAAGTCCATTAGTGTGCATCCTAAGATGTATCGTCCATGCAAGTTTGGTCATTAAAAGAACTCATAGTTACTTGGAAATCTGCACCAAAAACTTTAACCTGTTTACTCAAGCAGAAAATGTAGGTCAGATTCAGCATCTGAAGCAAGCCTAGTAGTATGCATCTTTAGACGTATCATCCATGCAAGTTAAGTCATTATAGGGCTCATAGTATATTAGAAATGAGACCTGCACCAAAATCTTTAACCTGTTTACTCAACCGGAAAACGTAGGTCAGATTCAGCATCCGAAGCAAGCCTGGAAGTATGCATCCTTAGATGTATCATCCACGCAAGTTTGGTCAACATAGGGCTTATAGTTACTTGGAAATGAAACCTGCACCAAAAACTTTAACCTGTTTACTCAACCGGAAAATCTAGGTCAGATTCAACATCCGAAGCAAGCCTGGTAGTATGCATCCTTAGATGTATCATCCATGCAAGTTTGGTCAACATAGGGCTTATAGTTACTTGGAAATGAAATCTGCACCAAAAACTTTAACCTGTTCACTCAACCGGAAAATCTAGGTCAGATTCAGCATCCGAAGCAAGCCTGGTAGTATGCATCCTTAGATGTATCATCCATGCAAGTTTGGTCATTATAGTGCTCATAGTTACTTGGAAATGAGACCTTCACCAAAAATTTAACCTGTTCACTCAACCGGAAAATGTAGGTCAGATTCAGCATCTGAAGCAATCCCGGTAGTGTGCATCCTTAGATGTATCATCCATGCAAGTTTGGTCAACATAGGGTTTATAATTCCTTGGAAATGAGACCTACACCAAAAAGTGCACCAAAAATGTTAACCTGCTCCAAAAACATTAACCTGGTCATTCCTCTGCTGAAATTGCAGCATCTGAAACTTTGACTGGTACAATGAAACACACTAGAAGCATCTTCCATGCATGCCTAATCAATATAGGACATAGAAGTACTTAAAAAGAAAACTGCTCCAAAAAACTTAACCTGGGACGCCGACACCGACGCCGACACCGAGGGTATTACATAAGCTCCCCCAACTTCGTTGAGGTGAGCTAAAAATTAATATGACTTGTCTTTCCATTACACTTATGGGAAAAAAGTGAGTACACGTGATTTGTAAGCACACTGACTTAATTTCATAAAATCATTGAAAACTGTTTCTCTAAACAAATGTATATTATTATCTTAACTCTTTGATGTTCTATTCATTTACACAAATGCACCACATCTAAAGAGATAGAAAAGAAAGTTCTCCAAAAAAGCACATTTCAATGTGTTTAGTTTGAAACATTTTAGGTTCAAAATTTCGAGAAAAAAAAAACAATAAAAAAAACAAACAAACAAACAAAACAAACATAGTCCTTGTTAGTTAAAAGCCTGTATTGTGTATGCAAAAGATGAGATAATCCATTGGTGTCCAACAGTGTTGGAAATCCAACACTTTTGAATACCAATGAGTGATCTTGTCTTACTTTTTCCGCGGGTCCCAAAGGATGCATGTCCAAAAAAGCATTAGAAGTATTATGTTCATATCTGTAGTATTAATTAAAATAAATTGCAGAAGAAGCTGAAGGATATTGCTTCTGATATTCATTTATATTACGTTACTTTAGAAGGTGATGCTCAGGTTCACACCTTTGGATAGAGATAAGAGGAATGACATCTAAAATCAGCACAAATGTAACTGAAAAAGGGGACAGTCCTATTTAATCAAATGAATATGTTTAGGAAATAAGAGAAAAAGTATACAAATAAATGTGTTTTGTAAACTGCCAGATAACTGGACTGAAGAAACTTCAATGAGAAAAAGAAACTTTGCTTATTGCAAGCTATTTATGTCAACCAAACTGATCTTTCCCTGTTTCCATGTTCCCCCTGTTTATGGTGCCATATTGTTGCTACCAGTAGACTCTTAATGATCATCATTACTGAGAATTGGCCAACCATCTGAACTCTCAACTACTCCCAACTTTGTTTGATTTGACATAACTACAATGTCTTACCAGTGTATAGTTTAAGTGACACAACATCTTTCTGAGGTAAATTACTACATTGTCCCTCACTTATTGCACCCTAGGCATTGTAATATTAATGTCACCCAAAAGCCACTCAGTTTGACAAACATGATCTGTCATTAATTTTATCAATAATTCAACATTGTCAACTCGGAGCTTAGTTGGATGATAGTGGAGCTGACAAATACCCTGGATGATTTAGCAACCCTACGGAAATCACTTACTAATCCATCACAAGCACAACTATAGGAACTCATTAAGCTGAGAAAACTGGACATTGCTGGCCTTCAAATAGGGTTCATCTTAATACACAGTATCAAGAAGGTAGAGAAATAGACTATTTGTGATTGTTTAGTGTAAGTGATTGACTTCCAAATACTAAGTATCCATTAAACCAGAAGTCTCTGATGAGACTGTAGCTCTACTGGTCTACATATAATAAAAGAAAAGGCTGCAAGCAATAAAAAGAATTAAGTACCTTAGTGTAGTCTTCTTATATGCCAATTCATATTGATGTGAAACCAAAACTGTAGGAGAAGGAGTGTTAAATTGAAATTATTCTTAAGAATTTTTATTTTTGGTTAAACACCGTTCATTGAAAACAAAAACCAATGCACTAATTTATTTCCCTTTGTAAAGTCTACTTGTGGGCCGTTACACTGAAATCAGATCAAATCTCTAGAAGGAGTAGATTTTAAAAAGAATTTAAGAGAAATTTCTATTTTTAGGTACCATGGCAAAAAGGTTCATCGAAATAAAAAACCAATGCATTGAATAGTGAACCTTAGTGTTGTCTACTTAATGTATGCCATTATATTGAAATCAGACCAAAACTGTAGGAGGAGAAGCATTTTGAAAAATTGTTTACAGATAATTTGACAGACAGCTAGATAGAAGGACGATGGGCACCTTACTATTGCATAGGTTCTTCTGATCTCTGATCAGTAGAGCTAAAAAGAGAAAGGGAACAAAAGTAACAATAATCTATGGAACTAAAAATATGTCTATAGGACATGAAGGCTCCACCCACTGTTCATTACTAATGCACCATGAAAATTTGTATCAGTGTAGGAATACTACTGAACTGAGTTTAATACAAAATAAAAAATAAAGTCAAGGTCTCCAGGTAAAAAAAATGGACATTTTGGAATACTACTGAACTGAGTTTAATACAAAATAAAACATAAAGTCAAGGTCTCGAGGTAAAAAAAAAATGGACATTTTAGATAAATTCTCACCGAATAAGGTATAAGTGCATATGCTTGCTAAAAATATCTGGAATAGTTCTCTGATAAAAAATCTTTTTTTTTTTCTTTTAGAAAACTAAGATCAAGGTTGAAAGGAAAGGATGAGGTAAATGAACCAGAATCATTACATAATACTGAATAAAAGTTAGTACAATTTATCAATTTCAAATTTTGAGGGTGCTCCATTTTTCCTATGTAGAAATAAAGGTTGGTGTGTGGAAACTTATAAAGTATATACACTTAATCTATATTATCATGTATTATTTTGTCAAGTGGGAGCATTATTATTTGAACTTTT